ACAGAAGTCTGTCCTGCCCTACAGGAAAATAGAAGGGGAAGGGGATAAGAGAAGGGGGGAAGAGATAGAAGAGAGGGCAGACTAGGGGAAGGGATATTCAGAATGCATGCCATCTTGGGGTGGGGGAGGGGTGAGATGGGGTGAAAATTTGGAACTCAAAATCTTGTGGAAGTAAATATTGAAAACTGAAAAAAAATAAATGTATAAAATGTAAAAAAAAAAGAAAATTTAACAATTGGCTCTTGAGAGCTCATTGGAGCTGGACCCAGCATACTCCTGTCAGAGCCCTACAAATGATCGGCCAGCTCCCTGCCCCTTCCTGCTGTCCACTTACCAATGTCCTAACATCACTGCTACTCATCTCTGCCTTTTGGATTTAGGCTCCCCACCCCCACCCACCCCCTGTAGACCTCAGAGAGCTATCAACCCCACCCTTGCTTTCCTCCCTCCTCCTCAGCCCCTCGCCAGCAGGGAGCCCCAGGCAGCTTCAGAACAGGGTGGGATCAGCAGCCAGATGGCAAAGGGCAGAGGAAGGAGTGAAGAGTGAGAGCAAGTGTAGATGAATCTCTTGGAGAAGTCTGACAGTGAGAGTGAAGACAATGAGAAAGGAAAGGGGGGAAAGGAAAGTTTCTCTCTTTCCTAAGATTAGAGACACCTGAATTGCTTACCGTCGGTATGCAAAAAAAAAAAGGGGGGGGATCCAAGGAATGCAGGACTTAGGGCACCTCCGGGGCTGGGGCAGCCAACCCCTCCATCTTCACTCTGAGGCCCAGAGGGGTTGGGTAACTTATCCAGAGACACACAGTAAGTGTCTGAGGCAGAATTTGAACCCAGGACTTCCTGACTCCAGGCCAAGCTCCTTCAAGTCCTTTTTGGGAAGGCATTGTAGATTACTTGGTTCTCTGAGTTCTTGGGTATACTTTTTGATGTCACTGTCTCCAACAGCTCAGCAGTTTCTCTAATCTGCAAGGAAGCCACAAGGGATATAGGAGACCCTACTAGAAAGTGGATTTCCAGGGGAGTCTCCTTTCTCATTGTGACAGGATTAACAACCAGGCTTGCTACCATTATGTCCTGAGTAAGAATAAGTAGGATCTGAGAGAGAAGCTCAGGGGCTCTCCAGAGTCTATGGAGTATGAGCTTTCTCACACAAATTCTCCGATGTCGATTTAGGCTCAAAAGTCTATTCTGGCTTACTCTTTGTATCTCAGCTGTGTTCTAGACGCTTGACTGGCATTTTGTCTTCTTGTCCTATATTGGCTTAGCACAGTGCATTGAACTTTGGAGGAACTCAATAAATAAATACTTGTTGATTGGTTGGTGGGGGGGCCCTGAATAAGTGAGAGGTTAGGGTAACTGACTTTGATTGACTGACTTATTCTTAGGAGCCAGATGTTTTTTTCCATGTGAGGTTTGGGGTTCGGCCTTTCCAAGGTATGGTAAAAAAGAGAACAGCTAAGTCAGCTGATGGTCATGGTTGCGTTTGTTTGTTTCTTTTTTCCCAAAATTAGGATATACTGTGTTGCTTTGATGTTAATGAATGCCCTCACTGTAAGCTTAAATATTTCAGAAGAGAGGGTGAGATGGGAAAAATAAGAATTAAAGAAAACCACCCCTGTTTTTTATGAGGAAGAGGGCATTTTGTTCCATTGAAAAACAGTCATTCATTTTGCTCTAGGGGGCATCTGGAAAGACTTTTTTCCATCCGAGAACCCAATTGAACCTTACATGAGCAGTTGGAAGCCTGGGGCATACCAACTCTCCTCCCCACCCAAACACAGCCCACAAAACAGTGTTGTTTGTGAAGTTGGCCTTGGGTTCTTAGGGCAGTCAGACTGGTTAGCCTGTGAACTTGGAAGTCTGCCTGTGAACTTGGAAGTCTGCCGTGACCTGGAGGCTCCAAGAGGTTTATAAAGGAAACCGGGCTCTGGGCAACCGAAGGAGACTTATCATGCTGGCCATGAAGAGCGTAATGGGAAGTTTCCAGTTGGTAAAAACTAGTTTAGCCCATCTTCCTGGTAAAACAATCTGAGGGAAGAGTTATGCTAGAATGAAGAATGGACTGCACTGGGAACCAGTGGATACGAGTTAAATCCTCACTTTGTCATTTATTACTTGTGTGACCTTGGGCAAATCACTTCCCTCTTCTGAACCTCAGTTTCCCCAACTGTAAATTTATACACCTAGGAGGTTGGACTAGATGATCTCTGAGGACTCTTCCAGCTCTGAATCTAGAAGCCCAGGATCTGGGAAAGAGGTTGTTTGATTAACATTTTCACGGTGAATATTTTTGGTCAATGGGTTGGGCCGAGAAAAAAAAACCAAACCTTGGAATCCAGAATGGAAAAAGGGCTCTCCAAGAAGGGGGAGTCATTTTCCCATTTCTGAGGATTCTCAGTGTCAGGCTAGGAAAGCAAGCATAGTGGACCACCTGCTCAAAGGGCCTGGGAAAGGACCCTAAAAGTGCTTCAATGCTCTCACCTCTTGCCCTGGATGAATTCCCCTAGGGAAAACATTCCCGGTAAGTTTATCTAAGGACTGTGAAAACCCACAGTCTTGGGGCTGGGGAAGACCTCAGGAGCCACCTGGCCCAACTTGGCCCTGAATAGGAATCCCCTTCTCTGATTAGGGATCCTAGTCCAGTCTCTGCCTCCAGACCTCCAAGGAAGGGGAGCGCCCCTCTCCCTCCCCACTACTTCCCAAGGCAGCCCAATTCCACTTTGGAACGGTTCCCCTTGTCAAGGAGAAAGCTTTTCCTTCCATAAAGACTCAACTTACCTCTTTGCCCCTTCAGTCCCTTGTGCTGGGGCCTCCCCTCTGGGGTCAAGAAGAATGAGGATAATCCCTCTGTTACTTGAGAGACTTTGAAATGGTCCAAAATTGCTCTCATGCCCTCCCCTGGTTCTCCAGGCTAAACCTTGATCAATCCCTTTTAGAAAGATTTGTAACTTACCCAGTCAACCAATCAGCAAACAATCATTTGTTGTTGCACAGTCATTTCAGTCGTGTCCAACTCTCTGTGACCCCATTTGGGGTTTTCTGGGCAGAGATGCTGGAGTGGCTTGCCATTTCCTTTTCCAGCTCATTTTACAGATGAGGAAACTGAGGCAAACAGGATTAAGTGACTTGCACAGGGTCACCCAGCTAGTAAGCGTCTGAGGATGGATTTGAACTCAGGAAGATGAGTCTTCCTGACTCCAGGGCCGGCACTGTATTCACTACACCACCTAGCTCCCCTAAGCATTTAGTAAGCCCGTATGATGTACTAGGCACTGGGGATATACACACCCCCTGATCTCATGAGGCTTACATTCTACTGGCAGGTACAGTATGTTCACAGACCAGTAACTATAGATTGTCTTGCTACAAAATGGCAGCCAGCTGTGGATGCATTGAGGAAGGCCTTCAGTCCCCAGAACCGACGTCTGCTAGATCTCTCTGTTAGCCAACTGGTTTTGGAAATCATTCGCTGCTTATTCCATCAGGCTCCTGCCAAGAGTGTGACCTTAAACCCTATGATAGCAGCTGAGCCCATTAGAATCAGCCATGTCTAATGGACTCTGACCTCCATCTTTTGCCCTCATCACCCCATGTGCTATCACAGCAGGGATAGCACATGACACTTCTCACAGCAGACATTCCAGTTTCATAAGAACCAGGCCTGTGTGATTCCTCTTTGCTATTTCAGACACAGCCCTTGGGCATTCAACTTGCCTCAGTACTCTTGAAAGACTCACTGGACCCTGAAGAAAGATTTTTTAAACTGTTCAAATATTGCCGTATCTTCAAGTTTGCATTGAGGTTTTGGATTTATCGTGCCCTCTTCACTAACAGTTTTTGGATTCATGGTAGAAGAGAAGAGTTCTGGACTGAGAGCTGGATTCAAATCCCAGCTCCACAACTTATTACCTACATAATCCTATGCAAACGACTCCTCCCCCTGGGACTCAGTTCTCTCATCCTGCAAAATGAGGATAAATATCCATAGTATTTAACTGCCGAGGCTGTTGTAAGTCTCAGACCAGATAATGCATATAAAGTGATTTGTGGATATTAAAATGCTTTAAAAATGCCTGCTGGTGGTGGAGGGGATGGTAGTACGAGGAGAAGAATGCTTGACTTCCTTTAGGACTCAGCTGCAGCACTGCCCCCAAAACGAGTTCCCCACCCCCAGCTGCTCATACCTCTCCTCCAAAATCACCTACTTATTGGGTATCTAAAATATATAGGTATTTTTCTGTCAATATGTTGCCCCCCCATTAGACTATAAGCTCCTAGAGGGCAGGGGCTGTTTGATGTGTCTGTGTCCTCAGCACCAAGGACAGAAAGCAAGGCTTCATACTTTCTATCTGATAGATAGATAATAGTAAGTTGGATGAGATAGTCTCAAAGTTCACTCCTAGTTCTGAATCTAGGAACCTCTGTGTGTGTGTGTGTGTGTGTGTGTGTGTGTGTGTGTGTGTGTATGTGTGTACATTTTGAGCACTGACCCAATGATGGGCTGTAGTTCTCTTGTCCAAGGACCAGACCAACTAAGTTTGATGATGCTTATCCTCATGAATGTGGAATTTTTCAACCAAAACTTTCCTCTCTTCTTTCTAAGTAACAATTTTTAATTAATCTGTTTCCTCCCACCACCCCTACCTCCCATGAGAATTTTTTTTAAATGAAAAATAAATCCATCCACTCATATTTGCAGAGTCCTTGGATAATTCACTTCACCACCTCAGACTCTATAGCCGGAGGTCCTTTCCACCTCTAAATCACAGGGTTCCACAGGGTTCAAATCTCTGTCCTGCCACTTTTGCCCATGTACCCTTGGCCAAGTCCCTTCTAGCCTCTGGGCCTCTATAAGATGAGGAGGGCAGACTTGGGGGCTCTGGGGTCCCTTCCAGATCTAGGGTCCTATGACTTAAGTGCTTGTTGAGGACAATTGAATTGAGTTGAGTAGAGGATGGCTTGGCCCCCCCTTGTCTGATTGCCTTCTCTGTGACTCCTAGGGTGTTGTCCTGAGCCACCAGCCACAATGGGCAGAAAACTGGATCTCTCCAAGCTGACGGATGAAGAGGCCAAGCACGTGTGGGAGGTGGTTCAACGTGACTTTGATCTTCGAAAGAAAGAGAAAGAACGATTAGAGTAAGAAACTTGGTCATTGATTTTATCTTTAGTTTTCTGTTTATGTGGGGGATCCTGTCCCCCCTGAGGACAGTAACTATTTTTCTTCTGTATCCTCAGTTTCTATTGCATAGTAGGTGCTTAATAAGCATGTGTTAAGACAGCAGAAAGAGCACTGCTCTAGAGTCAGAGGACTCGGGTTCAAATCCCACTTCTAATGTGGATTTTCTTTGTGGCCTTGGGGAAGTGATTTCACCTTCATAGGCCTCAGTTTCCTCATCTGTAAAATGAGGAGGTTGGACTACATCCAAGGTGTCAAACACACAGCCCCCAAGTGAGGCCCAAACCAGATTAAAATACAATTGGAAAATATTTAATAAAATAAAAATACAGCAAAACATAGACAATATTAATACACTGTGGTTTGGTCCATGGGGATCCTTATACACAGTTTAATGGCCCCTGTTTCTATTAGAGCTTGACACCACTGAGCTCAATGATCTCTGAGATCCCTCCCAACTCTAGATGTAGGATCCTATGAATGAAATTCAAGTATATTTCATAAAGTTGCATATAGATTCATACACGCCAGAAAATTCTACCATCCATGATAGATGGTTATTTGTTTTAAGTCAGTAAATCTGTTAGAATGAAGGCTTGAGTCTCCAGGGGACAGCTGCAGGCCAGGGCTGCCATTTGCAAAGGGAGGAGATGGAATGTTCACACCTGGCCCAGGCTGTATAATTGCCTCCTCCACAGCTATATCAAGAAGAACTGGTTGGGGGTGGGAGGTGTTAACCTCAGCCTTAGATAGGTTGCATGTGTGGTGATGTTGTATAGGTGGCTAGAGGCTGGCCTGGAACTTGGTCTCAGAAGGACAGTCAGGGCTAGAGATGGCCATAGTCTGGGAGTCATCTGCATTGATGTCAATAACAAAGCCCCTTAAGTGGTCACATTATTTGAATTCTCACTGTTTCCCTTGGCTAGAACGAATGACCATATTTTACATAATTATAACTTTTAATAGTGCAAATTCAAATGACTGCCACCACTTCAGGAAGTTCATGGTTCACACTAATTGGGACCTGGCCATATGTGGACATTGAGGCCATGCAAGCAGGCAGGTTTCCTGAGAGCAAGAAAGAGGAGTAAAGGCCCAAGGGTAGACCTTTGGGCCTTCTTAACTAGTTAGGTTGGAAGAAGAGAAGCCTTTGAGGAGAAAAAAGGGGAGGACCTCTGGAGAGGGAAGAGGCCAGCTAGATATAAATGGGGTCAAGAGAACCAAGAGAAGAGAATTCCAAGAAAGAGGAAGTGGCATCAGTGCCCTGCCACAGAGAAGGCCAGGAAAAGCTGACCATCTTTCTTTGTCAGAGGGTTGGTTCTTGGAGACATCAGGTCACCAAATGTCTACACCACCCACCATTCACCCCATACCTGCCTGTGAAAACACTACCCTTCCTTCAAGGCCCAGCTCCTGCACTGGAAGCCCACCATTATTGCCCAACACATTGGACCAGGAACTCCCGTAGGACTTTACCCTTTCCTGGGCTTAACCTGCTCTACCGTGGATCCTAGTCAGTGCGAATCAATACTATGTGCCAGATGCTAAAGATGCAAAATCAACGACGAAAAGAGAGCTGCCCTCCGCAAGCTCCCCCACTCCCGGGAGAACGGGAGCAGAGCTTGAGCACCTTTGAACCACCTCAGCACCTAGCATGGGACCTGTCCAGTCACGCTGGTTCCTGTACTGAGGGGCAGACAAAGACGAATCGAATCTCGTCTTCCCTCAGCACCACATGCTAAAGCATTGCCGTGACTATGTCGTAATGAAAATGTCAAAGGACTTTGGACGTTACTTCTCTTGCCCGGCTGCTTGAGGAACAAGTGTGTGTCTCTTTTCTAACTGTCCCCTCCTTATGTGAGCACATGGTTCTCAAAAGAATTGCAAATCACTCATGAACAAAGGGAATAAATAAGCTAGGGAAATTTCATTTAGTATAAGAAACTCCCTCTATCGATGCAGATTGCAATCTTCTCCAACATTTGTGGCATTAGGAAGCTGCCTAGAGCCCTGAAAAAAGAAATTACTTGGCCAGGGTCACACAGCCAGTATATGTCAGAAGCAAGACTTTATCTCATGCCTGTCTGGCCAGTTCTCTATTCATCCCTCCACACTGCCTATGATAACAAACTGCTTTAAAAGGAGAAATGTTGATACTATATCCAACATTCTGCACCCACAGTCCCCCATCTCTCCAAGGACAGGAGAGAAAACAGAAATCTGAGTTACTGAAAAACTAACAATGGTCTTGGAGGACAGAGAGTGAAATCCACTTCCCTCTTCCCAGCAGAAAGGCAGAGGGCTGCCGGGGCAGAATGCTGTATACATCGTCAGGCACAATCACTGTGTAGGTTGTTTTGGATTAACAGTTGGTTTTGCTTTGTTCCAAGGAAGGGTTCTGTTCTGGGGAAAAGAGTAGGGAGAAGCAAGAGGTTGGGTTTTCCAGAAAAAAAAAAAACTGTGATAGCCAAACAAAAGATAGCAATGATGCTTTAAAAAAAAAAAAAAACAATGAAGATGTGCCCCTGACAGCAAAGGCTCCCATCCCAAAACTTGTCACGTGGCTGACACGGACGCTCGTGGTCCTGGATGCTCTGTGACCTGAGGAGAGATCAGGGGCCTCCAGGGAGCTTCTTATAACAAAGGGCCTGGATACTGAGGAAAGGGCAAGGGCAAAGCAGAATTCAGGATAAAGGGTCCTCCAGGTTCTCATTATTATGGGAAGTGATTCTACCTTTGCCATGTGATTCCTGCCTCTTGTCCCATTAAGACTTGCCACCTCTCACGTTCCTCATCCAGAGAAGGAAGAGCTCACTAATTTCAACAAGTGTTTGTTGATCGCCTGCAGACTAGAAGCCCCCTGGCATCTCTGTCAGCTCCAAATCTAGGAGCCTATGAATTGAATTGACTACCTGATCTGTGCTCCTTACCTACTGGAGTAGAAAACTCTGCTCTCCCCTTTCTAGGCCCTGGTCAGCTTGGCCACCTACACAGATGCTGTGGAAGTGGACCAGAGACACTGATGTCACCAGGAAGCTTGAGGACCCGTGGGGAGCCATTCTCTTCCCCCAACCCCCTTTGCAGGACCATCAAGCCTTCCTCAGACTGGGAGATGTGGGCTACGCTCCTCTCCAACCCCAACCTTCAGTGTCCCTTGGTTGTATAGGGAGAGAGCCAGATCTTTCCCCAGAAGCTTCGCCAAGATGACTTATCTCCCTCACTAGATTGTCAGTTTCTTAAGGGCACACAGTAGGTGCTTATTTCTTGAATGACTAAGTTCAGGATGTGGATTGAGATTCTGGTCCCATGAATTCTCCCTCAATCTGAGAAGCAGAGACAGAGTGAAGGAAACAGAGATGTTTAGGCTGGACAAGAGAAGATTCAAGCGGGTGGCTCTTTAGGGCTGTTAGTAAAGGAAGCTTGTTCTGTTTGCTCTGTGTGACTGTGTACTACTCACTCAGCCTCTCTGGGCACTGAGCAGGTCTCTGGCCTATAGAATAACCCTAAATCTGCTCTGAATTCTGGTGGGAATATGGCTGAAACCCAGAAGAAAATGAGCTCCTTGAGTACAGGAAGGGTCCTGCCTCTGCTTTGGCATCCCCAGTGCTGGCACAGAATTGCCACTTAATAAGTGTGGGTTGATTTCTGAACTGATTACCTCATATGCCTTCCTGGCTTAAAACCCCACTGTGATGCAACAGAGAGAGAGATGGCTTTAGAGTCAAATGGACAGGGTTCAAATCCCAGCTCTGCCGACTGCTGTGATTCAGAGCCTCTATGTGCCTAGATAGGGGATGGAAACAGGATCCAGCCTAGGCCTTCTGCTCTGATCCCGTGACTACTCCAGTAGATCTCTAATCATATCCATGTGGTCCCTCCCGTGATGCTGATTGCAACCCACCCATGCCACTCTTGTCCAAGTCCTCCCACAAGTCGACCAGAGGGGACCCTCCCCAGTGTGCTGGCAGCCTTCCTCAGTTTCTCCTGACACCAGAAGGATAGCAGTGGGCACAAACGCTGTGTGCCTAGCTCCTCTTTTTTCTCCCATCTTTTCCACACCTACATTTCTTCCACAGCATCCTTCAGTGCCTGGCTATACCAGGCTACAAATGATTGGTTTGTCATGTAACATTTTAAAGTTTGGTTCTATCACATTTGGTCCTCACAGCAACCCTGAAAGGTAGGTTCTGTGGGGAATTAATTAGTATCCCCATTTTACAGAGGAGAAAACTGAACCTCAGAGAAGTAAACTAACTTGCCCAGGGTCATCCAGCATTCCAGGCAGGATTCAAACCCAGGACTTCCCAGTATTAAATCCAGTGCTCTCTCCATCACATTACACCCCCCTTTTCTGAAACTCTGAAGCCAACAAACCAGTCAATTAACAGACATTTCATGTGGTAGGCACAGAGCTAGGCACTGGAGATAGAAATGCTACCCAGGTTTCAGGAGCATTTACTAGGACAGAAAGGACAGCAAACCTTGTCTTTGATTCAGCCCTCAGTGGCTTTCAGCCCCCCATCAGGCATTTGGCTGGGCAGCAGAGGAGGGGGGAGCAGAGCCTGTCTGAACCAATAGAATGTTATTCCTGGTAGTTCCCTCAGACAGGATGCAGCACTTGCCACCTTAAAGGTTAAGGTAACCTCTTCTAGTGCTCAGACAAAATGAGTTAGACTCTAGGGAGAAAAATGTCAGGGTGACCCAGAGCCCCAGGTTTGCCATCGGGGGCCTGGGTTCCTGTTCCAACATTGTCTCAGGCAAAGTGTCATGAGCTCCCCAGCCTCACTTTCCTGCTCTGTAAAATGGGGCTTGACACAATTCAATAAAGAAATATTGTGTCTATTTATGGTGATGTTAGGGTTAGGCACTGCGTAAGGATGGAGCTCACTGAGTGGTCCCCAGCTTGATGCAATGGCTCCATGTCATCCCCAAACTGGAGCCTGCTGGGGGCATCTCTCTCCTCCCTCTCTGCCCCTGGGATTTGTGCTGGGTCTCCTGCTCTGGCCAGCAGAGGTGTCCCCACCCTAAGCCTCGCCAGGGAGGGTCACGATAATACCTCTGTTGCTAACATCCATCAAGTGGTTTTGGGCAACCTTGACACAAGCACTACCTTTTAGGGGGAGTTTGGCTGGACCAGATCAAGCCCATTCTTTACAGCCAAAACACAGTGAGCACAGTGAGATGTTGGATTCTTTACACCCTTCAGTCAATTTTGTAACAAGACAGAGCCTAGTGCCAAAACCCTCCCTGTTCCTTTATCACAGGATCTCAGCTATCAGGCTGGAACAGATCTCAAAGGCCATCTAGTTTCCTCATTCTACACAGGAGAGAACTGAAGCCCAGAGCCACCAATTGGCTTCCCAAAGTCACACAGAGGTAACTGGGGTTTGAACTCAAGTCCTCTGATTCCAAAGCCCAGGCTCTTTCCACTGTACCAGCTTTGGCTTCCCATACCTAGCCAGCCCCTAATTCAGGCTGTCCTCAACGGAAATGTAAACTATTCTCCTAAATATCTTATACAGATGGGAATTCAATAGGAGGAGGAGAGTGGGGTGGATAGCCTTGGGGAAACTGGCCAGTGTTTTCAAGGACCCCAGGTTTCTCCCTGAAATAACCCCCACCTTTCTGACATCAGCCATCTTCTGGTGATGCCCATGGATCTTGGAACATGACATTCTCCAAAGAATTACAGCACTGTATCACCCAAAGGCCTCTAGAGAGGGGCACAGTGGAGGGGGGTTTCAGCATACTCAAATGTACTTAAGTGATGGGCAGCCCGCCATTCAATGTTCAAAGATCTGGAGGCCTCCTGCCCATCTCCACCCAGCACACTGGGTGGACTCCTGGTGAAGGAATCATGGGAGGGCCTGGGCAAGAGTCAGGATGAGAAGGCCAGGATGAGTCACCCTCTCAAAATCTTCTCTGACTCAGCGTGAGCTCACCATTCCAGGCCCTGCCTGGAATCCAGGAGCCCTCCCCTCCATCTTGACTTCTTATGTACTCTCTATGTATCTTGCACGTACCTATTTATGTACATGCCATCTCCCCCATCAGAAACTGAGGTTCTTGAGGGCATCTAGTCCACCCCCACCCCCCACTGCCATTCCTCATTGTGTAGAGGAGAAAATCAAGGTCTTAGTGAAGTAAAATGACTTTCTCACAGTCACATAGGTGTGCCTGGGATTTGAACCCAGAGCTCCTTCCACTGTGTCATGCTCTGGCATGTACCTACTCATCCCATCCTCAAAGATGTCCTCAACACAAGTTGGGCTTTTTTGCCTTTCTCTGTATCCAATACAGTGCCTAGCATACAGTAAGTGCTTAATAAATGCTTGCTGATTGATTTTAAGTGCCCCACATCCAGGAGATCACAGCTTCATCCCAATATCTCAGGCAACAGTTGGTGCAGTCATTTTGGTTACAAGACCCTTTGCCCTGCCCACATCCCTGAGTCTCAGAAGGAGCTCCAAGATGTGGTATCAGTGGTGGAAAGACATAGGCAGGGCCTGTCTAGAGGAGGCTGAAAGGAAACCACCTTCTTTAAAGGGCCCAGCCTACAAGCTAAATATCACACCTGCTCACCTTACCCAGTTAGGCAAACAAGAAGAGAGAGGCTTGGGAGTCACTACAAACACACAGGGATTTCAGAGATAACCTCAGACAGAACCTCCATCTTGGGACAAAAATTGATAATGGCTTGCTCAGGGAGGAGGACTTAGGAGCTGCGCAGTGCTGAGTCCTCCAGGGAGCAAACACAGTGGAAGGGGAGGTCAGCTGCCTTCCCTGAGGGGGTGATGGCATCTGAGCACTGACAGATCAGCCTCAGAATCTCTGAGAGCCAAGTTGAAGCCAGGTGGGGCACCCCTGCAGGGCCCCAGCTTCCTTAACTCCTGGTTCAACACCAGCTTGGTGCGGGTGACTTCTAGCTTCTAGGAAATCCCTCCCTTAATATCCCAAGGGATGACTGCTTTCTCTGACCCTAAGTTACCTCAAACCTCCTTATCTAGGCAGTTATTATCCCCATTGTACAGATGAGGAAACTGAGGCTCAGAGAGGTTAAGGGATGATGTGCCCATGTCAGGGGTGGGACTTGAACCCTGGTCTTCCTGACTCCAAGTCCCCAATATGCTGCATTAGAAATACAGGAGAGGGCAGCCAGGACAACTAGGAGGCTTCGGACCAGTGAAAACAATTTGGAATAATTGGCCTAAACAAGACAAAATTTGGGAGATGCATGGCCACCTCCAAGTACTTACAGGGCTGTCTGTAGAACCTGCCATATACAGTAGGCACTTAATAAAAGCTTGGTGACTTGATGAACTGGCAGAAATGGCAGAAATTCTGAGTTTGGCTTAATATAAGGAAAACCCTTTGTAACAATGGAAACTGAAAAAATGAGATGGGTGTGAATTGGGCTGGGCGGCTGCAGGGCCCTGTTCCTGCTCTGAGATTTTATTATCCTACTTCCAGGCTTTGTGGTATCCTTGTATGGTTTCTCCCTCCACATAGAAAGATTGTAACCTCAGGGGCAGCTAGGTGGTGCAGCGGATAGAGCACCAGCCCTGGATTCAGGAAGACCTGAGTTCAAATCCGGCCTCAGACACATAACACTTTCTAGCTGTGTGACCCTGGGCAAGTCACTTAACCCCATTGCCTATGCTTAAAAAAAAATTCAAAATACAAAAAATAAAGATTGTAACCTCCCCTCTACCTCCTCCAAAAATATGTGCCCCTAGAGATAAACCAAGCTACAAAAGCCTGGTTCTCTGGGGACAGAGATACAGGTAGACCAGCCATGCTCAAATCCTTGCAGGGGAAATGAATCAACATTTATATAGCCCCTACTATGGGCCAGGTACTGTACTAAGCTCTATTTATAAATGTCTCCTTTGATCTTCACAATCACCTTGCAGGGTAGGTGCTATTATCATTCCCATTTTATAGATGAGGAAACAGAGGCAGATAAGTAAATAAAGTGACTTGCCCAGTGTCACGCAGCTAGTAACTGACTAAAAGCAGGATTTGAATTCAGATTTTCCTTACTCCAGATCCAGAGCTCTCTTCACTTTGCCACCTGGGCTTGGATTTCCCTGGGCCCCCACCACCACCACCCACCATCTTTATAAGAGTTTGAATGTCACTCAATCCTAAGGAGGGAAGAATTAACAAGAGGTCCTATTTAACCCCCTCACATTCTACAGATAAGGAAACTGAGGCCTCAGAAGGTTAGTGACCTGCCCAAATCACTGAGGTGGGAAGTGGAAGAGGCACAAGACCAGCCCATCCTCTTCCTCACTCTCATGTTTCTTTGGTGACATCTTTGCTCTTCCATCCTTTGAATCCTTCATCCATTCCAACCCCCATTCACCCCAGTGAGGAGAGCAGATTCTGGGAGAAAACACGGGGAAAACACTGGGTTTTCTTCCAATGTTGGGCAAGGTTCCTCGTCTTCTTTCACCCTTTCTTCCCTCATCCCTCTCCCCTCTGCTCACCTCAGACCCAGCATCCTTTCTTCCTCCTACACCCTGCTCCTCCTTCAATTCAGTTCTAAGAGTGTTGCCTAAACTGGGCCTTGGGCTTTTAATTCAGCTGTAAAATGAGGGGTGGGACTGGGTGGTCCCTGTGGCCCCTCCAGCTCTAGAGCTTGGATCCCAAGAGCTCTCTGAGCCTCAGTGTCCTCATCTGTAAAATGAGCGGTGGGCCTAGGAGGTCCCCATGCTACCTCCAGCCCTTGAGGTATGATCTTACATGCTGTGTACGTGCAGGGCACTGTACACAGACATTTAGCAATATTTATTGACCCAATCAATCCATCTACAAAGTCTCCTTAAGTCAATAATTCCAAGCTTTATTGAGGTGCGGCTACTCTATGCAAAACCATTGCTAAGCTCCGGAGAGGCTGGAAAGGCCCCCCGGAGCCTCCAGGGAAGCCCTGCAGACTGATCAGGACGGAGCTAGCATGAGAACCCACCTCCTCGGGCACCGAGCCCTCAGCTCCTCGCGTTGGGAGAAGCTGCGCAGCCGGGGCCTCTGTTTCCTCACATGGCACTTTGTTCTTTTCCGCCACCTCCCTAAGGGAGCTGAAGGGCAAGATCCGGAAGGAGAGCACGAAGAAGGAGCTGCTTTCGGGCCAGGCGCACCTGAACGAGACCCACTGCGGGCGCTGCCTCCAGCCCTACCGCTTCCTGGTCAGCAGCAAGCGACAGTGCCTGGACTGTCACCTCTACACCTGCCCGAAGTGCTGCAGCCGCAACCAGCGAGCGCAAGGCTGGGTCTGCTATGCGTGCCGGCTGGCCAGGTGAGGGCGTTGCGGGACCAGCTGCGGGACCAGCTGCGGGACCAGCTGCGGGACCAGCAGCGGGGCAGCGCGGGGTGAGCTGACTGTTAGCCCAAGTCAACTCCATTGGCAGGAAGCCTGCAAAGAAAGCGCTCGTCTGTGGGATTCGGAGTTATTGTTAGGGATGATTATTGAACAGTGAACTTGGAGTCAGCAGAGACCTGGGTTTGATATAGGCCTTCAGCTGTGAGATTTGGGGCAAGTCACTTCCTTTCCGAGCCTCATCTTTCTCATCTGTAAAATGGGGAGAATAATGCAACCTACAAAGTTCATGGACTGAGAACTAGAAACTGTCTCAGAGACCATCTGATTCACAGGTTCTCAAACTTATTTGGCCTACTGCCCCCTTTTAAAAAAAAAAATTACTCAGTGACCCCCCCCAGAAATCTACTTTATTTAACCTTTTGACGGTTTTTAAAAATTTGTGTCATTTCAAAAAATATAAAATACATATTTTTTAAATGATGTATCTTAAATTTAATGATTCATTGTGTGTTTGTGGGGCTTTCTGCATTGAAATTTTGATGATACAATATCGCAGTAATGTAGTATCGTTACTGTAAACAAGTCATCATAGGCACATATTCCTGCCGATGCACGCTGGACTACCCGACAATGCACCACACACTCACCTGCCATCATCAGTCGCTTATTAAGACCTGTCAGTGGCCTTGACCACTGATCTGTAATAACTTGGATTCTCTGTATTTATTTGGAAAATAATGTAATCGCTATGACTTTAACTCTGTTACACAACAGATGAAACATATAGGGATGGTTTTTCAAGATGTTCTATCTTCTTTTCTTTTCCTATGCTTCCACCACTCCTTTATTTTTATTCAATGCCCCCCAATTGCCCCCCATTGTTCCAGTGCCCCACAGGGAGCTGTGTTGTCTACTTTGTGAGCCTACGAATCCAACCTCCTCATTTTACAAAAGAAGAAACTGAGGCCTAAGGATTTGCCCAAGCTCATACGGGTAGTAAGTGGCAGAGCTAGGATTTGAACCCAAAGCCATAGAGTCCAAATCCAAGGTTCTGTCCACTGCACCATACTTTCTAAGGGACTCACTCAAATTTGGTTGGTTTTTTTCCCACTCCACCAAAACTCATGGGGTTGTAGTGAAAAAAAGTCCTTTGTAATCTCTAAAGTCCTATAGGAATGCAAGCTGGGACTTTTATCCTTCTACTGAAGTCCTTTGTGATGTCCTCACGGGGCATGTAGGTGAGCTTGTGGTTCTGAAGGCTATGGTGGGAGAATACAACCTCTGTAGCAGGATGCGAAGGCTGTAAATGGGGCTGAGACACACTCCCACCCTGTTAAGGGAAGACCAGCCTAGCAAGGCTCAAAAGGGCTCATTCTCATATTAGCTCAAGATGGTAAACTTCTCAGTAAGAGCCATTCTGAAAAATGAGGCATGACTAAGTCATGGAGGGGTCACTATCAGGATCTGTGGAGGGGGCATCAATGCTGATGACATCAGAGATCTCTGAACTATTAAGATTTTGAATAGTGGGACTGTTGTGAGAGGCATCAAGGTGTAGTGAATGAGGTGATGACCTCAGAAAAAGAGCTGGGTGGGTTAGCTAGATGGCTCAGTGGCTAGAGGACCAGCCCTGGATTCAGGAGGACCTGAGTTCAAATCCGGATTCAGACACATAACACTCACTAACTGTGTGACTCTGGGCAAGTCACTTAACCCCAATTGTCTTAAAAAAAAAAAAAAAGAAAGAAAAGAAAAAGAGCTGGGTGCTTGTATTGTCCGTGTGGTCTCACACTTTGGCATTAACTCCCTGGTTCACAAGAATGTCTCTTTTCCTTTGGCAGAGTTGTGAAGACAGGCTCCCTCGATTGGTACTATGAGCATGTGAGAGCAAGGTTTAAGCATTTTGGTAGCGACAAAGTGATGCGCTCTCTCTATGGAAGGATGCAGCATGAACACAGTAACTTACCTGCTTTAGGTAAGAGTGTGGTAGACTGGGTAGGGGAGGAGGGGTCTGAGTTTCTCCGAGCCTGGTCTTCTCTGCATACAACAGACTGTGACCTTCACAGGGACAGCTAGGGGCCAGTCTGCCTCTGGAGCCCCTGGTTTCTTTTCCCAGATGAATGTGAACTGCCCTAGGTAATAAAATTATGCAAATTACAGCAGGAGGCCTCACAGATGTATGTGTGTGTATGTGTGTGTGTGAGAGAGAGAGAGAGAGAGAGAATAGGAGAAAGAGGGGAGGGAGGGAGAGAGAATAGGGGAGAGAGAATAGGGGAGAGAGAAAATGGAAGAGAGAAAGAGAGAGAATGTGGGAGGGGGAGAATAGGAGAAAGAGAGAGAAAGAACAGGAGAGAGAATGAGGGAGAGAGATAATGGGAGAAGGGAGGGAAAGAGAGACAGACAGAGACAGAGACATGGGAACAAGCATTTCACTTTCTTCTCATATGTAGGTGTTGTTATTATCTCCAGTTTACAGATAAGGAAACTGAGGCAAACAGATTAAGTAACTTGTCCAGGGTCACGAAGCTAGGAAGTACCTGAAGCTTGATTTGAACTCTGGTCTTCCTGACCCTAACTAGCACAGTAGCCACTGGGTCATCTAGCAGTCTTCTAATAATAAAAACAATTAAGACAAAAATTATGTAAATAACAAGAGCGAATCAAGTAGTAGAATCATTCCCTGCCCCATTCAGCAATGGGGACAACTGCTTGGGCAAGTCATTTAACCTCCACCAGCCTCAATTTCCTCATCTGTAAAATGGGGGGGGAATCAAAGTAGAAGGCTTCCGTGGTCCCTTCACTCTCTGCATCTAAGATCTTATAAATAGAGCTAATGTTGTTTTTCCCCAGCAGATGGCAGCATTGTGCAGCATGAGCCTCCTTAGTATCTGCTCTGATCCGCCAAGGACTCATTCAGTATCCCTCAGCTGCGCTGTCTCCAGCCCCGAAGGCAGATCTAAGGATGGGGCTGGAGAGCAGAGCATCCCCCCTCCAGAGCAGAGCTCTCTAGTTCGACCCAAGATTTAGAGCAGGAAGGCCCGCAGAGGTGTTCAAGTCCAACCACCCCATCTTACAAAGGAGGGGACTGAGACCCAGAAAGGCAAAGTAAGCTGCTTGGGGTCACCCAGCTACTATCTGAGGCAGGATTCAAATCCAGGTCTTCCTGCCTCCAGGTTCAGCCTCTCTTAGGGAAGGAGAAGCGTGGCGGTCAATGTCTGAGAACAAGACTTCATGCTAATATGAGGGGCAGTGTGGTGCAGTGGGCAGAGAGCTGGCCTCAGACTCAGGAAGACCTGGGTTTGACTCTTGCCTACAATAAAGTCCTACCAGCTACCGTTTCTATACATTATCTCAAGTGATCCCCCCAACAACCCGGGGAGGAACATGCCCTTATAATCCCAATATTACAGAAGAGGAAAGTGAGGCAGACTTGCCCAAGGTCACACATAGCTAGTAAGCATCTCAGGCCAGGCTCAAACTGAGGTCTTTCTGACTCACAATGGTCTACCCTGTGCACTGAGGCACCTGGCATGGTCTTTCTCCATAAGATGCCTCCCGAGAACGTTGCTGATGACGAAGACAATGATGATGACAAAGACGAAGACAATGACGATGATGACAATGACGATGATGATGATGATGATGATGTAAAATAACATGGGTGTGTGCTTTTAAGGTTTGCCAAGCATCCACATCATCTTGTTCATTTCTCAATGAATGTCTTCCCCTTACTTCCAGGTCTTCACAACAGATCCCACAGTCTGCCAGACATGAACAGTAAGTGGCCTGGGTGGTTGTTTTGCTGGCATTCTTACATTCTTACCTAAATTTCAAGGAATTAACCAGAGCCCTGAGGAAAAGCCCCAATTTCCCCATCCTAGTTATGGTTCTACTTGAAGTGGTTGGTGTCTGCATAAAGAGGAAAGAAGACAGGGCTCAAACAGACTCCATCTATGTAAGAAAGAGAGAGAGAGAGAGAGAGAGAGAGAGAGAGAAGAAAGAGGAAGAAAGAGAAAATGAAAGAGAAAGAGAAAGAAAGAGAGAGGAAGGAAGGAAGGAAGGAAGGAAGGAAGGAAGGAAGGAAGGAAGGAAGGAAGGAAGGAAGGAAGAAGGAAGGAAGGAAAGAAGGCATTGGACTCTAATGTTTTATCCATGGGATTCTTAGTAAACACAAATACTTCAATGAGAATCAGCCCTCCCCCCTATCCTCCCATGTACACCTGTGACTCTCCAAGGCCATGAGGGATAGCGGATAGAGCACTGGACTTTGACTCAGGAAGACCTGAGTTCAAAGCCTGCCTCAGCACTCAGTAATAGTGTGACACTGGACAAGAAACTTAGCCCCTCTTGGCCTCAGTTTCCTTATATGTCAAACAAAGGGGCTGGACCCGATGACCATTAGGGTTCCTCCCAGCTCTAAATCGATGCTGCAGCCAGTCTCCTGTCCATCACAGGTGAAGCACAGCTCTCTCCCATCGGAGACAGCGGGGAAAGTGAGCAGACATCTGAAGATGAGGCTCCGGATGGCCCGAGACTCAGCATCTCAGCAGAGTGAGTGTCCCTGCTGTGCCTGTCCCTCCTTCCCTACAGTCCCTTCTCTCACATCACTGGTGCCCTGCAGTCAGGACCAGTCACCATCTGGGCGCCCTTGAGCATCACAGGAGTTTCCAATCCTGAATTCTCAATCCCCAAAGGTCAGACAATGAGGCCAGAGTGACCAAAGTCCAGAGCCAACTCAGCAAATAGCCCATGTCAGCTCTGGTCCCACCTCCCACTGACACCTGTCTGGGTTACAGCGATCCCCTTTCCAGTGCCAGCTTTGGGCAAGCCAAAATGTCTGCTCCAGCCCCCTCCACTCCTAACGCTCAGGGAGCCTTTGGCAGTCCAAGATTTAGGGCTCATCTAGCCCCCTCACTTTGTAGCTAAGTGAACTGAGGCCCAAAGAGGCACAGTCCCCTGCCCAGGGTCACATAGCAAGTGAGTGATTTAACCCCATATTGCATCCATCCTAGAGCAGCCTTTGCATGAGGCCTCTATAGTAAAGGAGAGCTACAGACTCAAAAGGGCTGGGTTCGAGCTTTGGCTGGGCTATCAACTAGCCCTGGGTGGGCTACTTCTCTATCCTCTCAGAGCCTCAGTCTCTTCCTCTGTAAAATGGGAATAAGACCTTTGCAGTCCCCCCACACCAGAGCTGTTATGAGGGGCCAGTGAGAGACACTTGGGGTATGCTCTGCCTGGCATCTCCCTCACCACTGCCATGAGCATCAGATGAGCTCATACATCAGGGGGCACCATGGGTAGAGCTGGGAACACTCGAATTCAAATCCAGCTCCATTAACCAGGTGACCCTGGGCAAGTCATTTTGCCCTCTGTTTGCCTCAGTTTCCTCAACTATAAAATGGGGATAATAATAGCACCACCCTGCCAGGGTTGTTGTGAGGATCAAAGGAGATCATATATGTAAAGTATTTCTTGAACCTTGAAGTGCGATGTAAATGCTAGCTTTATCATTATTATTATTATTGTAAAGTACTTCACAAACCTTAATATCCCATAGACACGTCAGCTATTACTCTTAAGGTCCATGAAGAAGACCCAGCCAATGCCCCCCACATACCTGGAAGTCCCCTCCACAGGGCTCCCCCTCCCCTCCCCCGGTAGGCACCAGACGTGGGTATGCCTAGGCTCCCAGTGCCCCCCGTGAATGCTGGTGCCCTTGACTTTTGCCCTTTCTCCCTCTTGCCACCCCCTTCTAAGGAAAAGCGGCTGCTGTCAGTTCATCCCTTTGACTTTGAAGTCGACTCCGACTGTTTGGCTCAGTCTCGTCCTCAGTCTCTGCAGCTTTGTCCAGCGCCAACCGCCCTGGATGGCCTTCAGGTACTGGAGGGTGGGTGGGCTTTGCTGCCATCCCCCTGCCCCTCTGCTCCCTCCTGGCCTCCCTGGCAGCCAGCACATCGACGCCTTGAAGTGTCTCGCCATCCACCGGGGAAATCCTGCTAGGCAGTGGGGTTGTCCTCAGTCACGAGGACCAGCCCCCACCCAAGCTGTTACTGACCCTTCCCCACAGTCCTCTGCATTGTACTCACACTGACTTCTCTGATGGACTCTGAGTTCCCTAAAGGCAGGGAATAGCTCATCTAGATTCAGAGCTGGGAGGGCCTTGGGGGTCATCTTCACAATCATCCACCTCACCCTTCTTTTTTTTTCAATAAAGAAGCAAAGTGAGGTCCATTGAGGGGGTGAGTATTAGAGCAGAGCCAGGATTTGAATGCGGATCCCATCACTAGGATCCGTGCTCTTGTCTCCCACCAAAGTTAGACCAGAATTATCTCAGGGGCAAAGGTCAGCTCTGCTCTCACTCTCCTTGGCTCTCAACAAGCCCCATGGTAACAGATATGCTGAGAAACCCTCGGATCCTTCATTTCAAAGGACATGGGTCTTCAGCCCTGTGACCAGACCCTCTCAGATGATCCCAGTGCCGATGATGAGGAAGCTGCCTCCCAGACAGATGCCCTGATCACCGATGCCAGCCTCACCCCAGAGGCTCAGGACCTTCTCGAAGAGCAGGGATGCAGCAGCCCCAAGGTGTCTGTGCTCTCAGACTCCAGCCTGGAAAGAAAGCCCAGCTCTGGTGAGCTCCAGGGTCCTCTGGGAGGGGAGGTGGAATCAGCCGGGAAACCTGGACCATCACCCCGGTCTATAGGACAGAGGTGTGCACTTAGGGTTAAGGCTTGCAGGCCCTTCTTGGTCAGCACCCCCTTTTTGGCATCCCTGTGTGGGTTGCATTAATTCTGTCTCCCCCTAAGCTATTTTTCAATGTTTCTAAGAATACATGAGAGACACTGTATTAGAATAGCTAGAGAGCAAACCTCAGAGTCAGAAGACTTGGGTTCCAGTATGGCTTCTGACCCATGCTGGCCATGTGGCCCTGGACAAGTCCCCTAACCTTTCAGGCCCTCCCCTCCAGGTAGCTCTAAGACCAATGAGTTACAGAAGGAGAGCTGACCTGCATTGACAAGGTTTCACTACAAACTCCTGACACTGATGAAATCCCTGGTCAGTCCAAAAAGTCCGTTTTCTATTCAAGAAACGAGCCACCATTTGGGAAGGAGGCTGGGCTGGGGGATGGGGGAGTGCCATAAATGGCTGGCCCTGGGAGAATGAGGATTGGTGAGTATTCTGACATTCCTGGTCACGGGACAAGAAAGGCAGTCTGGGGACAAGCCTTCTTCTGAGGGACTAGCTGTATGGGCCACCATCCTCGAAAGTGCGACAACCAGCTGGAGGATCCAGAGGAGGGCAGCTGGGCTGGGGAAGGGCCAGGAGTCTGGGTCAGATGCAAGGGGGTGGAAAGAACTGGAGAAGAGAAGAGTCAGCAGGGAACGTGATAGCTGGCTCAGGTGTTTGACGGGCGTCCTTTGGAAGAGAGATCAGCTCCACTGGGCACTCAGCGATCCATCCCAGCAAAGAGATCAGTCTGGAACTGAGGTCAGGGAAAGGTCTCTGAGCCTCCCTTCCCAACCTGTAAAATGAGTGGGTAGGACTAGATGAGAGAAGGGGAGGAAATAAGCATTTATGTAGCACCTACTGTGTGCTGGGTGTTTACAAATATCTCATTTGATCCTGATTCTGTCGTTGGAGTAGATGACCCCTGAGGTCTCTCCCAGATCAAAAAGGATCATTCTGCAATCCTAAGTTTCCAGTGATCCTCAGCCTGCAGCCTTCTGGAGAAAGTCACCTACAACCATAGATTCTAGGGATGTGGCTGCATCAGAGCACGCAGCCCCGTAAGGCTCCTTCTGCATAGAGCTATTCATTGAAAGATCCTCCATTCCATTTAGGGGATGGACAAGAGCTTCCTCCAGCTCCAGTTTTGTTTGTTCTGCCATCATTTCATTTCCTGATACAATCCTTGGCATTCAGAGGCTTGCTTACCCCCATCCCACCTGGGGGAGGGATGAGGTTTTGAGCCCCGCAGTTCATGCCCCTCTCAATTCTGCAGTCAATGAGGTCATGGCAGAAGCTGAGCTTTTGCTCACTAAGCCGCCTCTAATAGCATTACTCAATCAGTGCACTGGGGAATCTTATCATAGGGTCCTGAAGCAGAAAGTCTGCCCCCTACCCCCATCCATGTTTTCTCTTTCTGTTTTTCCCTGCCAACATCTGCCAGCTGCCAAGCAGAGCTAGGATCCTGTAAAGGTCTGTAGACATAAAAGTAGTCTTAAAATTCGGCCAGTCAATTTAACCAAAAAAGTATTTTTGTGTTTTCTTTTTTAACTTATTTTTGCATTTATTATCTCTCCTTCCTACTCCTCCCACCACTGAATTTTTTTTTTCCCTAAGAAAAAACCCTAGTCCAGCAATTCAAATTCCCACACCGGTCATGTCCAAAATATACATCTCATTCTACATTTTTAGTTAAGCACCTACTATGTGCCGGGCACAGTGCTAGGCTCTGGGATGCAAAGACAATTATGAGCTTGTGCCTGCCCTCAAGGAGCTTACACTCTGCAGGGGTGGGGGGGGCAGCATGGAAACTGATAAGTGTAAGGAAATACAAGATGGGTAGAAAATAAATACATGGCGATTTTTGTAAGACCTCCACTTCCCAATGGTTCCACCTCACCCCCTCCCAGAGCCCTGCCCCTTATAATAAAGAGTGAAAAAGAAGGTGGGCAAAGGGCCGGGAGAAGTTCAGCAAAACTAACCAATGGATCCAAGAAGTCTGGTAAGTATGCAGTGTTCCATACCTGTAGCCCCCCACTCCTATAAAGAAGTAGGAGCAGATGCCTTCTTATATCTCTTCTTTGAGGTCAACCTTGGTCACCATACTTTTGAGGCCTTAAGTTCTGATTATCTAAACTAGGAGCTTTGACTTGGCTTGAGTAATGGAGAAATGGATTTAGAGTCAGGGGCCCTGGATTGCCTAGCCAAGAACTGGCTGTATGACCCTGAGCAAGGCCCTTAACTTCTCTGGGCCTCTGTTTCCTCTCCTGTAAAATGAGGGGACTGGACTCAAATGTCTTTAAGAGCCCCTAGTCCTCTAAATCTATGGTCTTCCAATCATAGGGGCTGAGAGGGGTCCCTCCCACTTCCAGATCCATGAAACTCTCCCCACAGAATTCAAACCCACTCATCCTCCACAGAGGGAGAAGCCATGGGGAGTGACCAGCCCCAAGTCCAGTACTTTGCCAACATGGACATCTCAGACGAGGACCTTGAAGAGGACCACCAGAGAGCAGCCCACCCGACCCACCATTCCAAACGCAGAAGCTGGACTTCCTCCCCGGAAAGCACAGCTCCCTTTGAAAGCCAGGTAAGAGCAGGGATTCCCGAGAATCCACCTCCATCCTTCTCCTCGGTGTGATAGACTCCACGCAGAGACACTGAACCGAGAATGTTAGAAGAAAATGTGCTCAAGCGTGTTTGCACACTGCTTTCTTTTACATACAAAAATGCTGACAACTCCGTGCTAGAGAAACTCTGAGTAACTAAGGGGGAATGCAGGCCTTTGGCCTTATGAGCTCAGGCAGCTTCCTGAAAATTCCAGCTGTTTCTGAGAACTGGGCCCAAAGGCCCTGGTCCTTGGTCATTTGCCCTGGGCCTTCTCCCCTCTCTTTTCTCAAATTCTCCCTTTCTTGACTGCACATCAAGGCACCAAAGCTTGAAATCCTTCAACCAGCCTGCTCCAGCCACCTGGCCTTCGGCATCTCTGACAAATACTGCCTTTTTCCAAGGCTAGACTCAATCATAGCCCATAGGTTTCCAATAGCATTGAAATCAGACATTCCCAAAGGCAGATGGAATATTGCAATACAACCCTGCAGCATGGCATGCTTTGTGGAAAATTAAGAAATTTACCCGGAAGATAGAAATGACCTTGCTTTGATGGCCTAGGAACTCTGATCTGGTTTAAAGCCCATTGAACACCTGTGAGCTACAGTCAAGTTTAGACTTGGAAAATTAGTCTTATTTCCAAGTCTGCTTAATATTCACCATGATATGTGGTTTCATGAGGAAGAACTAAAGGAGATGTGTTAAAGTCTTATAACCTCAAGGCCAAATTGGATACACTAAGTAACCCCCTGCAGCGAAAGGGGAGATTGCAGATCACAAGACTGTGGGTTGGGTTCGGGGTTTTTAAGATGTAAAAGGCTGTCAGATTTACTGCTCACCAATGAGTTTCATCCTTTCCTCTGCCCCGAGTAATTCTCCCATAGTGTAGGTGCCAAGGCTCACGCTGGGCCCTGGGTGTACAAAGACAAAAGAGATGTAGTCTGAGAGCTCCCATTCTGCTGGGGCTGCTTGAACATGACACATACATGGTGAGGTATAAAAGAAGGCAGGGAGAAAAGGGGGCAAAGGAAAAATTGGACCAGGTGCTCTGGCAGAATGTGAGGGAAAAGAGGGGAGGGGAGGCTGCCATTCCTTTCATGTAAAATGAGAAAGTCTTGGGGCAGCTAGGTGTCACAGTGGATAGAGCACTGGCCCTGGAGTCAGGACGACCTGAGTTCAGATACAGCCTTAGACGCATAACACTTACTAGCTGCGTGAACCTGGGCAAGTCACTTAACCCCATTGTCTAGTCAAAAAAAAAAATGAGAAAGTCTTAGACCACATGGGAGGTAGCTGCTTGGCACTGTGGATTGAGCACTGGACCCGGGATCATGTTAAATCCTATGTCTGATATTAGCTGTGCACCAGGGCAAGCCAGTTCACCTCTGCTTGCCTCAGTTTCCTCATCTGTAAAATGGGGATAATAACCAAAAGGCTTCGCAAACCTTGAAGTACTACATAGATACTAGTTATTATTATTATTATTATTATTATTATTATTTCAGCTCTAAGTCTCTGATCCTCTCAGACCCCCAGTTTCCTCATCTGTAAAGTGAAGGCATAAGCATAGATAGCTTCAAAGATGCCTTCCAGATCTAGACTGATGGTATTATCATTTGAAATCATTCCATCTCTAACAAGTACAGTTTCCTCATTTGAAAATAGGGAGAAAAATAGCCCCCCACCCAATCCCTGGAATGGTCAGGGGACCCAGATGAGATTTTATTTTAATTTTTCAAAGTAAGGCCCTCCAGTCCCCAGCTCCTCTGCCTCTGCCAGCCTGACCTTTGCTCCAGGGATGTTGGAGCCTCTTCTCCATAGGCCAGCCCTGTGCCCGCACAACTTCTTCAAAGGGGGGGCTGTAACAGGAAGTTTACCCAGGACTTTGGTCTGTTCACCCACAAATAAGAGATTCGAAAGGAGGCAGGTTAGGGGATTGAGCCGCTCCCTGACCCCATGAGAGGTCTAGAGAAAGCTCTCCAAGGTGCAGGGAACACAGGACCCCGCTGCCCCTAGCCTCCAGGATGACTCAGACGTCCCCCACTAATTGGTGAGTTGGCCACTAAACAAGCACATGTCCGAGATCTGACCCCCTAACCAAGGTGGGAGGACTGGTCCAAGGTTTGCTCCCAGGGAGAGGGCTTCAAATGAATTTAAGTGCTCAGCCGCTTCAGGCGTTGGCTAAATCAATAAAGCCAATGAGCCTGGAACACAGCTGGTTTTTGTCCTGTTTACTCAGACCTGTTTAATGGGGCTGGGAAATGAGCTACTTCAAAGTAAGGAAGCCATGTGACCCAGCAGGAAAACGCCCTGGTTTTAGGGCCAGAAGACTTGGGTTCAATTCCTATCACTGTCCACTGTTGCTGTGTGACCTTAGATAAGTCCATTTACTGGCCTGGGCTTCTGTTTCCTCATCTGTAAAATGAGAGGCTTGAATTCCTTCCAGTTGTAGACCTATGATGCTCTGATCTTCCACGGGTTTTTGATGAAGATTCTGTGCCTAACCCAGGCTCTTGGTGCTCATGGAAACTCTGTCTCTTCCTCCTCCCACTCAGCTTACTTGGTCTTAATAACTTGTATTATTTTCATTCCATGAATTATAAGATGATTTGAAGCCACATTTGGTGCCTTGGGCACCAAAACAATTCATTTTAGTGCAGACAACAGACACAGGCAGGCCATTTCTGGGCCCAGCGCTCTGGGCTTTCCCAGTGGAAATGAGCTGCCAAGAAGCTGCCCTCTGCTTGCGAGCCTTTGACAGCCCTGGTGATGGGTCAGAGGTGGGTGTTGACAGAGGGTCTGGCATAAAAAGATATGAGGATACAGCCCCCATGCCCTGCAAAAAACCAAACAGTTTCTCTTTCCCTTTGTGGCCTCAAAGGCAAGGAATGTCATCCAAGTCTTGTGGTGGGACCTTGAAGTTACAAATTCTCTGACTCCATGTTGAACATGAAGAGTTTGGACCCAGTGGTCTCTCAGGTGCCCCATCCATTTCTAAAATTCCAGGATTTACTCAGGATTTTTTCTATATTTCTGGTTTCCTGTTTTTGACCTAAGTTTGACATTTCAAAAAATCATACACTCCCATTGTCATTCTGGGGCTGGAAGGGGCCTTATAGACCATCCAACTCCACCATTTTAGAGGCAAAGAGGAAGCCAAAGAAACAGGTGGTACATGACAAAGACAGAATTTGAGCTCAGGTCTTCAGACTCTGAATCTTGTCGAATGCTGCCTCAACGTGGCAATGATGATGGTGATGATGATGATGGTGATGATGGTGATGATTATGGTGATGGTGATGATGATGGTGATGATGGTGATGATGATGGTGATGATGATGGTGATGATGGTGATGATGGTGATGATGATGGTGATGATGATGGTGATAATGATAGCTAGCATTTATATCATGCCTACTGTGTAGCAGGTACTTTACAAATAGTATTTCATTTGGTCCTCACAACAACCCTGGGAGGTAAATGCTATTATTATCACCCTTTACAATTGAGGAAACTGAGACAGTGATGAGGTGACTTGCCCAGAGTCACACCACTAGCAAGAGTTTGAGGTCAAATTTGAACTCAGGTCTCTATGACTCCAGGCCCCTATGACTCCAGGCCCAGTACCACCTAACTGCCCTGGTACTACTTTGTCTCAGGGATTTTAATCAGGTTGGGGACCTGACTCGAATTTGGAATTGCTTTTTCCCTCCATGCTCTGGGGTAGCAGCTGTCCAGTGAATATGCTCTGTTGTGAGATGTTCACAGTGGATAGAGTTGAAGGGGGAATTACTTCAGATCAGATCATATTGATCTGAGTGTCTTAAGGAAATGACTCATTAGAGCCAAGGGTTTAGCACATAAAAGGACCATTGATTGATTGATTATGATACACACCTCTCCCAGTTTAGAAAGATACTCCCACTCCAACCCTGAGTGCCTGGAGGGGCCCAGGCTAAAACCATGGCCCTATCCCTTTCCTCTCTTCAAATAAACCAAATAAGAAGCAGATACAATAATGACAAGAGACTTCACCTCGTCAGTAGAATTGAAATGGAGACAATTGATTTTTCTCAGTCGAACTTAGCCCAAAAGAATGATTGGTTTGGGGTGACGAATAGAAATCAAAATTACCCCTTTATGTAGACCCTTGGATTCTGGCAGGAAACCAGAGGCTCTTATCACCCGATGGCCACTTCACCTCCATCAGTGTGGATGTAATAATGTGTGTGCCATCCGGTGTGGATCAATACAGGGGGTTCTTACTGGATGTGTTGGGTAAACATCCCTGCTCCCAATGAGAGGAAGGACAGGAGGCACCAATATCTGCTGTCTGGGTTTAGATAAACTTATGATCCCATAAGAATTGGGTTTTTTTTTAGTTTATTCATTATGCCTGTGATTTCCCAATCTCTCTTGCCAAGTCACCCAGTTTTCTGCCTTGAACTCTGAAACTGGGGAGGCAGATTGGGGTGATAGGGGTTGAGCAGAGGCTGGTGTTAGAATCAGGAAGACATGGGTTACTGCCAAACTCTTATCAGCTTCCTAACTCACCCTAAGCCAATCACTTTAGCTCTCTGTGATTCCATTTTCTCATTTCCAGCTGGAAATCTGTGACTCAATGATTTCTAATAGCAGGGCTTCCTTGGGGAAGGCTGCTAGCATCCCTTCGAGACTCTCCATTCTGTGGTTCCTTTGTGGCCCTCTCATGGGGGCCTCTTCTTACGGGCTCCTCTTGGGTGCTCTGGTGCTTCCAAGGTGGTGGGCGCCAATGTTGGGAAGTGGAATCTGTTTCCTCTGCTGTCTTGCTCTTTCTCCTGCCGCAGATCCCTGACATGAATTGGCGCCTTCTGGCCATTGAATGCCTGCTGGCCCAGCTACAGGAGAGAATCCTGGTACCCTGGGAGGAGGTAATGCTGAGCCACACCCTGCGAAGCCATGTTCCCTCCTGGTCCTGTCTTCATAAAGGAAATCATGATGCTGAAATGGAAGCCTCTTGTTGAATTAAATAGGGCACCTTATACCATTATCTCATATCATCCTTGAAATAACCCTGGGAAGAAGGTGCTACTCTTGGCCTCATTTTACAATGAGGAAACTGAGGCAGATAGAATAAGTGATTTGTCCAAGGTTATAGAGCTAGTAACTAAATGTTTGAGGCTGGATTTAAACTTAGGTCTTCCCGACTCCAGGTCTGCTGCGCTATGCACTGAGCCATCTAGCTACTTGCACAGACGCTGGGTTGAACAAATTCAACCTATGTACCCACGATGTATGAGGCAAAAAGCAACACGGAGTAATGGACAGATGGCCGGCTTGGAGTCAGGAAGACTCCAAGTTCAAGTCCTACTTCCAACACTAACTGGCTAGGTGACCCTGGGCAAATCACTTAACAGAGCAATAGACCACTAGCCCTCCCAAATCTGAGCCTATGATCCCAAGAACCTGCAGACTTTGACTGTCTATGACTAGCTGTGAGATAATACAGGTGGTGTGTTTTGCAAACTTTAAAATGCCATAGAAATGTTAGCTATTATTATTATGAGAAAGACCTTGAATGAATGAAAGATAAATCATTTATTAAGTACCTGCTAGGTACCAGGCCCTGTACTAAGCCCTAGAGAATACAAGTATAAGCAAAACAGTCCCTACCTTCAAGGAGCCTTACATTCTAATGGGGGAGAACGAGATATGAAGGGGAACTGGAGGGGGGAGTGGGGAGGATAGCAGGGAAGAGGCAGGGAGCCCTGGTTGTGGGCAAGATGAGGCAGAAACAGAAGCCAGCTTCCCAGGGGCAGAGTCCAAAGTCCTGAGTAGGATGAGAAATATAGCCTGAGTGCTGGCAGCATGGTTTGGCAAGAGATCCAGCTAAGCCAATAAATCCTGAGTGCAGTCCATGACACTCTGGGACAGCTCTAATTTTAAAAAGTGTTTCCTGAAAAGCCTCCCAGGCCACACTGTAGCCAACCAAGAATTCCCTTATACCATATATCTAGTTCAATGCCTTCATTTTGCAGATGAGGAAACGGACACTCAGAGAAGGGAAGTGACTTGCCTGAGGTGGCAAAGTGGGAGAGCCAGAATTTGAACTCAGGTCTTCGAATTCTAAACTATCTCTCCACTTCCTCATACAGTATGTATTGTTAATATCAATCAATCAATAAATATTTATTAAGTGCTTACTATGTTCCAAGCACTATATTGAGCCATAGGATACAAAGACAGAAATGAAAATAGCCCTCACATTCAAATGTGAGAAAGCATGTGCATGTTCAAGAGGTACATACTATATCCAAAATGAGTGCAATAATTTCAGAAGGGAGTATCTCTACGTAACTAACTGGTCGTTTATGACTAGAGTAAACCACAAATAATCATCTAACTCCCCCAATATGACAATCCATTCAAGATCTCATCAGTGTGAGAATATGCTCCAATGACTTCAGATCCCAAATGGTCTGTAATTTAACACTTGGAATGGGTTGCCTAAAGCTCAGAGACAAGTGACTTGCCCATGGTCACCTAGCTGTTACATATCAGAGGTGTGAGTAGAACCTAGACCTTCCAAGGATAGCTTCCCCCAGATCACCACTTAATGAATTTATGGCAGCCATCTTTGTCTCTTGTCAACTCCAACCTTTTCTTTTACCAAGAACAAGCTTTCAGAGAACAGTCATTAAATTAACATCACTGTTCCTGGACAGGACCTATCAATCATTGGCCAATCACTGTTCCCTCTGACTTCCTGGTCCAAACTCTCCTCCCCGCTGACCACTCCCCTCTCTGTGTTGTCTTCACTTTTAGAACATAAGCTCCTTGAAGGCAGGGACAGTCCCCCTTGCTTGAATTTGCACTTCCATTGCTTAGCACAGCATCTAACTCATAGAAAGTTCTTCATAAATGCTTTTTTACATTCATTCCATGCCATAATTAATGGTTCTCATGCGTGATATAGCTCCCCCCAAAAAAAACCTCAGCTAGTGGCCAAGGTCTAGTGATGACCCCTCCTGATAAAGTGAGGTGGGCATCACTGATCTCATCTTTGATAATGCAGAGTCCCCAGCAATTCACCATGAGGCATGGCTGGGGAGGGGGAGGACATTACTGGAAGAGTCATGTCTTACATCTCTGGCTAACAGGAGACCTGATCACAGGGAGCAGGGTTGGTATATGGCTATATAACCTGAAAAGTGGCAGCTGGGAAGGAATGGAAAAACAGTATCCACCAGAGGATAATGGAAAGGGGCCTCATTGGATTGGGTATGAGAAAGCAGCAACAAATTACAGAGAGGGAAGGTGTTCAAAGGATCGTTGATTTTGAGACAAAAGGCACCCCCATCATTTTACAGATAAGGAAACCGAAGCATTCAGAGGTGAACTTAATTGCTCCAATTCACACAGATGGTATGCAAGGCAGGATTTGAACTCTAGTCTTTCCAACTCTAGGCAGCTAGGTTGCCTAGTGGTTAAAACACTCAATTTAGAGCCAGCAAGACTGTAGTTCAAATGAGTGTGTCACATAGTGAGAGTGTGCCCCATTGGTATCACTGAAATACCAGGGTAGACCTCCTGTGGCAGACCTGTGGGAAGCCATGAGCAAGGGTAGAACAGGAAGGGCACAGATGGATGGATGGATGGATGGATGGATGGATGGATGGATGGATGGAAGGATAGATGGGCTGCAATCTGCCCCAGTAGAGAGACACACACATCAGCGAGATCACAGCCCTATTGAAATCCTGGAATATTAAGTAATATTAGAGCTAATAAAAAGAGCTGCTGTTGTAGGGAGAGCCTTGGGGGGAGGGGGGGAGAGACAACGTCAAGAAAATATTTGTTGGGAAAAAAAGTCAGTAAGTTGTAAGTGCTGGGAGGGCAAGGATTGCTTTCACTTTTTGCCTTTGCAACTACAGCATCTAGGCCTGATATATGACAGACCTTTAATAAATGTGTGGAGAGGAAGAGAGAGAGGAAAGGAGGAGGAAGGGAAGGAAAAGGGAGGAAGGGAGGGGGGAGGGAGGAAAGGAGAAAGGAAGGAAGGAAGGAAGGAAAATTGGGGAGGGGAAGCATTCCTGGCCCAAGAGCCAGACAGTGAAAGGCATCCAAAAGGAAAAGGAAAGTCCTGGGCGGAGAACAAGGACAGCACCGCGGTATCATTGAGGGAATGGAGGGGGCTGGGCATAAAAACCTGGAAAGGTAAGCAAGGGGTGGGCTGGGAAAAGCTTTAAAAGCTCAAGAAAGGCCGTTGTATTTTCTCTTGGAGGTAACAGGTGGTCCTTGGAGTTCGTGGGGTGTGTTGGGGGAAGGAGGAGGGTGTTGGCGGAGAATGGTGTCATCAGCACTGAGTTGAGCATGTCCTTGAACTCGTTTCTTCTTCCCTATCTGCTCCGGCTTGTGGTAACTTGAAGGAGATGTAGCTTGGTGGCAAGATCTCGCTTATTTTAGCGTTAAGAGTCGTGGGACTAAATCCCCGCTCTGACCCATAGTAGCAAGATTAACTTTCTACTCATCGGCTTTGTTACTTTGACTAGATTCATTCCCTTTCCCTCCCTGAGTTTCAGTTTACTTATCTAGAAAAGGAGGGGTCAGATAAAATGCCCCGAAGACTCGGATCTGGGCCCTCACGGTTGCCCTCCGCGTGAAGCTCAGTTTTCGTTTTTAAAAGCGTACAGGGTCATACAAACACTGCAGAAGAATATTGGCGGTTTGTTGCTGTTTGCTTGTTTTCCAGTAGGCCTTGTTTCTAGTTCATTCACTCAGTGAACTCTGCCATTTTCCAAAGGCCATCCAGCCTGTTTCTCCTCCTGTTTCACTCTGGACTCAGCTCCTTGTCCATTTGCAATATCTGTCCAGGACTGAGCCCACCTCCCGAGCGCCTCGGGCATCACCCACCGGCTGCTGGACGGTACCCCCACTCCACCCACCCCAGCCAGGGGTGCAGGGAAATGGGCTCCAGGCTGGTAGTCCGAGGAGCCGGCTTGGAATCGGGGCCCTGTCCAAGCTCTTTATTAACAAAGTTATAAAAAATTCGCATGACTTTTTTACTTTTATCTTCTTTGTTGCCTTCTAGCTCTCGCTCCCTTTTTTCACCTTTACGTGACCCGAGGATGCCTTTGCTCAGTTGATCTAATTGGTTTTAGGGAGGAAATCCTGATGACGAGGGTGGGGCAGCGGAAGGGAGGGGAGGCAACAAGGGGGAGGGGGAAAGGAGAGGGCGGGACCCCGACTACATAATTAGCTCTGCCTCGGGGCCGGAGGAGACACTCTGGGAGCCTCGGAGGCTTGAAGGTCGTGGACTGGGATCCTGGAGACCGCGAATTCGGCGCCTGCCAAGGCGTAGCGTGGCCAGCAGCCCGGCAGGCCAGTCCTCTCCTGGTGCTCAGCTCGAAGCTAGCGCGCCTTTCTGCGCCTCTCCTAGCCCAGCGATGCAGCCTGATTCTCCCACAACGCCTTCCTGGACTCCTACCGACCCCGCTGCAGCTGCAGCTGCAACTGCCGCTGCCGAGGCCGGGCCCAGCTCCACCCACCTAGGTACCCCTGGGCAGGACCAGCACCCAGTGCGGCCCTGGAGGAAGACGCCCAAAGACTTCGCTTTTGGCAAAATCCTGGGTGAAGGATCGTTCGCCACCGTGGTCTTGGCCCGGGACTTGTCAACTTCCAAGGACTACGCGATTAAAATCCTGGAGAAAAAGCAAATCCTTAGAGAGAAGAAGGCACGATATGTCACCAGCGAACGGGATGTCATGTCCCGCTTGGACCACCCGTTCTTTGTCAAGCTTTACTTCACTTTTCAGGACGAGGAGAAACTGTACTTTGGCCTCAGCTACGCCCAAAACGGAGACCTCCAAAGATACGTGCAGAAACTGGGTCCTTTGGATGAGCCCTGCACCCGGTTTTACTCTGCAGAGATCGTGTTGGCCCTGGAGTACTTGCACGGGCAGGGCATTATTCACAGGGACCTGAAACCTGAAAACATTCTGTTAAATGCTGAGATGCACATTCAAATTACAGACTTTGGATCGGCCAAAATACTGCCTCCCTGTAGTAAGCAAGCCAGGGCTAACTCCTTTGTGGGCACGGCATATTACATATCACCGGAACTCCTCGTGGAGAAAAGTGCGTGCAAGAGTTCGGACCTGTGGGCTCTGGGGTGCGTAATATACTACCTTGTGGCAGGCCTGCCTGCTTTCCAAGCTCGAAATGAGTATCTTGTATATCAGAAGATCATTAAGCTAACATATGACTTTCCAGAACAATTCTTCCCAAAGGCAAAAGATCTCGTGGGAAAGCTTCTGGTTTCGGATTCTACAAATCGATTAGGATGTGAAGAAATGGGGAGATACAGAGCCTTGAAGGCCCACCCATTCTTTGAGAACATCACCTGGGACAATCTGCATCTTCAGATTCCTCCCCTGGTCCCAGGATCCTCAGTTTCTGTGTATGAAGATGAAAATGACTTTGGAAATTATAACATTTTCCAGCACGTAGGTCCACCTTCATCTTCTTCCCATTCCTTGGATGGTAGAGCCATGCTTACTTCAAAGGCCCACTGGTCATGTGGAAGGCTACATTCATCAACTGGATGAGAATTCTTTGGAGCTGGACCTAAGGTTTTCTGAAGAGGAGAAAAGACTCTTACTGGAGAAGCAGGCTAGTGGGAACCCGTGGCATCGGTTTGTGGACAATCATTTAATTCTGAAAATGGGCCCAGTAGACAAGCGGAAGGGCTTGTTTGCCCGACGGCGCCAGCTGCTTCTTACAGAAGGACCTCACCTCTATTACGTGGATCCTGTCAGCAAAGTCCCGAAAGGAGAAATCCCTTGGTCACCACAACTGTGGGCGGAAGCCAAGAATTTTAAGACCTTTTTTGTTCATACGCCTCAGAGGACCTATCACCTGATAGACCCAAAGGAGACGGCTCATAAGTGGTGCCAGAAGATCCAGGAAGTTTGTCAAAGCAGATGCCAGAACCATCCACAGGCTGCTGTCTAGGAAAGCTTACCCCGGGAGGGCCAAGAGCCCTGGCAGCTGCCCTCTGTCCTACGAACTCTTTGGCCATGTCTGAGTCCTACCTAGGTAACAGGAGGAGGTGTGTTTACTGCTTTTGTCTCTCCTGCCTCATCCTCCATCAGGCTCGGTCTCAATGATCATTGAAGCCTGAGAGTTCTTTAATGCCTCTGCTGAAGCTTGATTTCAATTTAATTTTATTCTCCTGTTCCACCTTTTTTTTTTACATATGGCAGAAATAAAATGCTTTTGCCTTCTACTTTGCTTCTTGTTATTTTATGTCCGACGTGGTCCTGCTAGGTTATCTTCCTTTATCCTTCTCTGTAAGATTTCAGGAATGAGTTTATACAGCAAGAACTGGCATATAGAACTCTTTAGAGTTTGCAAAGTGCTTTACATTAGACTGTGAGCTCCTGAAAAGCCAGTGCAGCTTTTGCCTTTTTTATATCCTCTGAGTAAGCAGCAAACCCACTGAGGGCCTACTGTGTGCCAGGCTTTCTGCTGAGCACCGGTGTGCCAAGCACGTGGAGAAACAAAGCCCAAAACAGCCCAGCCCCCTCCTTCAAGGTTTATGTTCTACCCTTGAGAAGCTTACTTTCTGTCTCAGAACTTCCATTCAATCAGCATATATTTTAACTGGGTTTAAAGCGTGTTATTTAGGAGGTGGATAATACATTAGCTCGCTAATACCTCTCTATTGTAACCACCTCAGCCAGCAGCCAAGTGTGGAGAAGTCTGAAGGCAGACTGAAGGGGGGAGGTGGAAGAAAGGCAAAGCATGGTTGGCTGCGGGGCATAAATGGGGAGTACAACTGGGGCTCAGGGGAGCACGGGGGAGAGAGGAACTTAGCTTGGGGAAGAGAAGTCAAATCGATGGGTGGACAGCCTCCTTCCCCATCTTGCCCAAGCTTGACTGTCTCCTTCATAGATACCTCTTAGCTGAGGCTCTTACTGGAGCCTTGGAGCTGAAGGGCCACAAGGGAAAATCGAGCCTGTCCCTTTCATTTTATATGTGCAGCAAGGGAGGCACCCAAAGTCACAGGGAATAAATGGAGGCAGGATTCGAATCCAAGAGGCCAAGCCTCTCACCCTTTCCACCACACACACCAGCCGCCCAGTGCCGCTGCCACCGCCCCCCCCCCACCCCAAACATTTCTTCCTTGGCTGTGTTGACTGAAGCTGCTGCTACTGTGACTCACTTGCTGACCACAGCCGGCACTGGGCTCTGGGTAACTTTCACATAGGCTCTGACTCTGGAGTCCTTGAACTTGGGATTTAGAAACATTTTGAGCATTATGTGTCAATATAATTGGTTTCCTTGTAACCCTCTGTATTTTATTTCGTATGCTTAAAAAGACGATTCTGAAAAGGGGCTTTCCCAGGCTGTCAAAGGGGCTGAGGTGCCAGACTGAAACGTGAGTCCCTGATAGATAAGAATGCTGAGCCTGGAGACAGAAGACCTGAGTTCAAATCCAACCTCAGACACTTAGTCATTTGTGTGAACCTGAGCTACACTTTCCTCCTCTGTAAAATAGGGATAATAATAGCACCTCACCTCCCAGAGTTGTGAGGATCTGATGAGATAAGAATTATAAAGCACTTAGCAGGTGACTGGCACTTAGTAGGTACTTAATAACTGTTTTTGGACTAATGAGCTGTTACTAAGTGCTAAGCACTACAGTGCTGGGTGCTTAGGGTGGGGACAAGAGGTGAGGAACTTGTTGTGAGAAGCTTACCTTCCATTAGTTCAGTCCACAAATATTTATTATTTACTTTACTGTGGCCAGAGCCACGTGCCCCCTTCCTCTCGAGGCTGAGGTGGGGGGGGGGGGTCGTACTTGAGAGACAAAGATTTTAAAAGTCCTTACTCTTGGAGCACACATTCTATCCAGGAAGAAAATGTCTCACTCATTGCTTAGGTGTCTCTGTTAGTCACTGGGGAGACAGAGACTAAAAGAGCCCCTTGTTCCATCCGGGGGCTGGCATAAAGCCAGGCAGGTGAACAAGGCTGCTTCTTTTCCTTAGTGAGGGAGTTTCTCGTGTGCAGCTACCTGCACACAATCATATCTCCGGCCAACGACAAAACTCCAGTTAGAGTGAGGCTTCATCGACCCGTAGAGACGACCAATAGAGGTCATCTAGTCAACCAATCAACATGCTTCATCAAGCGTTTATTCTGTGTCGGGGACTGTGGACCACCTGAACCACCCCTGCCCTCAGGGAGCTTCCATTCTTTAGGCTCCTAGATTCAGATCTGAAAGAGAAGCTCTGGTTTAACCCCTCCCATTTCTAGCATAAGGAAATTGAGGCCCTGAGAGGCTTGTGACTTTCCCAATGTCTCACAGGTAATAAGTAGCATAGCTGGGTGTGCAGTATATTTTATAGTACACAGGTGCTTACTAATTGTCTCCTCTATTAGAATGTAAGCTCCTTGAGGGCAGGGACTATTTTTAGTCTTTCTTTTTCTCCCAACTATGAATATGCTAAACTGACTTAGTAGAGGCTGGGAATTCCCTCCCTGACTTCTTGATATAATAAGTTACTCTTTGTAAGTCCAGGGGGCTCCTTCCTTTGTGGCCTTGATTGATTCAAAGAGGTGTACAGGCCCTGTTCACACTCAGTTTTGATTGTTTGATTCAATTAAAAATTGTCTTCACCTAGTCACTGGAGCTAACATTGGGTGATTGGTTTCAACTCCACCCTTAACACTTAACTACAGGTCTGGTCCCCATCCCCGAGAGCTAACTCCCTCCACTCCCTCCACGTTATGCCCCAGGCAGATAGAAACTCCTCAAACTTTCTGTTGGTCAGAACTTGAAGGAGAGGGGACAGGAAATCGAAGCCAGTTTCATTTGCTTCTCTGTTTCAGTCCTTTGGGCCTGAGCCCCACACGGAGGCTGACATAGAAGAAGAGGCCCTGAAGACCAAACTCGGGGAGCTGACCAGCAAGGTCAGTGACAAGGGAGGGTCTTCAGAGGAAGAAGAGGAGGGCCAGAGTGGGCTGAGCCCGGGAAGGAGCTCTGTAGCTGGCAGCGGACCCATCGAGGCCCAGCAGGTTGGTAACCACACCCTGGGCTATTCCATACCTGACTTCTTGGCCCTCCGGCCTGGCCTGGTGAGAATGTGTCAGGAAAGGAGCATGATGCCAGCAGACTTACTAGACCACTCATCAACTGTCAACCCAAGAGCTCCCTAGAAGGAATAGGGCTGGTTATGGCATTAGGTGTCTCAGGCTGGGAGACATCTAGTCCATCCCTTCCTGAGTAGGATCCCCGCTCCAACATTCCTGGCAAGCAGTCAGGCCTTTGCCTGAATCCTGCAGTGATGGGGAGATCACTACTCATTTCATTTCTGCACAGTTCTGATTGTTGGGAAGTCATTCCTTGTATCCAACCCAAATCTCCCCCTCTGTAACTACCACCTACTGATCCTAGTTCTGAACGTTGGGGAACAAGTTTGCCAAGCACAGCCTTTCAAAGTCTAGAAGCCAGCTTTGTGTCCATCCCACCCCTCTCTTCTCTTCCCTGTTTCCTCAACCAGCCCTCCTATGACCTCAGTTGGAGGCCATTCACCTTTGCTGTATGCTCTCCAGGTTCATCAATATCCTTCATAAAATTAGACACCCAAGATTGAATGCAAGACTCCAGGTGTGGGCTGACCAGTGACCATCACCTCCTGGTCCTGGACATCGCTGCTCACTCTTAAAGAAGCCCAAGATCTCATTGGCTTTTTTGCCTATCCTGCAGGACTATGGACTCCTGTTGAGTTTGCAGTCCCCTAGGACCCCCAGATCATCTTCAAATGAGTTTCTAGCTAGCTAGCTAGCTAGTGAATAGGGTGCTGGACTCAGAAAGACTTGGGCAAGTTACTTAACCCCTGTCTGCCTCAATTTCCTCATCTTCAAAATTAGAATAATAAGAACACTTACCTGCCAAGGTTGTTGTGAAAATAAAATGAGATAATATCTGTAAAGTGCTTGAAAGCCTTAAAGAAATGATGATGATGATGATGATGATGATGAAGAAGAAATGGATTTTCCAAAGCCACGTAGTTGGGGTAATGGGTCTACACTGATCCCCCTACACTAAACACAAGGGCCTAGTCACTCCATCTACAGCCTTGGAATGGGACGAAGCCAGCTGGCTCACACCAGGATCAAATGTGACTTTGTTCTCATTTGTTGTTGTTCAGCTGTTTCAGTCGTCTCCAAGTCTTCATGACCCCGTTTTAGGGTTTTCCTTTCAAAGATACTGGAGTAGTTTGCCATTTCCTTCTCCAGCTAAGGAAACTGAGGCAAATGGGGGAAGTGACTTGCCTAGGGTTACACAGCTAATATCTGAGGCCAGATTTGAACTCAGGAAGATGTCTGCCTGACTTCAAGCTCCAGGCTCTATGTGCATTATAGCACCCCCTAGCGGCCCTGTTTTGGTCTCACTGGTGGTCCCATCCTATGGGAAAAGTTTCCACCAGTTCTGTTAGTCACTCTCAAAGCTGGACAGACCCCATGTATGTGCCTTTAGGGCCTGCCATCTGAGACAGTCTTTCAGAACCTGAGGACAGGATAGGGAACAAAGGGGCTCAATCCCTGCCACGTGAGATTCCGGTGAAAAGCTTGAGGGTGTTTAGGCTGGAGAAGAGAAGCTGTTTTCAAGTATCCAAAGGACTATCACAGACAAAGGTGATTAGACCTGGCCTGAATGGCCCCAGAGGAAAGAGCAAAGAGCCTTGGGTAGAAGCTAAAAAGTTTGGCTGATGTCAAGAAAAACTCCCAACAGCTGAGTGCTATCTAAAAATGGACTCTGGGCTGTCCACCCCCAGCCCTCCATGGAGGTCTTCGGGCAAAGGCTGGTGCCAACTTGGCAGACAAGGGGATTCCTGTCTGTTAGGGGTTAGACTAGGGGGTCCCCCAGGACTCTTCTATCCCTGAGTCTGGCCTCCCACTAAAGCATGGACCCCTCCACTCTGTGCATCCTTAATGTCTCAGAGTATCTCCTCCCACCAGGCAGATTGCAACCCTCTATGCCTAGTGGATAGGTTTTCATCAACTTCCATAACCTGGTGCCCAACACTCGAGGCCTCCCCACACTGAGCTGGACTGGTTCTCAGACAGCAGATGTTCAAGCCAGCATCAGTGTGCCAAACATGTTCACCTCCATCTACCCATTATGCCAGCCCTCTCCAGCTTGATCAGACATGCAACATGTTCATTCCACTGACTTGAAGGCTCCAGGGTCCTCTCCAGGCCTCGCTACAATGAGGCAAGGGAGAAGGATTTTAGTTCAGGATTTTTCACAGTAACTGCCATTTGTGGGGACACAGACAGAACCTGTGATTTCATTAGCAGAAAGAACTCATTCTGCTCATGCAATTGGGTGACTTGGAGGCTTAGAGAGAGTTGCCTGGAGTGCTAAGGAGAGGCAGAGACTTGGCATAGGATCATGCTGCCTGTATGTGTCAGAGATGGGACTTGAACCCAGGGCTTACTGGCATCTGCTTCGGCTCACTATCCACAACCCTCCATACCCCACCTTGTCTCCAGCTTCCTCCAGGGACAATGATTGACAGATCAGAGATTTATAGCTGGAAGAGATCCTGTAGACATCTTGTCTGACCCCCTCATTTTACATCTGGGTTTACACTGTAGGTGGATAGCCCCGCATCCGGTCCCAATCTGGATCAGGCTTTTACCCATGTAGCTAAGTCTGCTCTGTCCTATTTTCTCCAGGCTGGCCAGACACATGGAGGGGAGAATAGGCTTCTTGACCTTGAGGAACGAGTCCCAAGCACCAGAAGCCCTGAGTCAGCGCTCTCAGAGCTGGAGGACAGAGTGGCCTTGACAGCCACTGAAGTTCAGCATGCAGAGAGGGAGGTAATTGTCAGGATATCTTATGTCAAGTCTGCAAGGATTTATTAGAATCTACTCTGTGCTGAGCACTAAGTGAAGTTCTGAGGATACAAAGAAGGGGAGGGGAATTACATTACTATTCTATCAATTACATACATATGTGTGTGTATGTGTGTATACATACTATATACATACAATGAATTTGCAGTTAGGTAGATAGATGATAAATGGATAGATAGATAGATAGATAGATAGATAGATAGATAGATAGATAAGATAGATAGATGAGATAGATGGATGGAAAGAAAGATAGATGAATGGATGGATGGATGGATGGATAGATAGCTCAGCCTTGTGCTTTCACTAGTATTTTCCCCAGCATATCAATTAATTTAAAAACATAGTTCTGAGAAGGGGTCCCTCAGCTTCACCAGATGCCAAAGGAATCCAGAACACAAAAAGAGGCCAAGAACCCTTAGGCTGGAGCGTGCTGAGAAGGAGGACTGTTCTCAGGTTTCATTTAGTGAGCCAGTTGGATGAGGGGTTTTCGTATGCATTTAACATGTGGGTCTTGTCATAGGTGTCAGATATAAAATCTCGAATTGCTGCCCTCAGCGCCGCTGGACTTCCTGTCAAGACCTGGGAGAAACCAAGGAAGAAATCAAACCTACAGGTGGGTAGAAGGCACTGCAGGCTGGGTGGGGCATGGTGGGGGGAGTGGGAGGATGGAATCACTGTCCACAGCAAGCCAAGCCCCAGCCGCAGCTCCCAGAACTGAACGGGAATGCCAGGGGTCGCTGCTCTGCTGGTTTGTTGGGGGTTTTATTTTCCTATATCCCTTGGTGATACTGCATCCTGGAGACTCACTATTAGATCTTTCGCCACTACAAAAAAAAAAAAGCCACTATTAGTATTATCGTACATATTGGGCTTTTTCCTCTTTCTTGATCTCTTTTGGTCATGGACCTAACAGCATATAGCTGTGTCAGAAGGCACACTTTTTGTGTCTGGTTCCACATTGCTTTCCAGAATGGCTGGATCAATTCACAGTTTCACCAACAGTGCATCAATGTGCCTATCTTCCCTCAGGCCTCCCGGCATTTATTGTCTTTGCCAATCTGATAGGTGTGAGGTGAAACCTCACAGTGGTTTTCACTTGGTTTTTCTCTAATTATTAGCAATTGGAGTGGTTTTTTTTAATACAGCTATAGACAGCCTTGGTTTCTTCTCTTGAGAACTCTCTTATCATATCTTTAGACTGTTTATGACTTGGGGAATGGCTCTTATTTTTAAATTTTTGGATCAGTTCCTTAGAAATGAGACCTTTGCCAGAGAAATTTGATGCAAATATTCTTCCCAATCACCTGTTCCCCTTTTAATCTTAACTTTATTGGATTTGTTTGTGCAAAATCTTTTTAATTTTTGGTAATTAGAATTATCCATTTTATGTTCTGTGATCCTCATTAATCCTTGTTTGGTCATGAACTTTGCTACTATCCAAACACCTGATACATAAATTCTTTCAATATTTCTCGAATTATTTGTGCTAGGACCTTTTGTATCTAGGCCACAGGCCCATTTGGAGCCCATTCTGATGTAAGGGATGTGAGGTGTTAGTGTAAAGGAATTAGGATTAGAAATGGAATCTGTTACAACCCTAATTCCAAGGCATTCACTGTGGATAAAGCACTGGGCCTGGAGTCAGGAACACCAGAACTCAAATCCAGGCACCAACACTTACGAGCTGGACAACCCTCCACAAGCCATGTACCCTTCTTCAGCCTCAGTTTCCACATCTGTAAAATGGAGAGAAAATAGCACTTACTTTGCGTGACTGTTGTGAGGAGGAAATGAGATAATATTTGTAACGTACTTCACAAACCTTCAAGTGCTATATAAATGCTAGTTATTCTTAATAATAAATCTAACTTCTTCCATGCTGCCAACTACCTTCCCTAGCAGTTTTGATCAAATAGTGGGTCCTTTCCCCAGTAGCTGGGGTCTTTGGGTTTATTAAAACTAGGGTTCTCTATGGTATTTACCTAATCTGTTCTGCTGATCAACTTCCCTATTTTTAACCAATACCAAATTGTTCTGATAATTACTACTTTATTATAGGGGGCAGCTAGGTGGCACATCAGCCCTGGAGTCAGGAGGACCTGAGTTCAAATCTGACCTCAAACACTCCTAGATGTGTGACCCTGAGCAAGTCACTTAACTTAAATGTGTATGTGTGTGTGTGTGTGTGTGTGTGTACACATATACACACAACACATACAAACACACACACACACCAGTTGTCCTTCTAAAGAAAGGGGAATGGTTGAATAAATTGTGGTCTATGACTGTTATATAATAGCATGGTGCTACAAGAAATGAGGAACTAAATGATTTCAAAGACACATGGAAAGAAAGACTTGTATGAACTGCTGCAGAATGAAATGAGCAGAACCAGGAGAAAAATTTATACAGTAATAACAATGCTGCAAAGGTAAGTCTGAAAGCTGTAAGAACTCCGAGGAGGACAATGACATCCGTGATTTCAGAGTGCTGGTTGTAAAGCATGCTGCGCACCTTTTGGCCAAGGCATGGAAGGATGCAGAATGAGATAACTTTTTTAAAAACACAGCCATTGAGGAATTGTATTTGCTTAACTGTGCATACTAGTTGCAAAGCATTTGTTTCCCACCCCCATGGAAAGGAGGAGGGAAGGAAAGAAAATATGTTTTTGTTAATTTTTAAAAACTTTCATATGAAGGAAAAACAAAACAGAAAAAGACTCAGCATTTGGAATAGAGGACCCTAAGTTTAGAGCCAGAAGGGGCCTCGAAGCTCATCCCTCCAGTCCAATCCCTTCACTGATACTTGAGGAAACTCGGGCTCAGACTTGGTTGAGTGACCAGGATACAAGCATCATAAAGTTAGGGCTGGAAGGAGCCTTACAGGTTGTCTACACCCACCCCCTCATTTTACAGATGAGGAAGCTGAGGCCCAGACAGGTTAGCTGATTTGCCCACGATCACACAGGCAGGACGCAGCAGAGGCAGGACTTGTACTCAGGTCCCTGACTCCAAATCCAGGAGTAGCTGATCTGCCTCAGTGAATGGGAGTTTCTACACTAGCGAGTGCTCAATCTCCACACAGGCCTAGACCCCCAAAAATGACAAAAATTCTATTATCAACCTGACATTGCTTCATTTTTTTAATGGAAAGTCACAAGGTAGGATAGTGGAGATTTGGAATCTTGGGGTTTAAATTCCAACTCTCTAAGGGTGGCCCTCTTCCCCTCTGTGCCTCAGTTTCCTCATCTGTAAAATGAGGGGTTGGCCTCTAAGGACCCTTTAGCTCTGGAGTGAGAACCTAGATTCATGGTCATCTATGGGGAGAGGATCAGTTCCCCCATCCAACCTGGGGGGACCTGAGTCATGTGGGTGTCATGAGGGAGCCACTGAGATGTCTCCTTTCTTTACTCTTAGATATTTCCCCTGCAGACCCCCAAGAGCAGCCTCGGAGTTGAAGATCCCGAACTCTCTGGGGCAAACAAAGTGAGTAACCGCCCATCACCCCAAGAAGCCAGAAAAGGAGAGGAGAAAGGAAAAAAAGAGGCTCAGCGTCAATCGTTATGAAATAGGATTGGTCTATTCAGATTTAGAGGTCCTTTTTAAACCCTTGTTTCTATTCCTGTCTTTATTTCCAAATACATCCTTCTCCCTCACCCCCTCATCCCTTCCAACGAAGATTTTATTATTTTTAATAATATTTTATTTCCCCCAATTACATGTAAGAAACAATTTTTAACATTCATTTTTAAAAATTCTGAATTCCAAATTCTCTCCCTCCTTCCTTCCCTTCCTTCTCCCTGAGACAGCAAGCAATTTGATATAGATTATATAATAACAAAGATTTTAAAAGAAAGGGAAGAAAAGCTATTCCACAAAACCAATAATCACATTAATGGTATCTGACAACGTATGCAATATTTTCCACCCATAGTCCCCCCACCCCTGCAAAGGGTAGGAAGAAAGAATAGTATTCATAAGCTGTTCAACTTAGGGAAAGACCTTTGCTGGGATGGGGGGGGTCACCTAAACGGAGGATTATTAATTTGGTCCTGGAAGAAAGCTTAGAAGTTGATGAAGTGGATAGAGCACTGGCCCTGAAGTCAGGAGGACCTGAGTTCAAATCTGTCCTCAGACCAAACACTTGACACTTACTAGCTGTGTGACCCTGGGCAAGTCACTTAATCCCAATTGCCTAAAAAGAAAAAAAAGAGAAAGTTTAGAAGCCAGCTAAACAAATCCTTCATTTTATAAATGAGGAAACTGAGGCGCAGACTTGCCCAAGTTTACACAAGTAACAAGTAGCAGAGTTGGGATTTGAACCCAGGTCATCTGACTCTAATTCCTCTGTGCCATACACTCAATTCTCTTTCTAGTGCCCCTCCCACACTGCCTTTTTTACCTTTTGTATATTTCTGATTAATTAAAGATTTTCACTTGATTAAAGCAATTCAGGAAGAGATGGAGAAAAACACTCAACGGGGGAAAAAAATTACCAACATGCAAGTAAGAATTAGGGTGCTAGGTGATGCCATAGTGCACAGAGTCCTGGCCCTGGAATCAGGGAGACCTAAGTTCAAATCCAGCCTCAGACACTTGCTAGCTGTGTGACACTGGACAAATCACTTCACCCTGTTTGCCTCAGTTTCCTCATCTGTAAAATGAGCTGGAGAAGGAAAGGCAAACCACTCCAGTATCTTTGCCAAGAAAACCCCAAATGGGGTCATGAAGAATCAGACACAACTGAGAAAGACTGAAAATAAGAATTTAAAAGTGGAGGGTGTTCAAAGTAACATGGATGGGTCTCTTCCCTTCTGACACTGATTATTTGTTGTATGCACAAATGAGTCTTTAAAAAAAAAAGACCATTGGTGTGGGGGGCCTCCTCCCTCCAGCCATGCTTAACAACTGCTTTCATCGCCTGCCTAACCTCTACCCTTGCTGCTTAAAGCCTCACCAGCTTAAAGTCAAACTGGCATTGGGTGAATGGTCTGAGCAGGTTGAAGACTGAATAGACATGGCTTCAAGGCACCGCTGGGTCCACCCAAGTGGTGCTTGAAGTTGAGATACAATAGGAAGAAAGCCTGACCCATGACTGTGTTGAGTACACCCTACTCAGCTAAGGGAGGGTAATAGATAGAAGGATGGCCAGCACTAGAAAAGATGGATGGTTTTCTACTTCATTTTTTCACCTCCTTTTCATCTCCAACTATACACCCAGGATTGGACTGGTTCCATAGATCAGGCCAAGGACAAACTCATGAAGTCAGACCACCGAATGACATCTCAAGATGTCAGTCCTTCCTACTTACTATCTCTTATCTCCTTCAGAAAAAATCTCGAAATTTCAGGTTCCTCCACCGTCCCCTGCCGAAGGGCCTGAATACCCTATGGCCCAGTGGTTAATCTTAATTGGCAGGAATATAGAGTTTTCATGGTAAGATCTTAGCTAAATGTCTCAGTTGATTATAGACTGTAGATTCAGAGCTGGAGTGGACCTTAGAAGGCTATCTGGCCCAATTCCCTTATTTGGCAGATGAGGAAACTGAGGCACTGAAAGAAGAAGAGATCTGCCCATTTGTGTAGCCTTAGTTCACCTCCCTGGCCTTAGTTTCCTCATATGTGAAATGCATAGGTTGGATTAGAGGAGCCCTGAGGCCCCTCCCAGCCCGAGATCTATGATCTTATGAGTCAGAGACTAGACAGGAGTCTTTCTGACTCATAGAATCATAGATTTAGACCTAGAAGCAGGGGCACATTGGAGCCAGCTTCTACCAGCTCAGGAGAGCATTTTGATTGATAAATTTTCAGGGTGAGCATATATGCTTCAGAACCTGAAGATCTGTTAATATTTCAAGCACTGATTTTTCCCTCACCCCCCTCTCAATCTTCCAAAAGGAAGAATTGACCCTCAGGATTCAATAAAGACTCAATCCAAAAGCCTTCTTTTTCTTATAGGTAATGGCTAGGCCACATGTACAGAGGAGAATATTCAATAATTCTCTCAGACTTCAAGGTAAGGATCATCAGGTCTGCCTGCTGGGGGAGCCAAGAGGAGGCAGGGACCTTAGAGATAAATATTTAGGGAATTGAAAAGAAGCAAATTGTGGGGACTTGTAAGGGTTAAGTGAATAGATTCAGCTTCCGTTGAATGTTTGTTGTGGATACAAGGAAAACCCAACAGGCTGAATCCCTCCAGAAACTGCTCACTCCAGACTCTCAAGTGAAGGGTCTGCCCCTTTAAAAACTAAGGCCATTTTCTTTTAAACACAACACACACTTCTTGGTCATGCAGCCTCTTCGTGGCTGCCATGCACTGGACTCTGTCCACAGTGGCCAAGGAGGCCTTCAAAGTGCCCTCATTCCCGCTCCCTCCACTGGGCAGTGCTCTTGAAGTCACTCTGTACTGCTTGGGATATCGTTTGTATTTGCCCAGTATATCAGCATAGCGGCATAGTGTATCCCCCCTCAATAAAATGTAAACTCCTTGAGGGCAGGAGCCATTCCATTTTATCTTTGTATCCCCAGTACCTAACTGAGATTCTCTATTGTGCCATAATGGATGAAAAGCCTCCTTCAATTGATCTGAGTTTCCAACAACAAAAACCAACCCCCCAAAACGGTTCCACCAAATCACCAGATATCATGCTTGCAAGAGACACATCACGTACCTTTTTCCACGTTTGTAGTTTGTTCATGAAAAGCAAGGGAGTGGCCTTTACCTTGGACAGCCTGGTACTAACCTCGCCCGAATCCCTCGAGCTTTGGCCTCGGTCACGTGTTCATCTTCCTCCTTCAAAGCCCAGGGGATGTAATACATCATTTTCTTGGCACTTCAAAGTCATTGTTAGGAGCCCGCCACGGCTCAGCGATGCTCCCCACCTCCCCACCTGCCTTTGGGGCCTGTAGTGCTGCTCATCACTTCTTGTGTTCCCAGCTGCTTTGGATAATTTGGCTTGTCCTTTACCTTCACTCCTCCCTGCTGTCCACGTGCCTGCCTCCGGCAGCAGCTTTCTAATCGGCTGCTTCTAATCTGCTCTGACGTGGCCACCAGACCACCAAGGTGGTTAGAACTGCTCATTGAAACAAGTAAATGGGCCCCAAGGGAGGGCCTGAAGGAAGGGTGTGTGGATGTGATGAGCTCCATTCAGGGTGCTCAGGGAGCCTGCTGGTTTATTTTCTGGATCTCATCAGGGTCCCAGATGATCGGGGTGAGAAGGAACTGAATTTGAGACAGGGAGGGTGTTGCTATAGCACCTGATTCCTGATCCTGACTGGGTCCGTGAAGGCTCACTCAGATTCCTCATCCCAATGATGAGGAATCCTCAAAGGCTTCACCCATGGACAGCCAGCTCTTTCAGGCCTGACCAGGCTGGAAAGTCTTTCAGTGAAGCTCTAGGGATGGACTCTACATCTCTGGGCCAAAGAGTAGCCTAGATTAAATGAGTCAGGCTCCTCTATGATGAGGGATTTGTTGGCCACAGCTGCCATCTATGCACAGAGGGGTCATGATCTGCTCTGGTAGAGGTGGAGATCCATCCACTCCAAAGAAATGACAGATCCCTGCAGCATCAAAGTGGAGGGGGGGGCAGGGAGTATGCAAAAACGTATGAGTGTACCCACATGCATGTATGTACTCAGAGTAATGTGAATGCCAAACATCTTGGAAGAGGTTAGGTTTTTCCAACTTTATTTCCTCAGACCAGGATTCCTAGGCCCGTCTGGGCTTCTATTGCATGGCTTCTCCTCACACACAGTGTCCCAGTCAGACTGGCCTAATCGATCCCTGAACTGGACATCAAATTTCCTACCTCCATGTCTTTGCATAGATTGTCCCCTATGCCAGGATTATGTTCCCTTCTCATCTCCAACTCTCAGAATCTTTAGCTTCCTTCAGTGTTGAATTTAGATGCCACCCTCAACATGAGGCCTTTCATGATCCTCTAAACTATTAGTGCTTTTCCCAAAAATTAGGTTTTATTTATTTAGCTGTTTGAAGGCCGTATGCCCCCAGAATATGAGCTTCTTATTTTGCTTTTGTCTTTCTCCAGCACCTAGCCTAGGCACAAAATAAGAGTTTAATAAATGTTGGATGGATGGATGGATGGATGGATGGATGTTGAAAGAGAACATTAATCTTTAGTCCGGAGTAAACAAAGTACAGACTGATTATTCCTCTGATATAATCTTGTAAGTTATGATTGGGCTTTCAGGCAGCTGAGGCCACTGTCCAAGGTGCTGAGGGGGAAGGGAGGTTGCTTTGCTTGAAGTATCTAGGGAGGCTTGTTCTAGAGACCAGCATGGAAACTGCTGTCATATTTGATAGTTTGAGCCTAGCTAAGTGATTAAATCAAACCTTTTGTTTCCCATGAAGACAGAGTTGATGGCCCTTTCAGCCGAGCATCAGCTTACCGAGGGTCCTTGACCCAAAGAAATCCCAATGGGAAGAACAGAAGGGTGGATCACATCTTTGCGGTAAGACTTTCACCCCATTCAACTTCATACTTCAGCCCAGTGAGTCTATTGTCTTCAGCTAAATACCCATAATCTGGGCCAGCTTAGTCTTAAGACAAGCCAAGGCAAAGAAGAGGGTGGTCAGATAATGTTGAAAAAATGGAACACTCAGTATCAGTCAACAAGCATTTAGCAAACACTAGGTGCTTGGCACTTTGCTAAGTGCTGGAGGTACCAAGCAAATGAAGAAACAATCCCTGCCTTCAAGGAGCTTACATTCAAATGGGAGAGATGCCATGTATGTAAACAGACATATACAAGATATATATACCAAAAGATGAAAGGTAGCATTGGAGCAGAAGGCTCCAGCAGCTGGGGGATGGGGAGTGGGGTGGCAGAGAGACTAGGAGAAGCCTGCTGGAGGGACTTGAGTCTTGAAGGAAGCCAGGGATTCCAAGAGGCACAGGTGAAGAAGGAGGGCCTTCCCGGTATGGAGACAGCAAGGGAAAATGTCTGTAGGCATGAGATGAAACATCACATTTGAGAAATAGCAAGCAGACAGAGCAGTGTGGGTGCTCTGTAGCTTATGGGAAGTGGAGTGAAGTGAAAAAAAAAGACCAGAAAGGTAGGGAAAGACCAGGTTATAAAGGGCTTCAAGTACCAAACAGAGCAATTTATATTTACTCCTTTGTATGATAAGGAACCAGTAGAGTTTGCTGAGTAGGAAGTGACATGGTCACATCTGCACTTTAGGAGAATCTCTTTGGTAACTACATGAAGGATGAGTTGGAAGAAGAATGGTTGGATGCAGGAAGACTAACAATAATAATAGTTAGTATTATGGTAGTAATAACTAGCATTTATGTGGTGATTTAAAGTCAACAAAGTGCTTTACCTGGTTTTGGTCCTCGGAGGTGATCTTACTGATCTAATTAAGAGGCCATTGCAGTAATCTAACTGAGAGGTGAAGAGGGATGAATCAGGGTGGCAGCTGTATGAGTGGAAAAAAGGGGACTGGAGAGAGATGTCTTGGAGATAGAAAAAACAAGATTTTACATTAATTGGGAGGGGGAGATGCAAGGGGGAATCATCATCATCATCATTATAGGTAAGGCAAATGGGGATGCTAGTCACTGAGAGCTTAATTGACTAATAATGTAACAGCCAGTTTTGGCTTACGTATGAGAACAGCAGGGAAGTGCCCCCAGGCTCAGAATTTCATTTGAGCGGTTTTTAACGTGTGCTTGCATTTCTTTTTTTGGCCTACTCCCCAGAAACCTGTGATGACCCATCAGCCTTAAAGAAGACCTTCAACCTTGGAAGTCACATAAAGAATGACTCACGTTTCCTCCACTATCACTGCCATTGTTTTCTTCTCCCTCTTCAATTCTTTCTTGGAAAAAAGAGGAAACACCACTTGTATGGGATTCCAGCTTCAAGATAATAATTGTTGTCAGCTTTTCCTCCAACCCTCTGCAGAGCGAACTTAAGAATAGAACTACATGGCCCATCACTTCCCAGATCAGGGCAACCTACTTGCTACCTGATGCTGTGTTTCTTTCCAGTTGGATATGTCTCTGAATTTGTATTCCATAGACTCATAGTTTAGAGCTAGGAGGGACCTTCGGGAACATCTGCTCATGGGAACATAGTATCATAGATTTAGAGTAGGAAGAGACTTGTAATCCAATGCCTCCATTTTACCCATGAAAATACTAACATCCAGGAAGGGAAGTGATTTGCCAAGGTCACCCAAATAATAAGTAGCAAAGCTGGGATTTAAATCTAGGTCCCTTAAAAAGGGGATGTCAACCCTCAAGGGACCCATTTAGATACCTATTAGATGATCACTTTCTTGTATTGCTTTTCTAACCATTGTTGCTTCTACCATAATGAAAAGAAAGAATGTATAAATGGCCACTGGAGATCAACATATATAAATGTGTGTGTGTGTGTATGTGTGTGTGCGCGTGCATGTGTGCATGTGTACACACACATACAGAGAGAGACAGACAGACAGAGACGGGGAGGGGAGAGAGAGAGACAGAGAGGAAAAGAGAGAGAAGGAGGGAGGGAGGGAGAGAAAAAGGGAGACAGAGACAGAGAGAGACACAGAGAGAGACAGAGAGACAAAGACAGGAAAAGAGAGAGGAGGGAGGGAGAGAAAAGGAAGGAGAGAGAGAAAGAGAGGGAGAGAAACATAGATTCACTTTAACTTGATGTTTCAGTGAATCTCTAATTTTATTGGCATGGATACTACTACTAATATTGCTACTGCTCATAATAATAGTTCACACTTATATAGCCACTTTTTAAGGCTTGAAAAGCACTTTATAGACACCTCATTTGACCCTCACAATAACCCTAAAAGGAGGGGCAACTATTATTCCCATTTTACAAATAAAGAAACTGAGGCCCAGAATGGTGAGAGACTTACCCAGAATCACACACCTAGCAAGCAGATGAGGCAGAATTTGACCTCCTGAGTCCCTGTCTAGCACCTTAGCTGTGCTACTTCCACCAATACTAATCATAAGCTCCTCTTTGCTTTCATTCTCTGCACTGATTTTCTTTTCTCCATAGACCTCTCACTGTAGAGAAAGTGCCCCACCTGATCTCTTCAGTGGCTTGGGGTGCCATGTCACACTTGGGCTAGCCATTGTTCTCCTCTCATGCTACTGAGGCTGGCCTGCCTCCTTAGCTGGTCACTCAAAGGCATGCGCTTTATGACACGTCTAAGCTAACTCCCCACATACAAGTCATTCTGGGATTGTGCTGCAAGCTGCCTCTGTCCATTGCCCATTGGGTTACTTACTAACATAACAAGCACCTTACAGCAGTGACGAAGGCCGTTCTCCTTTGGCCCTACTTCAAAACTCCCCCGTACCTTTGGTCTTTCAAACCAACACTGCACAGAATTTGTGGCCCCCACTTGCCTCCTTGCTGGTGGCTTGCGTCTCACAGGCATCCACTAACAGTCATGCAGTAATGACAGATCCTGGAGGGCATGGCCTGGCTGGCCTTTGTGTTTCTATCCTCAGCATTCAGCCCAGTGCCTGGCACTTAAGGAGATCATGGAATTCTAGATGAGTCCAACTCCCCCATTTTATAAAGAGGGAACTGAGGCCCAGGGCAGGCAGGACCCCTGTTCCTGTCCTAGCATAAGAGTGAAATGAAGAGGAAGCATCATCTCAAGCACTGGGACTCAAGTCGTCCCCAGCAGCTGGGCCCATAATTTCATGACACACTCATCTACCCAGTTGTCCCTGAGAACTTCAGAAGAGATGGCTCAGACCCCAAATCCCCAACTAGGAAGTTGTTTCAGATAATGATCTGGTAATGCCATGCTAAGAAATATTTAAGGGTTCTTGGTCCCAGCCCAAAGGTGCCCATCGTTTACTTCTCTTAACTACCAACAGAGGCTCTTGAATCTGTAACTGGAAGGAGCCTCAGAGACCATCGGGTCCAAGCCCTTCAGTTTATAACAACTGTGATTTGTCCAGAAATGGCAGAAGATGCCCTGTGACTCACACTGCAGCCTCTTTCCCCTCTGACTCTGCACTCGCTTCTGCCATCAAGGGATGAAAGGAACTCCAAGGGAGAAGGAGTCTTAGCAGTCCCTCAGGTGATCCAATCCTTCATTTCTCAAAGAAGGAATCTGAGGCCTAGAGGAAGAAAGTACCTGCCCAAGGTCACAAAGATAGTACGAGACAAAGCCTGGATTAGAGCTCAGGTCTTAGATGTGGAATTCAATGTTGAGAACTTCATCTCTTACCCAGAAATTCTAATCGCTTCCTAACTGCAGTCTTAGCTGTCATTAGCCCCCTTCCAATTTTTTTGGTCCAAATTTGTGACTGCGTCATTGCGGGTAACTCCTAGTATGGGAAATTCTTCCACTGACTCCAGATAAAAAGTCACTGGCAATTTGTTCCCAGTTTCCTGAGGTGCCGAAAGATTCAACAGCTTAACCAGGATCACAAAGCCAGTATGTGTCCAAAAAGGGGCTTGAGCCCAGATCTTTCTGGCTGGAAAGGTGATCTTCCTATGCTGTCCTGGCCACAACCCCCTGCCCATCCCAATAGAGCCTTCAAAACAAGTGTCCTAAGAAGACAGGGCAGCTAGGTGCCGCCATAGCGCATAGAGCCTAAAATCAGGAAGACTCACTCATCTTCTGAGTTCAAATCTAACCTCAGACTGGCACTAGCTATGTGACCCTGGGCAAGTCACTTAACCCCATTTGCCTCAATTTCCTCCTCTGTAAAATAATCTGGAGAAAGAAATGGCAAATCACTCAAGTATCTTTGCCAAGAAAGCCCCAAATGGGAAGTTCATTGAATGCCAAACAAGATGGGGGGAAGATATATTTTATCCAAGAGGCAATAGGGAGCCACTGAAAGTTCTGAAGGAGGAGAGTCACAAAAGGTCACCTTAAACTTTGTTGTTGTCTATTTCAGACTCTTCATGATCCCATTTGGGGTTTTCACTGGCTCAGCCCCATTCCTGAAATGCACACCCTGCTCACATCTCCCTTTCAGGATAACAACCACAACGATAAGAGCTAGCATTTATAGAGGACTTTAAGATTTGTAGGGGCAGCTAGGTGGCACAGTGGGTAGAGCACCAGCCCTGGATTCAGGAGTTCAAATTAAGCTTCAGACACATTAACACTTACTAGCTATATGACCTTGGGCAAGTCACTTAACCCCATTGCCTAGCCAAAAAAAATAAAGATTTGCAAAAAACTTTAGTATTTTATCTCACAACAACCCTGTGAGGTAGGTACTCGTATCCCCATTTTACAGATGAGAAAACTGAGACTGAAAGAAGTTATCTACGGCTAGGAAAAGTTTACGTCAGGATTTGAACTCATATCTCCCTAATCCTACACTCTAGCCACTCTGCCCCCTAACATTAAAGATCCCTAGTTCCCTTCAAAGTTCAGCTTAGGTGCAGTTTTGCAGGTTCCCTGAAGTTGTCTGTATTCTAGCCCCTTGGGAGTGTGTGCCCACAAGGCCCTAACCCACCCTCTGGAAGAAAACTTTGGATCAGTGGTCTTACTGGGGACTGTAGTCTTCAGTCCCCTGGGCGTGAAGCCCAGCTCTGTCACTTGCTGTCAGAGTGAGCCTCGACAAGTCTCTCTCTGTTCCTCAGTTTCCCCATCTGTGAAATGAGGACTTTGGGCTCCACGGTCTCTAAGGTCTACAATCCCTTGATTACACACCCAGTGCTCTTTTCACTGTGTGCCTTGTCTCTGCCATCCCTACCTTCAAGGTGCTTTCCTCTACTGGGCCAGAGAGATGGGCACAGGGTACAAGGAGGCCACAGGTGGGTAAATATGGGACATGCTCACATCTTTGCTGTTTACTCAATGAATCAAAATGGGGAAGCAACAACTGGGGAGGGGTCAGGAAAGGCTTCTTGGAGGGGATCACATGAGCTGATCTTGAAGGTAGGGTTAACAAAAGGCACAAGCAGGGTGGGAAATGCCAAGCTAGGAAATATCAGAACCAAGATTCGAACCCAGGGCTTTTGTAGCCCATAGGTCCAGCATTCCTTGCAAAACACCAAGCCTGTTACCATTCAATTGGCAAAGAAATCGACCTCACTCAAAAAATAAAACAAAGGACAAATTGCAAGCATCGTCTGCTGCCACCTCTGCCTCTATGGTGCTGGAGGCACTTTACCTTCTTCAGTCTCCCCATCCACCACAGTGCGGGCTCCTTGAGGGCAGGGACTGTCTTTTGCCTCTTCTTGTATCCCCAGCACTTAGCACAGTACCTAGCACATAGTAGGTGCTTAATAAATGTTGACTGATTGACTGTAAAAGGAGCGAGCTGGACTGATGACCTTCTAGCTCTGATGTCGTGATCCTCTGGGCAACGTCTAAGGCCAGAAAACTCAAGGGAAGCAGATTGTGAAGGGCTTTAAACAGCAAGGAGAATTTGTATTTGATCCTAGAGCAATAGGGAGCCAGCAGCACTTCATGGGCAAGAGCAGACTGTGCTTCAGGGAGCTTCCTTTGGCAGTCTGGCACATGATGGCTCAGACCTCAAAGTCCCTGGGGGCATTCTGGATGCCATGGCCCTGAGGTAGATGGTTCGCCCTTCGCATCCAAGGTCCCCTTCCTTTGCCTTAAGCTGCACCCATTTGCTGTACCATATTGCCCATGTGATGGAATAGTTAGCAGTTCTTCATTGTTCCTCCATGTCCAGGTGGCACCTGAAGGTTCAGGGTAGCTGAGCAGAGCCTCTCCAGGCCAATTCCATGTTTCTTCCCACTACCACTAATGAAAAACAAAGGAAAATGAATAGTCTGGCATTCAATATCCTTCACAATCTCACACCACCCTAGCTTCTTGATCCTTTTCTTCTCTCTTTGTTGCCCTCTCTGCTCCAGACTACTTTGTGTCCTCAAAACATCCCTAGCACATTCCCACCTTGTGCTTTTACTCATATAGTTCTCTATGCTATGAAAACCCTTTTCCATCCTCTTCATCTGATGAATTCCCATCCATCCTTTAAATCCCCATTCACATTCGAGCCCACCTCTTCTAACTCCATATCTAGTTCTTTCTTTCCACACCACACTAGCTCTCAAAGACCACATAGCATTTTTCTTAACATTTTCTATGTAATCCCTGACTGGTTTAGGGCTCTACCAGCTATAGCCAAGGAAGAGCTCCACAAGCTAGAAAGAACTGTATGGGGTTGATCATCACCACCCCTAGTGGACACTTTGATAAGGTAACTAAGGACTTCCAGGATCTGGGAATCGTACCCAAGAAGTGAGAATTGCCACAGCGTACTGGAAAATCATGGACTTGGGGTCAGAAAGACCTGGATTCAAATCCCAGCTCTAACAACAGCTATGTAATCATGGTCAATTTATTCTACTTCATAAGCATCAGTTTCCTACTCTGTAAAATAGGGATAATAAAAGTTATACTCAGAATTCTCTTTGTTCCCAGAGTGTTCTGGGGGAGGGGAAAAATGGGCATGAAAGGGAACACTTTCTTCTCAGAGGGATGTACTTTCTCCTTGGGAAGGTCCACCACCACTTTCCCCCTCTCTCTGCACCTCACCTTATGACATTCTGCCAGAGCACACCACCTGGTGGTGCTGCTGTCACCCCAAAGGTCCAATCACCATGTAACTCCTCTCCCTGGCCAATGCTTCCCACTCAAATCTCTTGGGAGCAAAGGTCAGACTATCCCATCTTCTGAAACCTTGCATGGACCTAATTTCTCCCCCAATTCAACTATTTTTGCTATCTGGTGAAAAAAGAAATCATAAGATCATAGACTTAGGGCTAGAAGAGACATTAGATGCCATCTTACACAACCCTCCTTAGAGATGAAGAAGCTGAGATGCTGAGTGGGTTAACTGACTTGCCCAAGGTCTTACTATGAGCCAGATACTGAGCTAAGTGCTGGGGATACAAATGTGAAAGTAAGATAGCGCTTGCCCTCAAGAGGCTTACATTCTACTAGTAGATATGTGTTCACAGATATAGAAGTGCACAATTTTTCATACAATCTTCTTTTTTGTCTTTATATATTGATATCATTGTATTAGTTTGAAGATAAGGTTCAAAAGAAAAAATATTTTCAAGTAAACAGGATGTATAAGTAGCAGAGACAGGATCTGAACCCAGGTCTTCTGGCTGGCAATGATTTCCACTTCCCTTGCTAAGATCTCACACACTGTCTTTAATGATGTTCTAGAATTCTAGCAGGCATTTAAGTCAAGGCCACCAGTCAATAATGTGAAGAATCCGCCTTCTTCCCCTTTTTAGAAACCAAGACATTTGCCCTTTCCTAGTCCTTCATCAGCTCTCCCATTCTCCACACTTATTTTTCCAAAGATTCTTAAATTCAGCCCAGCAATCATATATATGGATTCTTGCAGTGCCCTGAGCTATTTCTGGGCTTAAGGACTTGAAATGCCTGAGGGCAGCTAAGGACCTTCTTACCGTCTCCTTTATCCTAGCCTTCAATTTGGGAACTCCCCTTCCCCTTTCTATCAGTCTCAAAAAATCAAAATAAGAGTTGAATGATTCTCCCTTCTCCCTTACATCCATTATCATCATTGCTAGTCACTCCCAAGCAATGGTCCTATCCCATTTATCTCCATCTCTCCTCTTTCTCTCTCTTTCTTTCTCTCTCTCTCTCTCTCTCTCTCTCTCTCTGTCTCTCTCTCTCTCTCTCTCTCTGTCTCTCTCTCTCTCTCTCTCTCTCTCTCTCTCTCTCTCTCTCTCTCTCTCTCTCTCTCTCATTCACTTTCACATCATCAGTTTGGGGAGGCAGCTCAGGAAATGGGACATATGGGTTTTTCCCTTGTCTCTACATAGCCAATAAAAGCCAATACTTGAAATCCACTGCAAGCCATGAGCTTGTTCTGGATTCTCCCACTCCTAATGGTCTTGCAGTACCACTTCCCTCTTCTGCTCTCATCCTCAGTGGCCAGCCTTTGCTTCTACCTCCTGCCTGTGGCTTTTGAAAGTCAGCCAACAAGTTCCCTGTGCAGCCACATTGCTCTCCTCAGTTATTTCCCTTTTTCTTCTTCTTGGGAACCATTTATGTTTGGATTGTCCCAGTTCTATTCTTAAGACCATTCCATTCCTCCTGAGCCAACTTGCCTTGAAGAATGGCCATGGGATCCTACCTTTCTTTCATCTGACATTTTAGAAATCTCCTTTTCCAAAATCAAGGCTGGGTGTCTGTCTATATCCTCATAGACCATGAAATCTAAGATTAAATGGTCATTTCCTCCCAAAATTCCTTTCATGTCTGTTCTCAGCAATCATCTCCTCCTTGTCTAATTGAATCCAGTTTAGAATAGCACTCTTCTGCTTCTTCATCTTTTGAAGACAGAAATAGCAAAGTCATTGCAATGGTATACAAGGCTTGCTGGGCAACAGTCATAGATATCGATTTGCCTTTGAACTCTAAGGATAATGGATCTTGGAGGAGGTGAGTGCTAGGATGAGAATGCTTCATTTCCTGGGGGCACCAATGACCATACACATGAAGCAAAGTTAACCTTCTTAAAGGCTATTAAGTCTCAGTGAAAATTTGGGGGTATCAAATTATATCCCTGGTGATTCAAAAAAACCAAATCCTCACCTCTTTAGTGCATCTCTCCTAATGAGATTAGGGAGGGGGAGTGACGACATTTGGTTGGAGAGAGGCTGTACATGCTGATGACCTAATCAGTGAAGAAGGATATAAGAAGAGGGGTCCCAGGAATACCAGTTCAGCTTGGGACTCAAACCCCAGCAGCAGCACCTGCCCCAGAAGCTAAGCTCCTTCCTTTCCTGAGCGACACAGTAAGTATACTCTACCCAAATGGGGCTATGGACATTGGGGAGATCTGAGCAGGGTGAAGGAAATGGGCATCTACTGCCCTTCAACAGCCTAGGTCCTCTGAGGCTCTCTCTGGAGCTGCAATGGGTGCTAGCTGTGGTTGGGAATAAGGGAGTGAGGGAGGAAGAAGGCAGAGATAACATGAGGAGATTGCTCTGCTCTGCATCCTGCCGTGATTTCTCCACTAGGGCTACACCATCACTTGTGGTCATTATGCAGGATACACTTTCCAATGGGTTTGTCTCATGGGAAAAGGGGTAAAGTTTCTGAAAGGTCTTCTGATTTTCCCGGCTTTGGTTAGATTATTTTAATGTTATTATTGCTAGCCTTTCTATAGTACTTTAAGATTTCCAAATTTTCTTACATATAGCATCTCACTTGATTTTCCCAACAATGTGTTATGTGGTGGGTGCTATTATTATCCCAACTTTATAGATAAGGAAACTGAGTCTGCTAGAGGTAAAGTGACTTGCTTGAGCTAGTAAGTGTCTGAGTCAGGATCTAAACTCAGGTCTTCCTGCCTTCCAACCTCTTGCACCTCAAAATCTAATATTCCTGATCCTGCCACCTGCAGAGATCAGAGAAGCTCATTGAATACTGAAAACCAAGAGTGGTAAGAGATGAGGTGGTCAGCAGAGGATTGTGGGTGCTTGTTCTTCAAAAGTTTTTATAACTTATATATTTCAAAGCTTTTAAAATTAACTCACAAATTTCTTCTGTTGCATTTATGTTAAATATCACTTATTTTTAATCTCTTCAGTTTAGCCTATTAACTTCCTTTAGTTAAGTGATACAGTGGGAAAAAAACACTGCGCTTTGTGTGAGAAGTCATGGCTACCTATTAATTAAATCATTTCATCCTCTCCTCTGACATTCAGCAAACGAATCCAATTCAACAAATATTTATTAAGTGCTTACATTTGTAAGATGCTGGGGGGACACAGATGTCTTCTTTGATTCTGATAATTACACTTGGAAGAAGATGTTAGCATCCCTCATTTTACAGAGGAGAAATCTGAGGCTCAGAGGGGGCTCAAGGACTGGATCCATAGCCACATAGCTGGTGTCAGAGGTGGGATTCAAACCCAGGTCTGAGGACCTGCACCATTTCCCCTTGGCCCCATTGGTCTTCTGTTGACCTCTCCGGCTATGTTCTTTCTGAGAGGTACTGTAATCTATGCCTATCATCCAATGGAAATACAGGTGATTTCTCCACTCTCCCATGTTTCCAATGATGATAATAATCTGCTTTGTCTTGTTGTTTGAGAATAGTGACAAGTGACTTTTTCCAGACAATGATCTGTGATTCTATATTCAGCTGTTTGAATGACCTGAGAACATGCTTGTGATTTACATTTTGATATTCATAAGTATATTTTACATATATTTATATTATATTCAATGAATGTATGTATAGAGGCAGAGAGAGCGAGAGAAGGACAGAGGAGAGCCAGAAAAAAGACAGAGACAAAAAGACAGAGAGAGATAAGGAGGGACAAAGCTGCATAGAGACATAGATAGAGGAGAAAGAAGAGAGATGGATGTGGAGAGACAAAGATTGTGAAAAACAATGCAAAGAGAGACGTGTAGAGACACGGCAAGACAGGGAAGAGACACAGAAAGACACAGAGACACACAGAGAGCATGGAGTGACCGATGAAGTGACCTGTCCATGGTCCCATGGCCCGTCAGCACCATGCCCCAGCTGCCTCCCAGGGGTTTGAGAATCTTTGTGGGCTGAAGAATAATGAGAGCTGATAGAAAAACAGGGCTTCAATGCTGATGTTAAGATGTTATCTCAGTCAAGTAAGCAGCAGCATCCCCTAATGATGGCTGGCACCTCTGTGTCTCTTTAAGGTTTGCAAAGTATTTTCCAGACAGATCTCATTTGATTAGTGCTAAAAAGCCCTCTGAGGCAGGTACTATGGGTATTGTCATCACCATTTTAAAGATAAGGAAAAGTGCCCTGAGAGCAGTCAGAGTGTCAGAAGCAAGTTTTCAGAAAGTGTCTTGTGATCCATGTCCAACACTCTGTCTTGAGCACTACTATCTCTCTCTATCTATTGGAGCCTGCAACAGTAGCAAATGTGGGCGCTCTCCCCCGCCCCTTCACATCATCAGTTTGGGGAGGCAACTCAGGAAATGGGAAAGAACATTTGTTTTGGAGTCAGTGGGCTGGAGTCAAATCCTGGCTGCCCAGTTCTACCTGTGTCACCTTTAACAAGTAACTCTTTTTCTGAGCCTCAGTTTCCTCTTCTGCAAGATGGGGGAGGGGGCAGTGGCCTAACAGCCTCTAAGCCCTGTGATCAGAGCTGCCAGAAATATTCTAAGCCCCCTCCCTCAAGTCCTCTGGCTTTCTTCACCCACAGGTAAGGTGTACATCTCTCGGAGTTCTGGACTGAGCTGATTGCCGGCAGAATTCAACACAATGAAACTTGTCCCAATCTGCCTCATGTACCTGCTGCTGACCTGCCTGGCCCTGCCGAAGGCTGAATGCCGGCTCCATGACCACTCAGTGGAGATCAGGAGTGAGTACCCATTTGCTACACAATATAGCCCAAACTACCTCCACACCTTTCTCCAAGACACCCACCAAAAAGCCCTGGATTCCTTCCAACTTTAAACCTACAATCCTCTGGTCTTCTGACCTCTTCCAGCTCTAAACTGATGCTATCATTATGGGTTCACTGAAAGCCCTCCCCCCACCATGCTGGTTCTTCACCATTTCTATAGATGAAGAAAAAGAGGAAAACTTGGTTCAGTTGGCAGAGTGAGGAAAGAAGACAAGCTGAGTTTAGGGAGCTGTCTTCTCTCTGGATACTTGTTAGCCCAACTCAACACATTTATTCACCATGAGTCCTTGGAGCTCTGTAACAGGGGGAAAGGGCTCCTGCAGTTTGGAGGCCAAGTGCAGACATCTTCTTCCCTAAATTACCAAGGCTACAGCCATTGCCAAAGACACATGCACAGCTAGTGCATTTGCATTAAGGCCAGGAAACCTGGTTACTGGGGTGGAGGTACCTACACAGATCCCACAACACAGTCTTTGTGATTTGCAGCAGCCCCAGATCTCATCACTCTGAAGGCCATTGGGTGGTGACGCTGACCAGACTCAGTCAAGCTGGGCTCAAAGCTTTCCCAGCTGGCTAGGACCAGACAGACCTCATGGTCCAACAGCATGGCCTTCAGGAGTGCAGGGTCAAATCCCTGCCACTAGGAAGCACCACAGAGCACTTCAGAGGCAGCTGTGCACATGAAAATGCTTGGTGATTTTTCAGTATGAAGACAGATTTCATGTCCTATACTTTGCTCCCAAATGTCCTCACCTCGTTATGCAGGAGGCATTCTACAACCTCAGGTCCCCCGGATTCATAGTCAGTCAGTCAGCATTTATTAAGTGCTTACTGTGTGCAGGCAGTGTCCTAAGCACTGGGGATGGATACAAAGAAAGGCATAGATGGTCCCTGCCCTCAAGGAGCTTACGTTCTAATGGAGGAAATGACATGCATGCACACGCATGCATGCGCGCACGCACACACACACACACACACACACACACAAGATATAGAAGCCTAAAATCACAGCAGGAAGGGACCCCAAAGACTCCAGTCCCCTCATTTGACAGATGAGGCAGCTGAGCCCCAGAGGGAATGAGGGATGGATTTGGAGTCAGGGGACCTGGAGTCAGACCGTGGCTCAGCTCCTTCTTCATTGTGTGACCTTGAGCACTTCCCTGGGCCTCAGTTTCCTCGTCTGTAGAATGAGGGGCTGGACTAGCTGACCTTTCAGGCTTCTTTGGGCTCTAGAGCTACATGCAATCTCTGAAGCTGGGAGGCTAGCACTCGGGATGCCCAAACACGACCCCTTCCACGTCCACATTCCCTCGGGGGTTCATCACTGAGCAGAGGTAAGCACGTCCCATCTCACTCCACAGCTAGGCAGCTCCTCCTTTCTTCTCTGCAGGGCAGTAGGCGGAAGGGTGAATACTCAGCCCACTGCATCTCGTCAGCCTCCTGCCTCTTCCCTTGCAGATCCTGACATTGACCCTTCCTGGTACACGGGCCGAGGAATCAGACCTGTGGGCCGCTTTGGCCGAAGGAGGGCCACCTCGGAGGGCTATCAGAGGTCTGCCTATGGACGGCATCACCCTTGCTTCCCCACGGAGGAAAGTAATGAGTCTGCCCAAGACGACTAAGACGCTTCTGCTGAGAATAAGCCCGGATGCCTTCTCTCCCTCTCCCTTCTCTTCCACTTGCTAGTTTCTTTCTCACCAAATAAAAATATTTGATCTTACTTAAATCAGTGTCTGTGCTTGGAACTGAGATAAACCAAACCGTTGTGTGATGACCTAAGTTCCAATTCCACCTCCAGTACTTAGAGCTGGGTGGCCAATAAATTACTTACCCTACCTGGGCTTCAGTCTTGTCCTCTGTATGACCAGGAGGATCACGCCCGTGGCAGCCACCGCACAGGGTGATTAACCTCACGGAGACGTGTATCCCCAGGACCTTGTGAGGTGCCTGACACACAGTAGGTGCTTAATTACTGCACGCTGATCGATCGGGTTATTATGAAGAGCCAATGAGATAATGCATGTAACCGAGCTTTGTTACATACACAGTCAGGAGGCCTCGGGTTCAAAGCCTGCCTCTGACACGCACATGACTGCGCGACACTGAGCAAGTCACTTCATTTCTCACCGCCCCAGGTAACACTCCAGACTGATGAGCTACAGATGTTACCAGTTTCCATCAGTGAAGGGCGTTTCCACACCGGGCATTCCCCACACACACAATGATGCACCGAATACCACCCCCCTCCCCCCGCCCCACACCTGCAAAGCTGCAGATTCAAATCGGCTAGGATCTGACCCGGAAAGGTCAAGGGGTATAAGGGTCTTTGAAAACAACACTCTATCTACAGCATCACAGGAACACACTATAGAGCTGGAAGAAACCTCAGAGCTTATCTCTCCCAACCCCCTTGTTTTACATACAAGGAAACTGAGGCAAGAGGAGGGAAATGCCTTGCCCAACGTCATGTGGATAGTGTCAGAGAAGGGATTTGAACCTAAGTTTGGTGACTCTGATTCAATGACCTAGATTAGTGCCCATCCTCCCTTGGGACTCGACTCCCTTTCCCCAGGCGGGCACCTTACTCCTGGCTCTCCTGGTTGGCCCTTTTTGGTTTTCAGAGCTCTTTCTGGGTCTCTCTGAGCAAACTGCTTCATTAGACATGACTTTGAGCTGCACAGCCTTCCCTCAGTGAACAAAGCCTCCGGGAAGACAATTCCCCGACTGTCAACTATGGGAATACGAGGGGTGAGGGAAGTGCTGATTTCTTTAGTGCTCAGCTGATGGAGGCAAAAGTGGAGAAAGAAGGAAAGGAAGAGGGAGAAGAAAGGGAGGAGGAGGAAGAAGAGGAGGAGGAGAAAGAAGAGGAGAGAGGAGGAGGAGGAGGAGGAGGAGGAAGAGGAGAAGGGAAGAGAAGGGGGAGGGGGAAGAAGAGAGGGAGGGTGGGGAGGAAAAAGAGGAGGAGGAGAAGGAAGAAAAGGAGGGGGAGGAAGAAGAGGAGGAGAAAGAAGAGGAAAGGGGAGGAGGAGAAGGGGGAGGGGGAAGAAGAGAGGGAGGATGGGAAGAAGAGGAAGGGAGGAGAAGGAAGAAAAGGAGGGGAGAGGAAGAAGAGGAGGAGGAGGAGGAAGAGAGGGGAGGAGGAGAAGGGGGAGGAAGGAGTGGTAGCATCCAAGGCAAAGACCTGAGATGTTCCAACTTTAAAAAAATGAAGTTGTATTCATGTTTGTTTTTCACATCACCTCCATTTCCCAAGGTATCCCTCTTCTCAGGGAACCATCCCTTCTAATGAAGAATGAAAAAGAGGGAGAAGAACAGTAGTATCATAGGCAGTGTTGTACACCCATCCCCCACCTCTGCCAGGAAGCAAGAGAAAGCCCTTTCTCCCGTCTCTTGTTTGGAGTCAAGCTTGGAGACTTTCCACCTCCTTGGGAAGCCAGGCTGCCCCTGGGACACCACAGAGACTTTAAATTCTCTGCTTGCTCCCTGGGATGCCCACACAGAATGACGGTCAACCCTGGGGGTGGAAGGAGAACGGTGCTTTAAAAAAGCCCCAGACCTTCAAGCCCTGTGGAAGTGGGAGTCATTCCAAGGCCCTTCCCTCAAAACTCCACCTGAGGTGACTGGGGTAAGCTTGATTCTCACTGTTTTATAAATGAGGAAAACACTTCTAAGTGAGAGGTAAAAATGACCTGCCCAGGGTCACACAGCTGCCAAGTGGCAGAGCTGCCCCGAGGCCGATGGAGAGATCCCACACTGCTTCTCACCAGACAATCAGCTGGACAAGCCCAGGGGTCCGGGCTCTCAGCTTCCCCTGCACCCCCAATCTGTAGGATGTGCTCACAGGTAGGCAGAGCCAGCTGGACACCCTAAGGACTGATCTCATCATCTCGGCTTCATTTGCATTAGTTCTAAATAAGGAAAGGAATGAATAAAATGGCCACAGAAACACTTCAAGGGCCAACGGCTGAAGATGCAAGATGGCCTATTGCTTTGGTCCAGACTTGGAGCTCCTTGTAGGTGACTCCCAGTGTGGAAAGTCCCTCCATGAACTCAGATCAGTGAAGGATCGATAAAACTAAAGAATCCCTGGAGGACAATGAGAAGGTGGGGCTTACCCAGGCTGACACAGCCAACGGGTGTTAGAGGCAGGACTTGAACTCCAAAACTGGCTCTCTATCCGGTGGGCCACATTGCCTCAACTGCACAGCATTATCATTGATCTTCCTGGCAGGGGCAGAACCAAGACCAGGTGTTGGTGTTTTCTTTAATAATCACGCAACACAGGATTAAAAGGGATAGCAGAGGCCGTCCTAGAGGAACACTCTCTGTAACATGACTCACAAGTAGAGTCCAGACTCCATTCAGAGACCTTCAGTGACGGGGAGCTCACTCCCTTGGGAGGCGGCCCATTCCACCTTTGACCAGCTCTCTTAGAAACTTGCTAGTTCCACTGAACTTCTATCTGTCTCTCTGGTCCTTCCATACCCCCTCCCACAGAGCTCTGCAGGGGGCACCATCGCCCCAGCCTGACACCAGTGTTCATGGCCCAAGAGACAAAAATCAGGCCCAAGACAAAGCAAGGGGCAGGAAGGCTTTCTCTAGGCTTGAAAGCCCTCTGTCCACTTAGCCTGGGGACCAAATGCTTCTCAATATCAGAAATGTGGTATTTCAGGGATTCATTTATTAGAAATGTGATCTAAGAGGCTTTGGAGTCTGAGGGCCTGGGTTCAAATCCTGGCCCTGCCACTTATTAGCCATCTGAAAATGAGGGGTCCGAGCTAAGGCTTCCTTCCAGCAATGACCACAACAGCTCACGTTCATTTGTTTAAGCTTCCAAGGCACTTTTCATGTTATTGACCATCAGTCCCCTGACAGAATGGAAGCTTCTAGAGGACAGGGACTGTTTCATCTTCTTTGCATCCCCAGTGCCCAGTGCAGTGTCTCATATATAGCAGGTGCTTAATAAATGCTCCTGGATTGATTGACTACCTCATTTGAACCTCTCAACCACCCAGTGAGGCAGGAGCTCTTGGGTCAGATCCAAGCTCCCCTTCAGCTCTGAACCAGTGATGCCATGGGCAGGGTGGAGGCGGGGAAGAGGCCGTGGTGTCCCTGAGAAGTTGTCCGGGGGTGGAGGCATGGAGTGTTCCCAGAGCCACAAGGCCCCGGCCCATTCCTCCCCCACAGGCTCCGTCAGGAAGCATTCCTTTGAGGCCCAGTGGTTTTCCTCTGACTCCTGGGAGGGGGACCTGCAAGACAGCAAGTCCGGCATGTCAACCGTCAACCTTCAAGGTCCACACCGCCATAGCCAGGGCGGGTCTATCCATCAGGCAAGGCAAAGGCAGTTTGGGTAATTGGCCGGGAGACTCATGTTCATGACCGGAGCCCAACAGGAAGCCAGAGCGAGGGGAGGGCTCCCCATGGCGCCCACCTCCCCCTAGTCCTGGCAGCATTTGACCTTCCTTGCTCTGGCCGTCTCCTTCAGATCCACTGGGGGGCTTCTCTGCCGACTCTGGCCTCCATTTTGTTCTTCTCTTCTCAACAATTCACGAGCTAGGAAAAGAAGGGAAAAGAGAAGGTAGGAAAGTGTTTGCCCAAGAAGCTAACAGCCCCCTTTCCCACTTGAAAGTCACATTGATCTGTGCAGGACAAGTTCCCAAATCAATGCCTCTAATTATTCATCCAAATTATCCCAACTTTTCTCCTGGTCACAGAGATACTTGGAAGACAGACAACCTCATAGAGCGTATGGATAGACTTCCTAACAAGACGTCCCTTCCTATAAGCTCGTGTTGCAGACCTCAGAGTTGGAGGGCTGCCAATCACCCAATCAACAAGCATTTATTAAGCACTTACTGCATACCAGGCACCCTGCCGGACACTGAGGATACAAAGACAAAACACTAAAATATCCTTTGTCCACAAAGAGCTTACATTCTCTCGAGGGATAGACATATATGCCTCTGTGTGTATGTATATGTATGTATGTATATGTACACATATGTGTATATATAGAGATGTGTATATATATATATATATACATATATACTTATATACATATATATGTATGTGTATAAAATCCTGTTTCTAATACCTATAAGCATAAGCCATGGGCAAGTTGCTACCTGTCCCTGGACCTCATCCTCTTCCACAAAACCAGGGGGCTGGACTAAATGGCCCCTCCTGTTTTAAATCTAGTCCTGTGACCTCTCTTAGACTCAGTTTCCTCATCCATAAAATAAGGGCGTCAGACAGATGACCCCTACACTACAGAGCACTGTGGACTTGTGAACAGCCAATGGGGAGCCCAGGGAGGAGGGCCCAGAGGACCAAGGCTGCTTGTCAATTTCCAGAAACTCACAGGGAAAGTGCATCTCCTGGCTCTCCTGTCTCTGAGCATCTCTGATTGTTTGCCTCTGTTTCCTCGGTTGTAAAATGGGGATAACAATAGCACCTACCTCATAGGTTTGATATGAGGACCAGATGAAATAGTAATTGCAAAGCATTCAGCACAGTGCGTGGCACACAGTAAGTGCTCTGTAAATGTTAGCTGTTATGATCTTTATCTACTTACCTACAGCAATGAAGGCTTCAGTCACTTGGTAGTTTAATTTGGCTGAGGTTTCCACGAACAGTAACTTTTTACTTTCTGCAAATGCTTTTCCCTCCTGGAAGAGAGAAGAAAAACTGAGTCTGACTTCGAAATCCTAGAATCGTAAAAGCTAACCTTGAGAGACGTCACTAGCATTCCTATTGGCTTAAGGTTTGCAAAAGCACTTTGGTTAGAATCTCTCGTATGCTATTTCCTCACTTTCTAGGCAGAAGGGACATTAGAGATCACCTCCAGCCTTCTCATTTTCCAGGTAAAGAAAGTGAGAGATTTACTGACATGTACTCAAGTTCATCCCCCTAGGATTACTGCCTTGGCAGGGTGGAAGGGCTTGTGCAGTTCAATAAAACTAGGAGCTAAGCCATGCAGGGTTATCCAAGATGGGCAGGTCACGGTGGAGAATTCTGACAAAATGTGATCCATTGGAGAAGAAAATGGCAAACCACTTCAGTATCTTTGCCCAGAAAACCCTACGGACAGTGCTAAAGTGATCAAAGAGTTGACATTGCAAGATGAGCCCCTCAGGTCAGAAGGTGTGCAATACACTACTGAGGAAGAACAGAGGCCAGCTACAAGTAACTCCAGTACTGATGAAGTGGCTGGGCCAAAGCTAAAAGGAAGAGCAGCTGCAGATGTGCCTGGTGATAAAAGGAAGTCTGAAGCTGTAAAGATCAATATTGCAAAGGAACCTGGAACATAAAATCTATGAACCAAGGTAAGCTGGATATAGTCAAACAGGAGAGGGAAAGATTAAATGCAGACATCTTGGGTGTCAGTGAACTCAAATGGATAAGAATGGGTGAATATAACTATTTGTAATTGGCATTGTATTTATTACTGTGGTATATAAGGTGACCATTACCTATACTACTGGGGGCAAGAATCCCTTAGAAGAAATGAAGTAGCCCTCAGAGTCAATAAAAGGGTGAGAAAAGCAGTCCTGGGATATAATCTCAGACACAACAAGGTCCTCTTGAATCCAAGGCAGACCATTCAACGTCACAATAATACAAGTCTGTGCTCCAACCACTGATCCAGAAACACATCTGCTGCTTCATTGACTACACTAAGCCATTGTCTGTGTGGATCACAACAAAATGTGGCAAGTCCTCAGAGATGGGAGGACCAAATCATCTTGTCTCCTGAGGAACCTGTGTGTGGGTCAAGAAGTAACAGTTAGGGGCAGCTAGGTGGTACAGTGGATAGAGCACCGGCTCTGGAGTCAGGAGGTCCTGAGTTCAAACCCTGCCTCAGACACATAACACTAGCTCTGTGACCCTGGGCAAGTCACTTAACCCCAATTGCCTCAGCAAAATAAAGGGAACAGAACCAAACATGGACCAGCTGATTGGTTTAAGATTGAAAAAAGGAGCACAACGAGGCTGGAGAGTGTCACCTCATTTATTTAATGTATATGCAGAGGACATCATGTGAGATGCCAGGCTGCATGAATCGGAAGCCAGGATTAAGGTTGCCAGGAGAAATATCAGCAGCTTCAGCCATGCAGATGATACCAGTGTGACAGCAGAAAACGAAGAGCATCGAAGAAGCCTCGTTTTGGTTGGCTGGTTGTTGCTGCTGTTTTTGGCTACATTTGAACTCAGATCCTCCCAACTCCAGGGCCGGTGCTGTATTCAGGGCACCACCTAGCTGCCCCAAGAAGACTCTTAATGAGGATAAGAGAAGAGAGCGTAAAAGCTGGCTTGAAGCTTAGCGCCCAAAGAACTAAGGTCTTGGCAGCTGGTCCCATCGCTTCCTGGCAGACAGAGGGAGAAGAGGAGGAAGCAGCGTCAGGCTCTCCACTCTCGGACTCAAAGATCACTGTGTACAGTGACAGCAGCCGCGAAATCCTTGGCAGGAAAGCGACACTAAATCTGGACATTGTACCACAAAGCTGACATCAGCTTACCCACAAAGGTCTGTGTAATGAAATCTATGGTTTTTTCCGATAGGAGAGGGGGACTGCGAGGAAAGCTGAGCGCTGCAGAATCTATGCTTTTGAATCGCGGGGCTGGAGAAGACTTTCGGGAGTCCGGTCAGACAGCAAGATCAAATCAGCCAATACTTAAAGAAATTAATTCAGGCTATTCATTGGAAGTTCAATACTGAAGCTGAAGCTTAAATACTTACAAGATGGGGCTGATTGAAAAAGACCCCGATGATGAAAAAGATTGAAAAGGAAAATGGGACGGCAGAGGATGAGATAGCCAGGGTCATGGAAACAATGAGCTTGAGCTCGGCCAGACTAGAGAGACGGTGGAGAGAAGGGCCTGGTGTGCCGTGGTCCATGGGGTCACCAAGAGCCGGACATGACTCAGCAGCAGCACTAATGTTCCTGGGCTGGTTAGTGGCAGGTCACCATACGTTCAGAGGCTCTAGAGCGTTTTTTTTGTTGCTGTTGTTGGGGGGTTTTGCTGCTTCTTTTTTTTTTTTTTTTGGTGAAGCAATCGGAGTTAAGTGACTTGCCCAGGATCACACAGCTAGTATCAAGTGTCTCAGGCTGGATTTGAACCCAGGTCCTCCTGACTCCAAGGCCAGGGCTCTATTCACTGTGCCACCTAGCTACCCCGAGGCTCTAGAGTTCTAAAGGAACACAGCAACCATCTCATCCTGGGTGCTCAGCCTGGGGGTAGCGACCTTGTTTTTTAAAGATGTATCTTTGACCACTGTATTTCAGTATAATTTGTTTACTTTGTAATCCTCCACATGCATTTATTTACACAGTATTTTAAGGCACAGTAAAGCATTTAAAAACATGACCCTGAGAAGACCTTTGGAGGTATCACCAAAGGACCAAAGGAATTGGTCACATAAAAAAATGAGGAACCTGGGGTCTCGTCTAATCCTCTCCTTTCACAGAAATAGGAATAGAGCCCCAGACCTGGTAAGTGACTTGCCCAGGGTCACACAGCTTGTGGACATCAGAGGCAGGATTTAAAACCAGATCCTCTGATTACATCCAGGGCTTTTTCCACCAGACCATCTGAAGGGCAGCCTCCTAAAACGGGGCACCCAGAATCGAGCACAAGCTCCCAGATGGGATCTGACTGACACAAACAGCAGTGAGCGTCCAGCTTCCCATAACATGGACTCGTCAGACCCTGACTCAGGCTGTTTCCTTACCTGTTACATGAGAGGGTTGAGCTAGACCATCACTAAGGTTCCTTCTGACTCCAGCTGGAAGAGGCCATCTTGGTCCAACCCTCTCCTTTTACAGATGAGGAAACTGAGTCAGGCTAGTCATTGGACCACAGAGTTAAAGCTGGAAGAGACCTCAGAGGCCCCTTAGCCCAATCCCCTCATTTTATGGATGAGGACTCCCAGGCTCAGGTAAAGGGATTTGGGCCCAAGGTCACAGAGGTCCAAGTAGTTTCCCTATCTGGGCCTTAGAGAATCTCCAATTCCCTCACAGTCTTAGGATTTGACCTCTGCTGATTTCTCCAATGTTGACCTTTTCAGGAAAAGCTGAAAACCTTTTCTACGAAGAATAAAAGTGAAACCAAGGCCCAGAAACATCGTAGGCCTTTTTCTGGGTCTCAGGGCACACAACAGCCCAGACCAGGAGAAGCTGCAAAGCACAGAGAACTAGAGATGGCCCAACCCCACTGTTCTGCAGGTGAGGCAGAGAACGGGCCAGGGCTCAGACACCATCACCCAGCTCCCCTGATTCCCAGGTCTCCCAAGTCCTAACCCACTGTTCTTTTCACAAGACCATGATGTCCTCAGGTGAGCTCAGTGATGGAAAAACCAACGAAGGTCGTGGTGAAGAGGGACCCCCCTGACAGAATGCGTATATGTTGTCTGCATGCAATGTTTGCATTTAACTGTAGAAAGGAGACTTTGGTCTACTACATGGAGAGACATGATAAAAGGCATCAATAAAACTTAGTTTTTCTAAGACCAGGCCATCCCCTTTTGACCAGGATCACCATCCGGTAATGGTCTCCAGACAATGAGCAAACCGGTACCTCGAGGGTCACTTCCCGAGAATCCTCCAGATCCGTCTTGTTGCCTACCAAAATCACCACAATTTCTTCAGGTTGAAACTCATTCTCCAGCTCCTTCCACCAGTTCTGGGCCCTGTGGAAAGAATCCTTAAAAAGACAACAGCATATGATAATCTCTTCAGTTTGGTTGTCTAGAACAAAGCAGTGGGAGGAACTGATGTTTTCAGGGGGCTTTCAGGTGGGCAAAGCACTTTGCCAACATCATCTCCACTGTACCTGGAAGGTGGGTCCCAATGGGATTATTTACCTCATTCTCAAAAGGAAAAAAGTAAGACTTAAAGAGATGGGATTATTTGTGTAGCATCACAGGCAAGATTCGAACCCAAGTCTTCGAGAGTCAGGGTTCAGCACTCTAGCTGCATGCCTCCTGGTAACAAGTGCTTACTAAATGTGTTGACTTACTATGATCTCCTATCACCTCGGGACCCTCTGCTCCCATCTGATGTTTGATGCTCTTGTGATCAGGTGTTTTCAGCCATAATCATTGTTCAGCTTTGTTTTTTTAATCACTTACAATTAATACTTCAAAGTATCTAATATAGTTAATTAGCCCATTCCTTGAGAACTTCATTATGGGGACAACCATTGCAGAATTTGAGAGCTGAAAGGGACAACAGCAGCAGCAGTCCCCCAGTGTAACAGTGGACAAGCAGCCAGCCAGCCAGCGCACCCTGTAATTTTCTCACACACTCCTGAACATGTGGCCTTCCCAGGAGATCTAGTCTCTGGCCACAGCCATCCCTAGGAAGACCCAGAGGGCTGAGACCAAACAACCATGTAGGGATTTCGGCTGAAGCCTAGCCGTGGGAGAACAAAGGGCAAAGAGCCCAATGCCAAGGCAGAGCGCCTGGGGCACTCTGGGCTAAACTGGGATTTTTACTCCTGAGAGAGTGTTAGCACACCAGCCGATTTTTTTTTAAACCAACCTCGGATTTGGGAACAAAAGATCCAATATAAACCCAGGTTATCACCCTGGAAGTGAGTTAAGACCCACTAATGAGAATGAAAGTGCCTCTCAGCCCAGTGACTAAGCTAGACACAGCACATGATATTATGAGATTATTTAATGCTCCGTAACTGGATCAGGGTATATTAAGGGTCTCCCATTAGTCAAACACTGTGCTGGACCCTGGGAGATTAAAAGAGAAAATGAAAACAGATCCTGCCCTCCCAGGCTCAGGGATCAGAGATGGAAGCCATCACTGAATCCAATCCCTCACTCTACATATGGGGAAACTGAGGCCCAGGGAGCGTGATTTACCTAGGGTCACACAAATAACAGGTGTGTGAGGTGAAGTCTGAACCCAGCTCTAGCCACCACACCGTGCATTCTGCCCAAGGATGTAACATGCATCCAGACAAATAGCTGCAAAGCGTGTGCAAAGTAATCGAGGGATGCCTCAGGTGGAAGGAGGGACTGGGGGAGTCTGAGATGCCTCCTGGGCATGGGAGCCTGCCTGGGTAAAGTCACAGCGGTGACAGGTGGCAAGGTCATGTCACTGATGGCATTTGTGTGGCTCCATGAGGTCTGCAAAGCACTGTGGGATGTGAAGTCTTCTGATCTTCACAACAACGTTGGGAGGTGGGTGCTATTAGTATCCCATTCTAGAGAGAAGTAAACTGAGGCACAGAGAAGGTAAGCAGCATGGCCAGGGTCACAACCCCAGGGTAAGGGTTAGGGTTAGACACTTCTGTGTCTAAGGCAGAATTCAAACTCGGGTCTTCTTGATCCATGGAGGGGAAGAGCACATAGGACAATTTGGTTGGAAAGTATAATATGTTAGGGGGAGCCGTACAAACTCAGATGGAAAGGTATGCTGGAGTCGGGTTATGCTTTTGTTTTTGGTTTTGGTTTTGGTTTTTGGTTTTAGGCAATCGGGGTTAAGTGACTTGCCCAAGGTCACACAGCTAGTAAGTGTCAAGTGTTTGGCCTGAGGCCAGATTTGAACTCAGGTCACTGAGCCACCTAGCTGCCCCAGGGTTATGCTTTTAAATGCCAAGTAGAATGGCTGGTGTTTGATCCTAGAGGTAGTGGGGAGCCACTGATGTTCACTGAGCAGGAGAGGACTACGGTCAGGCCTGAATTCTGGGACCACCCCTTTGGCAGCTGTGTGGACCTTGGGCACTTCCCCCGGCTGTGCCCCAGGCCTGGAATCCTCCCCCTCCTCCTCTCCATCCCCTGGCCTCCCCGGCTTCCCTCAAGCTCCCACTAAAACCCCACCTTGTCCAGGAAGCCTCTCCATAGCCAGCTTCATCCTGGTTAGCCCGTCCCCTCTTTGAGTATCTCTAGTTCATCCCAGATTTACCTTGTTTGTACTGAGTCGTCTGCATGTTGTCTGACTGTGAGCTCCTGGGTTATTTTTGGCCTTTTTTGTATCCTCAGCACTTATAACGGTGCTGCACATAGTAGCTCCCTAATAAATACTTGTTAACTAACCAGAGATTGGATTAAAATAGCATTGGAGAGAATGGAGGCCAGGAGAGCAGGTAGGGGCTACTGCAACTGTCCGGCTAAGGGACAGGGAGGGCCTGAAGAGGGTGGTGGCCAGCTGAGTGGAGAGGAGGGGGCAGTTGGAACAGAGGGTGCTTCTGATGAGCTATGGGGTGAGAGGGGAGGGAAGAGGCAGGGATGCCGGTAAGGTCGGAGACCTGGGTGATGGCTGGAAGGAATCCCTAGACTCTGGCTCTACTCGAGCTTTAGAAGAAGGAACAGACCCAAAGATTAATCAAAAGCTAAACCTGGGCCGTACAAGCAGTCAGGGCTCCGTACCTTGTCTGCAATGTCATAGACCAAGATAGCAGCATTAGCTCCCCGAAAATAGAGGTGGCAGACGCTGTGATACTTCTCCTGCCCCGCAGTGTCCCAGATCTCCAGCTTTAAGGCCGAGCCGTCTAGTTCCATCATCTGAGTGAAGAAGGCGCCTGGGAGGAGAGGAAGCCACAAAGGCACTGGTTTGAAAGCAGGGATTGGCATCCATCCTGCAGCATAATCTGTTTTACAGGTCATCGGGACCAAAGCCTTTAGCACCTCGCAGCCAAATGGCGCCCAGCTGGTCACGTCCCAAGAGCCCCCTTTCTACCCACTATGACGGAGCCAAACCAGGCTTCCAGTCTCATCCTCCCTTCCCCCACCTTCAAATATCTGAAGACACTATTGTGGTCCCCACCCCTCCCCCCTCAACTGGTCATCTCTCCTCCAGATTGAACATCCTCAGACCCTTCGAATGTTGCTCATATGACATAGTTTTTAGAAAGTTTACGCTCCCCCACCTCTACCTCCACCTCCACCACACACACACACACACACACACACACACACACACACACACACAACGGCCTTGCTAGCTCTCTCTTCTTGACCTTCCCCTGTATTTTCCTTCCTGGGTTAACGTTGAATCTCCCTCCCCCCAAGAGAATGGAATCTCCCTGAGGGCAGGAGCTATTCTGGTTTCTGTCTCAGGCTCCCCAGCCCAGGGTCTGGAACACAGTGACAGAATGGAACTAGGCATATGACTTCCAGTTGAGAAATCTCCCTCTGCTGATGCAGGCTGGCCCTTTCCTTACAACATATCCTCTTAGAGAGCTGGAACTTGAAATGTCTCACCCAGGGTCACACCTTGCCCAGACAGTATGTGTCAGAGGTGAAATTCGAACTCAATTCTTCCCCATGCCAAGAAGGACTCTCTTTGAGACAAAATAGAGGCTTAGTTAGGGGATGGGGATCTGTGGTTTCATCTGCTATTTAGCGTTTCTTAAGAAACTCCCTCGCCTGCTCCAGGTCCGCTATTGAGAGAGAACCCCCAGGAGCGCTGACAGATTAATTGACTTGCCCAGCGTCACAGCCAGGATGTGTCCCACTGGGCGTACAGTAGGTGCATGATAAATGTTCACTGACCTGGACTGTCTGGAACCCAAGATTCTAAACTCCTCATGGACAAAATCGAGGCCATCTTTCATTTCCGCAGCCTTCAACCAACAGTCCTCAAAGTGTGGGCCCAGACATTCCTGAGACCCTTTGGGAGGTGGTAGGACTGTGAGGCCAAAAGAAATTTTATAACAATGCTAGGATGGTAAATATTGATGGATACAGAGCTAGGTCCCAATTAGTGCCGATAATAATCCCGTACAATGACTGTGTTCATCGAATTCACACTGCATATTTCCTTTGAGCTGGAATCAATGACCAAAGTTAACATAATTATAGCTTCAAATAGTGTAGATTTTAATACATGCAGCCACGTCAAGGGGCTTCTTATTTGCACCAGTTAAGATTGTAAAGGAGTCCTGACACCAAAAGATTTGAGAACTAATCCCTGGAGCCTTGGAGAGCCCCAAATCCATGTGACTGACATTTCTACAAGGCTATTAAATGGGCAGGGCAGCCAATATATTCCAGTGAAGTTGGCTCTGTCTCTCACCCACTAAGAGAATTCTTTCCCCATCTGGAAAATGGGGATCACTAAGTCCCTATTGATCATCCCGTGGCCTGAACCTTCAGGGCCGGCATACAAGCAGTGGAGGGATGAACTCATTCTCGTCATTTTAGAGATGGCAATCATGGCAACTTCCATTTTGCCAAGATCTTAATCAATCCATCAATCAGCCAATCAACAGACATTTTCCCAGTGCCTCTAATGATCCATGCACTGTGCTAGAGGCTGGGTTTACAAATACAGAGGGGTTTACATTCAATAGGAGAAAACATATATACATATAAATCAATACCAAATTTATATTAATGCCTTATATTTGCACCATTTGCAAAATTATTTCCTAACAACAACCCCATGAGGTCAATAGCAACCATTGTCATTATTATATCATTATATATATACTATTATCCTCATTTTACAAATGAAGAAACTGAGGCCCAGAGCCATGCTACATTCACACCGCAGAGCTAGGACTTAAGCCCAGATCATCTGATCTCAGGCCCAACATGGCGCCCGCTTCACCTGCTGCCTCCACTCATCCAGGATTGGATACCCTGGTGCTAACTTTGGAAGCTGACTCGGGCTGCGTCTTTCACCAGCTGTTCCCAGTGCCTTATGTGTAGGCGTAGAACAAAAACCACTTGACTAAGCAAGTACTTCGCTTCTACTCTTTCCCTTTTTCCTTTACTATGAAAATAGCCTCTGATGACGACTGTCTCACCAGCCAAGAAGAACCACATGGCGTCTCATGTAATATTGTGGAATTTTTTCAGAAATTAAGCAGGGGCCATCAGGTGTATGTTTGCAGAACTTGGACAGCAGTGGCCATGTAGACGGACCAGGACTCCCCTCTACAACACCTGGGACAAATGGTAACCCAGGCTCCTCTTGAAGACCTGCCATGATGGAGACCTCACTACATCACCACTCCCAAGGCTTCCTATTCCACCTGGGGGCAGCCCTAATTCAGAGAATTGTGGGATCTCAGAAGTCAAAGGGGCTAGCAAGCCCGATGTCTTCCCATCAAAGATGAGGACCCTGGGCCCCAGAAAGATTCAGGGACTTGTCCAAGGTTATACAGGTAACTGCCAAAGGTGGGATTTGAATCCAAGCCCTCTGACTCCAAAGTTAGTGCTTAAAGTCCATCTAGACCAGGGGCCCTTTCCCTTTTTTGTGTCCTTTACCCCTTGGGTAGTCTGGTAAAGCCTAAGGGCCCCTCCTCAATGTAATGCTTTAAGTGCAGAAAATAACAAAGGAAACCAGTTATACTGAAATGCAGTTATCAAAGTATTTTTTTAAAAGACAAGTCATGGACCCCACTTGAGAACTCCCAATCTGGCCAACCTATGCCCTCCAAAAGTATCCCCACTCCAACATACCTGCCAACCTTGGCTGGAAGCCCTCCAGTGAGGGGGACACCCTAATTCCCAAGGTCACTCATCCCACTTGGGGACAGAGTTCCCTGTTGGCCATTGAGCCTAAACCTGGCCCTTTATAACTTCCATCTACTCCTTCTGTGTCTGCCCAATAAAGCCAATCCCCCTTCCCAATCTCAAATACAAAGACAAGGACAACTATCATTTCACCCATAATCCGAACTGTAAGGTCTTCTTTGAATAGAGAATTAAGTCCTTTGAGTTAAGACTTTGTAGCTCTCAAAGCCGGACTCTGCTGCCATGTCAAACAACCTCTGGCCATCTCTGCCCCCAACAAGGATTAATCATGGGTCTCTCCTTTCAGACCCAAAGACAGAAGGAAGGCATTGTCTGGTTTCTCATAAAAGGCTGCAAACAGCCATCCTGGGGATGCAGACAAAGGCATGATAGTTTCATCTGAATTCGCCCTGGGGATTAATTACAGCTTAGATAGATCTGACCTATGGCCGGGTGACTTTTCCTCCTGGACTATGGCAGCAGTGCAGAATGTTGGCCCCTTTAGCACTTGGTCTGGTCAGAGTGGGAACCTCTGGTTCTCTTCAAATTTTAGCTCGGGCACCACCATCTAGAAGAGGCCTTTCCTGACCCCCTGGCGGTTCACTGGTCTCACCCTCCATCCACCAGGCCCGGAATGTCCTCACCTCTACCTCTTGGAATCCCTAGCTTCCTTCAGGGCTCACCTCAAGGTCTACCATCTTCAGAAGACCTTTCCTGACCTCCCCCCTCAAGCTTCTCATGCCCTCCCCACCAAAAGCACCTTGTATGTTGATATTTATTTGGCTTATCTGATAGGCTGCACAGTGGACAGAGTGTTGGACTTGGAGTCAAGAGGACCTGAGCTCAAATCCAACCTTAGGTACTTACTAGCTGGGTGACCCTGGGCAAGTCATTTTCCTCTCTTAGATTCAATTCCTCATCTATAAAAGGGGGGTAACAGTAGCACTCACCTCCCAGAGTTGTGAGGATCGGATGAGATAACACATATAAAAATACTTTGCCAAGTAAATGTTATTATCATGTATAATATGTATAATTTCTGTGTACTTATAGAGATTGGTGGCCAATGACGTTCCCTCAGTCATAGGGGAGGAGGTTGATTGTACGGACTTTATCAAGTCCCTGGACATTGGAGAGCCTCGGGAAGAGATCTGGAAGGAGTCTGGCCTGTCCATCCGTGCAGGAAGCGCTGAGGACAGGAAGGATGTCTGCTCCCCACATTTCAGTAGCAGCCTCTAGAGCCTCTAGAACAGCGCACGTTTCTGGACGAACAGTAGAGCCGGGCAGGACGAGGAGGGTGGGCTGATTGCTCCTCTACTGACCCTGAGCTTCCCACGAAAGCAAAAGCCCATCTCTTCAATATTAACATTGCGCCCGTGTTCTGTATGGAAGCAAGACCTAGAACCCCACTAGAACCCCACCGCCTCTAAAGGGCTAAAGAGGGGAATCACAGAGATCGATGGAAAGGCAGAATAACCCGGCCCCCGTCCTGGCTCTGCCATTTGCTCACAACAGCTAGCATTTCTAGAGTATTTTAAGGCTTTTCAAGCACGTTGCAAACGTTATCTCATTTTACTCTCAGGACAAGCCTGGGAAGTAAGTCCTATTATTATTCCCATTTTATAGACAGGGAGACTGAAGGGATCGGACTAGAGCTCTTTCCTTCCCGCTCCAGAGCTATCATCCTACGAGCCACTAGATGTCGCTCTCGCCCCACACAATGGCTTTAGCAAGCGGTTGAGGGTGGTATTCAGTGTAACCAGTGGAGGGCAGTCCTCCTCCTGGGAGGTTTGCCTGAAGCTGACGCCCTTCCGGAGCCCCCCCCCCCCGGCCACCTCACGTCGGCCGATGTCGGAGGCTCCAGAGTTCAATGGTCCCCAGGCTGGCTCGAAGGGGAATGCTTTAATTCACATCCCGTGTAACCCTGGGCAAGCCCCTTCTCCTTCCAATGCCTCAGTTTCCTCATCTATAAACGGGGACACCTACCTCCCCGAGTTGCTGTGAGCATCCGATGAGATGGTCTATGTACAGTGCTCTGGTAACTTCAGGGCCCTGCCTACATGGCGCCCTTATGATAATTATTTATTATGATCTAGTCTTAGAGGTCATGTAATCCAACTCCCTTATTTTCTAGAGGGGGAAACTGAGGCACCCGGGGGAAAGTAATGTAGTATCAGCCTGTGGCTGGCTGCCTTTGATGCTTTATATTTATTGTGTGTGCCTCTGTTTACTTATCTGGGAAAGGGGTATATATCTTCCCAGTGGGCAGAGCCCTTGGTTTTTATCTTTGCATCCTCAGGGCCTAGCTCAGGGCCCAGCAGAGAACAGGCAATTCACAAATATTTACTGTTAGATTAATGGATGGATGGAAGGTATAAGATGTAGGTTGGGACCAGTGAGAAAGAACCACCAAGAAATGACAGAAGAAAGCACCAGGGCCTCTCAGTAAAGGCCGCCCTTCTTCCCACTGCAGCCCACCAGGCCAGTGAGCTTGAGCCTCTCGAGGAATCCCATTCCACCTAGAAACAGTCTCACTGTTCGCTGCGTTGAGCCCAAATTCACCTCTTTGCAATTCCCACCCAATGAGGCTCCATTCGAGCCTCAGCCAGAGGCCGAGGAAAACTGCTCCGAGCCCTTTTTCCGTATCACCGCCCTTCACACTCTCGTTTTTGGTGTTGGTTGTTTGTTTATTTTTGGTGAGGCAATGGGGGTTAAGTGACTTGACCAGGGTCACACAGCTAGTAAGTGTCAAGCATGTGAGGCTGGATTTGAACTCAGGTCCCCTTGAGTCCAGGGCAGGTGCTTTATCCACTGCGCCACCTAGCCGCCCCCTGAGCCCTTCACACTCTTGAAGGCCGCTCCCGTACCCAGCCCCCGCCTTGGACTTCTCTGGGAAGCCATCATACTTGGCCTGTCTGGAAGGAGGTGCCAGTTTCAAGGCGATGGCGCCCAATGGTGAGGAGGGTCATGCCCTAAGATAGCCAGCAGGAAGCACCCCTCCAAAGGACCCGACACCCTGGCTCCCTGAAATCCAGCTGAACATCTGAAGAATGCTAAGAGAAACTCTTCTCTCTCTCCTCACCAACCCCATTTAGTTCCATTGGCCTTATCACAAAGGAACAAAAGAGAAAGCCAAGGCAAGCACTCACAGCCCAGCGTGGGCAGGATGTCCTTGAAGTCATTCTTGATGAGTCGGAAGGCCAGACTCGACTTGCCCACAGAACTGCTGCCCAGGAGAACCACCTTGAAGACGTAGGGCTGCTGGGAGGCGCTCTCAGGCTGGGTATTCCCCTCCACCAGCGCCATGCCCTGCAAGGAAACACTATGGTCAGAAGCAGGTATCAGACAACCTGAGGACGCCCAGTTGTACAAACCGACTCACCGTGAGCCTCCTAGAGATGCTTCAACAGTCACAAGAAGAGAGAAGATCAAAGTCACAGTTAGGGGCCCTAAGCTGCGGTCATTGTGAGTAGAACATGGGACTCTTCCCTAGCATGACCATCTCAATCAATGAAAAAATACTGCTCGGTTTCCTCAAGTAGTGAATCCAAGGATCTTAAAGCCCCTCAGGGGGGATGCTGGGACATCAAAGAATGAATAGTGGCTTTGGAGCCCGGAGAACTCCATCAGAACCTAAGGTCTGCCACTTAACTGCTGCATGACCCCACATGAGCCAACCCCCCCCATGCCTCAGCATCCTCCTCTGTAAAATGGGAATACCGATTCCTACAGTACTTAACTGTTTAAGAGCAGCAAATGATATTTTTCCCACAGATCACATTTATCATTACCCACAATTAGAGCCAAGAGCCTATGAACGGTTACTGCCTTTTGTCCCCCCTAAAACATAAAATATTGATGCCGGAAGGCACTTTGGAGCTCCCCCAGCCCAGGGCTTCTTCCTATTTTTGTGGTCTCGGGCAGTGTCTAGAGAAGCCCACAGACTCCCCTTCCCAGAAGCATATTTTTAAGTAGCTAAAGGAAATGCTAAATTTCCATTTTTGTTCAGTCATTTCCGACTCTTCATGACCCCATTTGGGATTTTCTTGGCAGAGATACTGGAGTGGTTTGCCATTTCCCTCTCCAGCTCATTTGACAGATGAGGAAACTGAGGAAATCAGGGTGAAGTGACTTGCCCAAGATACATGTAGGAAGAGAAAGAATCAGGCACCAAACCAGGTCACCTGACTCTAAAGGCCCGGATTCTCCGGCAGACAAGACAATCTGGCCTGACTCTCCCAATAACATTCACTCAGGCTCACGCCCAAATCCATCAGCTTCTCTGCGTTTTGTTTTTCCTTTGCTTTCTCTGCTCCCCTGGATGGTGAAAGGCAGCACGGTGCAGAGGAAGGAGAGCGCGGCTGGAGTCAAAAGGTCTGCTGCTCCCTACCTGGGTGGCCTTAAGCTACACAATTCAGTTTCATCATCTGTAAAATGGGGTTGGACCAGCTCACTTCTGAGGTCTCTTCTAGAATCTCATCATCTTCTCTGGGCCTCAGTTTCCTCATTTGTAAAAGGAGGGGCTGGCCTAGCGGCTGACTAGTGGCCTCCAACAACTCTTCTAGAATCTCATCATCTTCTCTGGGCCTCAGTTTCCTCATCTGTAAAAGGAGCCCTTCCAGTTCTAAATCTGTGGTCCTGTGATTCCAGTTCAAATCCTGGCAAAACTACCAACTAGCTGCGTGACCCTGGATAAGGTACATCCCTTCTCTGGGCCTCAGTTTCCCCTTGTATATGAGGAGGAGGTTAGACTCAAGGACCTCAAAAATTCCTTCCATGATGCTACAAACACTGCCCTAACATACAGCAGATGAATTGGAATTTCAGTTATTTTCAAGAGTTAATGTGAAGCACTTGCCCCCTAAATATTGTAAAAATCCTTTCCCCACTCCAAAATTTTCCAATGCTGTTCATGAGCTCTAATCCTAAAGAGAGACTTGACTTCACCCAAGGACACTTCAGGCCAGCCCTCAGCAGATCTCCTACAAGAAAGTGAGTGGGAGAGAATATAGGTATGATGGGGGAGGCAGGAGGGGGAAGGGGGGAGGAGGGGGAGGGGGCACAGGAGGGAGAGGGGGGCAGGAGGGGGAAGGCAAGATGGGGAGAGCTTTAAAAAAAGGAATGTAATTAGAATGTCAGAGAATAGCTTTGAGAGACACATGTCCCCAGTGAAGACGGACCCCATCACCTGGACACCCACCCCAAGCAGTGGGATTTTTCTCCCTCCTTAGCCCAGGGGACCCCTGAAGCCCAGAGCAGTGAGGTGGGTCTCTTAAAGTCATACAGGTAGGTAAGAACACAGAAAGCTGGAAGTGATGCCAGAGACCATAGACTACAACCCCTTTGTTTTACAGAGAAGGAAACTGAGGCATGGCAGGAGGGTGACAAAAACACTGAATCGTAGATTTAGGGCCGAAACCCTCTCCCCACCCAATATATATGCACCCTTACACACACATGCATACACACATGCATGTACATACGCATGCGCACATGTACACATGATTTTCAGAGAAGGACTCTGAGACCATGAAAGGAAAGTGACTTGTCCAAGGTCACACAGCCAGGTGGGAACTCAGATCTTAAGCTAGGTGTCAAAGGGCAGAGCTGGGATGTAACCCCTCAGGTGCTGAGCCCAGATCTGGAAAGCCTCTTCCCACTTCACTGTCTCCTCAGCCATGGTAATTACAAGATCCAAGTTGGGACCAAGAAGGCATAAGCTGAGATCAGTCCCATGGCAGAAGGCCCCTTGCCCAGCTCAGTCTGTACCAGGCTTGTGCAAGTGGACTGTGCTGGACCAGGGGCTGACAAGCCCAGAGCTGCCCTCCCTGGGGGTCTCCCTCCCCTAGCAGCCCAGCCCCAGGTGACCCAGCCAGGAAGTGCTGGCCCCTGGGGGACACCTCCATCTCCCTCTGGTCACTCACCTGGGCTCTGGGCCTGGCTTTGCACACTGGGCCTCCACAAGGCCGGCCAGTGAGCCTTTCCAAGGAGAGCAGGCTGCTGGGCTGGGAAATGAGGGCCAGACCTCGCTCACTTCCTCATAGTTCCTGGATAACTTCTCCCCGAAGCTCTGCAGTTGGCTGAGCCAGGCTCAGGCCCCAGCAGCTCACCTTTCAACCGGATTGTTCTCCTGGAACCAAACAGGGCTTGTTTTCCTGAGTGAGGTCGCTGATTGGCCAGCCTGCAGAGGCTAGCAGGGGACAGAAGATGGGACAAAGAAGGCCAGAAGAGGGGAAAGGTCAGCAGGAAGAAAGGCTGCTCTGCCCTGCACCCCCAGCCCCTGTCGGCTCCCCACCTCTGCCCACACCCACATGCTCCAACCTAACAAACATGCCAGGGGCAAGGAGAGTTGAAGGTCCACTTGTCAGCCAGGGACAAGGCCAAAGAATGTGGGAGGATCAGGTCCCACCCTGCACTCGGGAATCAGCAGATCAGAGGCTGGCAAACATCAGCCAAAGGGCAAAGGGGAGTTCTTTTCTGATCAGCATCATCGTGGGCCTCAGTTTCTTCATCTGTAGGCTCACAGGGCCACTGATTTAGAGCCAGAAGGGACCATCTAATCCAACCACCTTCATTTCACAGACAAGGAAACTGAGGCCCAAGAAGATTCAGTGAGATAGATCTGGAGAAAGAAAACACTCTTGAGGCCATGCAAGCCCACCTCCTCATTTTATACATAAGCAAACTGAAGGCCAGTGAGTTAGCCAAGGCCACTCAGGTAGTATCAGAAGTGAGGGTCAGACTCCATATCCCCTGAAGTCCTCTTTTAACTCTTCCTCTGAGAGCCAGTGATTTCAGGTGCCTCTTCTCTGGCAGCCTGATCCAAAGGAAAGAGCCCTGCATTAGGGGGAAGAGGCCTTAGGTTCAAATCCTCACCCTACTGGGAAGTCAGCACAATGAAGCAGATTTAGAGTCTAAGGACCAAGGTTCAAATCGGTTACTTAGCTGCGTGGTCATGGGTAAGTTCTTTCATTAATTTCCCTGGACCTCAGTTTCTTCAGCTATAAAACTAAGAGGTTAGACCAGATGACCTCCAAGATCCTTGCTGGCTCTAGATGTAAGGTCCTGTGGAACATACAGTGATGCTGGCTAGTGACCCATCCCCTGAGCTGGCAAGGATTGGGTTCGAGTCTAGCTTCTGATGCAGACTAGCCTTTGAGCTGGACAAGTCACTTAAGCAGGAGGACACAAAGGGATTTTTTTTTGGTCAGGCTCTTTGCTTTTAAGGCAGCTTGGTGCAAAGGAAAGACCACTGGGGAAATCAGGATTCAAACCTTGACTCTGCTGCCTATGAGCTGTGTGACCCTGGACAAGCGACTTCTCTCCAGGCCTCAGTTTCCTCATCTGTGAAATGAGGGACTCACATTGTCAAAATGACCGAGGTCCTTTCTAGCTCAAAATCTTGGGTTCTAGATCAGGGGTTCTTCACCTGGGATCCACAGACCCCAATAGATTTCAAGAGGTTCATGAATTTGGATGGGGAAAACAATTCTAGCTTTATTTTCACTTCTCTAGCTGAAACAGTGTTTCCTTCATTTATTTAAAAATCTGATTCTGAGAAGGGACCCAGGTGCCTTGGGGAACGTCCTGACTTCTCTTTGTCCGAAGATTTCAAGTCTTTCTCTCTCTGGCTTTCCCTTGGCGGGGGAGGGGTCAGTGGCAGAGAGAGAATCAGCGTTGCCCCTCCTGGGGCACCAGGGACTAAGAAACCCGGTGCTTTGCCCAGACAAACCTTCCAATCAGTCCCTCTCAGAGTTTCCCATCTTTTCAGAGACTGGGAGCAGGTTCTTTTAAGAGCAGATTTCCAGTAGGGGATCGCCTTCCAGATATACATAGCCTAGAGAGTGCTCTGCCTCTCGCAGCCCCGCCCCCATCCCCACCCCCCGCTCCCAGCCGCGTGCCAGGTGAGGCCACTTAATAATTGCACTCGATTGTCCCGAGGACTTTCTGTGGGAGGAGCTGGAATGCTTTGTGGCTTCCGACAGCCGGGGAGGGGCCTCTTGCTCCAGGGACGCCCCTCCCCCGAGTCAGAGAGTAGAAGGAGTCTGAAATCCACCTGCCCCAACCCATCTTTTCAACCCCGCTGCGTGGTATTCGCCCTCCCGCGTCGTGTGTGCGATCGGGCCAAACCAGCTGGCTTTCTCTCCCTGCTCCTCACACAAAGGCTCCATCCGCAGTCTCCCCTGGCTTTGCATGCAGGCCTGCAAGGCTCTCCTTAGCTCCTCCCGGCCAGAGTCTCTCTTTTCCTTGAAGGTGGGGCTCAGGGTCTGCCTTCTGCATGAAGCCTTGCTAGTCAGCAAGCCTCTCCTTCGTAGAGGCTTCCTTCTCAGAGGTTTTCTTCGCAGAGTCTTCTTTCCCAGATACTTTGTGTCGAACAACGCTGTGGGTTTGCGTTTTTATTAACTTCATATTTACCCCGACATCTTGTCCTGTGTCCTTGCAAGTTCCTCGTGAGTAGCCACTTGTCTCCCCAGCCCAGCACAGTGCTTGGCATGCAGTAGGCGTTTAATAAATACTCGCTCTTTGCTTGATGAAACGTCATCTGTTGCAAGCCTTCATTTTATATTTAAGGTATTTTAATGTCCACATAAGTAGGCGAGCCTTCCCAGCTAAAGCATCAGAGCACCCTGAGGGGCAGACGGAGGCAAGGTGAACCATCACCGCCATTACCTTGGCTACCATGTCCCGTCCAGCCCCGATGAGGACAGCCCAGGCACCTGAGCCCAAGAGCCTTGGGATAGCATTGTCCAGCCCAGCCCCCACAGCCGTCATGGAGGGGAGATATCAGAGACAAGGGGCCGCCTTCCCCACCACCATCCTTAACCACTGCTGACCCACTGCTTCGAGACACGGGGAGCCCTGGCATGGTTTTACACCCTAGGTTACTCAGGTCTAGCCTTGTGTGTTGCATACCTTGTCTCTTCCACTGATCGATCTTGATATTTTTTAACCAACTTGTTTGGCTGAATACTGTTTTCTAGTACAGTCGGAGATCCAGCTAGGCCTCTTTCCTTCCTACTTTTTTTTTCATTATTTTCCTAGAGATTCTCAACTTTTTGTTCTTGGAGATGAGTTTCATTACTATTTTTCCTAGCTATCTAAAGTAACCCTTTGGTAATTTGATTGGCACGGCACTGAATAAGTTAGTTAATTTAGGTAGTATTGTCATTTTCATAGTATTAGCTTGGCCTACACATGGGCCATTAATACTTCTCCAAGTATTTGTTGTTATCTGGTCTTATCTGACTCGTTGTGACCCAGTATGGAGTTTTCTTGGCAAAGACACTGGAGCAGTTTCCCATTTCTTTATCTAATGGATTAAGGCAAGCAGAGGTTAAATGACTTACCCAGGGTCACATAGCTAGAGACTGTCTGAGGTCATACTTGAACTCAAGTCTTTCTGACTCAAGCCCAGCGCTCTATCTACTAGGCTGCCTAGCTGTTGCCTCCAATTATTTCTATAAAGAGCATTTTATGCTTGTCTTCGTATAGTTCTTGTGTGCATGGTGGTACATTGTGATAGATCCTGGGCATTTCACACATTCTGAAGTTATTTTAGGTATCTGCCTGGAGATGATAATTACACTTGTGGGAGCTGATGAGCTTACCAAGAGAGAGAAAGTAGAATTAGAAGAGATGAGGACCTAGCATAGAACCTTGGGGATAGCCTCAGTTAGGCAGCGTGATGTGGATGGGGAGCAGTAAACACTTGGAGCAGGCGTCAGAGATGGGATTGAAGGCATCAGGAAAAGCCTTCAACAGGAGATGATGCTTCAACTCAGCCTTGAGGGAGCCGACAAGTCAGAGGTGAGGAAGAAGAGTGCTCTGGGCGTGGGCCTTGGCCGGGAGGCAGGAGATGACTTCTTCAAGGCTGGAGTGGACGGATCCCTACTGGTTATTCTTGGTCATTCTTCAAGGGAAAGCCAGAGAGTTCCTCTAGATAGGTTGCTGACTCAGGCAAACCTAGGAGCTAGACCCTGGGTGTGGGTTCTATCAGCAGTATGACTGGCGTTTTCCAAAGGTAAACTCCCTCCAGGCTTGCTCCTTGTCACAAGTGGCTTGGAGGATGGAGGGGACAATGAGGACCTTCAGAAAAGGATGCCCCTGCATTTCCTACATGGGTCAAGTCATGGGCTCAGCATCCCTGAAACAGTCCATTTGCTAGATGACACCTCAGAGGACATCTAGTCCAGCCCCCTGGTCTTACAGATGATGAAACTGAGGCCCAGGAAGGCAAAGTGATTGGCCTATTCTCAGCCATATGATCACAGGAGACCAAAAACTATCTTATTCAGTACCCTCATTTCACAGGGGAGGAAACTGAGGCCAGGAGAGAAGGGGCTTGGGGTGTGTTTCAATTGATAGGATCAGGGGCAGCTAGGTGGCGCAGTGGATAGAGCACCAGCCCTATCAAATCTGGCCTCAGACCAAACATGGCACTTATTAGCTATGTGACCCTGGGCAAGTCATTTAACCCCAACTGCCTAAAAAAAACCCAAAAAACAAAAAAAAATCAATTGATAGGATCACAGTTTAGAGCTAGAATCCCAGCTCCACTCCTATGAAGTCCCAGAGATCTAGTCCAATCCCCTCATTTTGCAGGTGCAGAAGCTGAGGCCCAGAAAGGTTGAAAGACAAAGGACCATAGATTAGAGCTGTACATGACCTTAGAAACGGGGCCATGAGTTGAAATTGATTCACTGGTATTCCAAAGCAGTCAGTCAATATTTATTAAGCACCAGGCATTATGCTAAGTGCTGGGGATACAGAAAGAGGCAAAAGACACAAGGACCTCACAATCTAATGGGATAAATAGATAATTAACAGAGGGAAGTCACTGGAGTTAAGAGGGGTTAAGTAAGGCTTCCTATAGAAGATGGGATTATCAATGGGACTTGAAGCCAGAGAGGTCAGTAGTTAGAGCAGAAGAGGGAGAGCATTCCAGGTCTGGAGGACAGCCAGAGAAAATGTCCAGAGCTGAGAAACAGAGGGTCTCGCTCGTGGGACAGCCAGGGGGCCAGTGCTACTAGATTGCTGAATACGTGCTGGAGAGTAAGGTGAAAGAAGACTGGAAAGGTAGGAGGAGGCCAGCCCATGAAGGGCTTTGAATGTCAAGTGGAGGATGTGGTATTTGGTCCTGGAGGCAATAGGGAGTCACTGGAGTTCAATGCATATCATCAGTGTGTGACTTTGGGTGAGTCACTTCCCTTTCCTGGACTTCAGAAATAGAATTCAACATCACTCTTGAAATACAAAGCCAGCAATCTCAGGGAGCAAAATAGGAGGGAAATTTATAGATGGCTCAGACAGACCCCTGTACTCCCAGCCTTCACGTTCTTAATGGTTTGCTAAAGAGGAGCACACCTTTGCTCTCAAAAGGATCCCATCTGGAGACAGGAAACCACAATGGGGGGGGGCAGGGGAGAGGCAGAGCCAGACTCCAGCCCAAAGCACTCCTTCCAAATGCAGGACATTCCAAAGCTCAGGCTTCCCACTGAAATAAGCTCTGCTGAAGACCTCTGACCCACCCCCAGCCTGTTGCTAGCGTCCTGCCCTGGAATTCAGCTCCAGCCTCTGGGTCCCCAGACTCCCCAGCCTAGGATCCTTGGGCATTTGCCCCAGCTGCCGGCCTGAATTCCTTCCCTGTAGCTCCTGGCCATCCAGACCTGGGCTTCCCACTGCCCTCTCCATCTGGCCCAATATCTCTGCAGCTGCCCCCACACACACACACCTACCTTGCTGTCCTGGCAGGGCCTTTCCTATCCTTCCATGGTCCTGGGCTGCTGCACCTGAGGCCTGTCTCTCCATCCCTCCAGCCTGGAGCAGCCTAAGCCCTAATGGGACAGAAGCAGTTTGGGATCCTCAAATGCAGGCTGTAAGATAGCACAGCGTGTAATAAAGCATCAGGCTTGCAGTCAGGAAGTTCTGAGCTCGAATCCTGTGCCAAATGCTTGGTCCTTGGCAAGTCACTGAACCTTTCTCATCCTCGGTCTTTTCAACTATAAAATGGGGATTATAGGAATAGCACCTACCTCCCAGGGTGGTTGTGAGAGTCAAATGAGATTTGGTATAGATAGATAGATAGATAGATACATAGATAGATAGATAGATAGATAGAGATGGATATCTAGACATATGTACAGATGTATGTTTACATATACTTTATTATATGTACATTATTATGGTGATAGTGTTTATACAAGGCTTTGAAGTTTGCAAAATATATATGCATATATGGAATGGGAATATATACATATATATATACACATACATATATATATTATATATATGGAGAGAGAGAGAGAGAGAGAGAGAGAGAGAGAGAGAGAGAGAAAGTGTGTGCGGAGAGGATATGTAAGTATATATGTGTATGTGTATATGGAGTGGGGAGATATAGATATATATGATATGTATATACATATACATAGTACCCTGTGCAGTCCTTAAAGCCCCATATAAATCCTAGCTATCACCACGATAATAATAGCTATTATTAACAATAAAAATAATGACCATTATTAGTGGCATGGCATTCCTGACCTTTAACTGGCCGGCTGAGGGACAGTGCTGCCACCTCCTGGCAGCATTAATCCTCAGGATTTACCACAGAGCTTGGAATAAATACCTTTTTTCATTCACTCATTTGTAAATTGCAAGTTTAGGACTAAAAAAAAGTCCTGCTCTAAAGCTCATGAAGACAGACAATGTGTTCTAATGGATAGAGATAGTTGGCATGAGAGGCAGGAGGAGTCAAGTCCCACCTTTGGCCCATCTCAGCTTCATGACTGTGGAAAGGTCACTTAACATCTCAGTGCCACAGGTCCTAGTGCTGGGCTGTATCGAGGGAGAGAATTTCCTCACTTGGGAGTTCCCTGTGCTAATGAAATCACTGGGCTAGGGTCCTTCCCAATCCCTGTAGACCCCACCTCTCCAGGATTACTACCAGGACAGAAAGAACCTGCATAGGCAAGAGTTTTCTCACTGGGAGTTCTTTAAACAAATGATACTGATACACAGATACTGTCCAGAAAAAATAGGTCCCTCCCTGATGGGATTTTGTCCAGCCCAAATGAGATTATATCTCTAAGGAACTTCACAAATACTGCAAGTGTATAAATGTCAATTATGTTATTGTTATTATTATTATTCTATCAGTTAACGGGGGGGGGCAGTGTAGTCGGATGAGGAGAGTGCTGGGTTTGAATCTTGCCTCAGACACTTATAAGCCAAGTGACCTTGGAGAAGTCACTGAACTTTTCTGATCCTCAGCTTCCACATCTGTAAAATGGCAGCGATGATAGCTCCCATCACCACACAAGATAACGTGTCTGGAAACCTTAATACTGTGAGATCATTATTACACTGTTATGAGCATCTCCGAGTCTCTGTCCCCTCATCCATAGTGTGGAAGTAAGAGGCTACATCACAATGCAGCTATGGCACGGTTCTGCCTCCTACCTTATTGGTGGTGAAGAAGATCCTTTGGGAACCTCAGGTGGAGCTCATCAATTGGAGGCCTGGGCTGATAGCGACTCCTCCAGGAAAATCCACCTGCATGAGCAGACATGTTCCTGTGAATGCTGGAGGGACAGTTTGTTCTGAAAAACATTTCTGTTCTGTGCTGGGGCTCCCGCAGAGCAGCTCCAAGGGTGGATGATATATTAATAGAGATGTGAAAATTAACATTAACCTGGGAAACTTTGGACCAGGCTGAAGAGAAACAAGCCCAAATGAAAAATAAAATCTCCTTTAGGCTTCTGAGGTTGCGGACTGATAGGACCAGACAAGGACTGAGGAGGGAAAGGGTGAAAATTGGGTAAACTGATCCCAACCCCACCCCCAGCTTCATAGATCAAAGGATCATAGCCTTAGGGCTGAAAGGTGACTTAGGGGTCATCTGGTCCACTCCCCACATTTTACAGATGGGGAAACTGAGGTCCCACGAGGTGGAGGGGCTTGTGTCCAGGGTGACCCCACAAGCCAGGGGCAGCGCCAGGATAGGACCTCAGAGCCTTTCATCATCCTTTCCAGTGAGTGTTTTGTTTTTTTCTTTGACTCTGTAGGGCCTAGTACAGTACCTGTCACACAGTAGGTACTTTATGAATGATAATTGATTGAATCAGTAGCTGGTGAGCGTCCAGAGCAGAGGAGCCTGGCTTCTTTACAACCTTGGTGTGCCCAGTCGCCAGTATGGTGCCTAGCACATAGTAGACATTCACTACATTCTAGTACATAGAATCACCTAGTCCCATCCCTTCTTTTTACATAGAAAGAAACCGAGGCCCAGAGAGAATAAGTGATTCCTCTAAGGTCAGAGCAGAGTCCTCAGACTCCAGAATTCCAGTCAATGATGCCTGGGTGAGAATAAGTCACTCCCACCAGCTCTGCCATAGGAAAGGCACTTCCTGTAGGTAAGGCCCTCAGGTGTGGTGTGTGGGGCCGAGGGAAGGGTCCCTCCTCCCTGTGATGGGCATCCCTCCTCCCAGGGGGAATTCATCCTTGGGAAATTCTAAATGGGATAAGGGAGAGGTGCCTCCCACTACTCCAAGCTATGGGCACTCTGGGAATCACTGAGACAGTAAATTTTCTCAGAAGCCTTAAGGGGAAATGCTGTCTTCTATTTTTGTAACAAATTGTGTGGCTAACAAAGGGGGTCCAAGCCAGGAAAAAATTCTACTTTTAATTTTTGTGGCTTTTACCCTCTGAAAAAAGCAATGGCCATGTTCCGTTATGCTTCTAAGTGGCTTGTTCACTACAGGCCCTGGATCTTGGAGATGGAGGGGACCACAGAGCCATCCACCCCAGCCAGGGCCTGTACAAGACCTTGAAATTCTGGAGCAGGGCACCACAAGTGACATCAGGCAGGTCCCTTGAATGGCCACACAGGAAACCTCCGGCTGAGCCAACAGCTCCCCGGCCCTTTTCTTTTCTGCTCCTTGGGTTCTTGGGCAGTGCCACGGGGCTCCCAGCAGCTGCGGCTGCTGGCCCAACATGTCCGCGAAGTGGGCAGCGCCAGGAGGAGGTGACCAAGTGTCTGAGCTGGGGCCAGCACTCCCTCTGCTGGGCCATACTGCCCCTCACCTCTCTGGTGACAGGCCCCTGAGCCCATAGCTTTGTCTGGCTGTCTTGGCTTGGCTTCCATACAGCTCGGGGATTTCACTGCTGTGGAAATTCCCTCCCCCAAGGCTGACCAGCCATTTGCCTATAAATTATATATAAAATTATATGTCCAATATTATATATATATATATATACATATATATATATATAATTATATATATAAATTATATATTAAATAAAGCAGAGGTTTCAAACTAAAATAGAAATCTCTGTGGGGACATATCAACTTAGAAAACAAATGACCATTTTCTGTGTTTTATTGTATTTTTATTTATTTTGTCAAAAATTTCCCAATTATATTTGACTCTGGTTCTGGACAAAGCCTCCTTTGGTGGGCTGTGTGTTTGAAAAGTCTGAAAAGATTGATTGGGCTGAACAGGCTGTGACTTGGCTGGGCACACAGCCCAGATGTCATAGAGGATGAAAGGTTTCAAACTGGAAGAGCCCTAGAGGCTGACTGAATGGGGAAACTGAGGCCCAGGAAGGAAAGTGATTTGCTCAAGGTCATTCAGGTCTCAAGTATCAGAGGCAACATTTGAACCAAGGCCTTCCTGACTCACGCCACCCTTGTGAGTTCACGGGACATTTATGCATTGCAAACTCCCGACTAAATTTTATTGAGCATTTTCTATGCCCAAGGCATTGTGCTAAGTGCTAAGGGTAGACCCAAAGAAGGAGAAGAGAGGCTCCCTGCCCTCATGAAGCTTAACGTCTCTTTGAAGAAATAAACCTACCTGACAAGTAATGCCAATGTAAGGTACCACACATGGATGTCTACTGACATGTCCCAGCTCCACGCCTGAGCACAGGCTCCTCTATGACTGGAACACAGCCCTCCTCTCCTCCTCCCGATTCTCACGTGCTAGTGCATGTCCTAACCCTTCCTCCCCAACCCTCCCCCCGTACCAGCCACCATTACCTTGTGTCTGTATTATATTTAATTTTCTCAATATAGATTATTTCTGCTCCCTCCTGCACATCTCTGCCCATAGATGCCCCTTTCAGGGCAGGGACAGATTAATTTTCATCTTTGTACCCTCAGCCCTTAGCATAGTGCCTGGCACGTGGTAGATGTTTAGGGAATGGATAAATGAATGAATGTATCCTTTTCCTTTGTCTCATTGTGGCTTTGGGGTCAATCCACACTTAGAGGTGAGATCCTGGCCCTCTGGAGTGCAGAAGTGTGGTGCCATGACTGACTGTCACATAAGCAGGTCCCTGGAGGAGCTTCAGACAAGCCTCTGATTCTCCCTGGCCTCAGTTTCCTCATCAGTATAACAAGGGGACTGGACTGGATAAACCCTAACGTCCCTACTAGCTCTGGATAGACGATAATATATCCTCCCTGGGCCTGGATTTCTCCATCTGTGAATGAGGGCATTGGCCCAGTAGCCTTAGAGCCTTCCAGCTCTGGAGCTGTGATCAGGGAAGGCTTCTTGGAAGATGCAGCACTCAGGAGGAGGAAATAGGTGAGGAAGAGAAGCAAAGAGGGAAGGGGGTGCTCCTGCTTTCTCTCTGTTGCTCATTCACATGACCCCCTTTGCTCCAAACAGCAAACAGACTTCTTCCTTCTGCCAAGCCCTCACTGGCTTCCTTAGCATTTTGCCCATGGCTCGGCTCAGTCTGGGCATTAAGCCCCTGGCCCACTGTTCTCCCAGGCTAACTAGTATTTCTCCAGACTCTGGACCATCTGCTCTTCTGAGGTTTAGACAGCATCTAGAAATGTCCCAGCACTTCTTTCTTAGGGAATTGGGAACCTGGAGAGGACATGGTCACTTTCTCTTGAGATGCCTGCACCTTCTGCTTCACCAACCTAAGAAGTGTCAAATTTCAGTGATGCAAAACTGGGAGGCATAGCTGATATATGGAGGAATGAATTAGACTCCTAACAAACTTGTGAATAATTACACTGGGATTGGTCCTGGAATGTCAATGACTCCCAGATGCAGAAACTCCCTCTACCAATGCAGGTGCCGTCTCTAAAACTTAGAGACCTTAGAGGGTTGCCTGATGCACCTAAGACTTAAGTGACCTTCCCAGGATCACACAGCAAGTGTGTGTGCCAGAGAAGCAGGACTCGAATCCAGATCTTCCTGTTTTCTCTGCATTGTGCCCTATTATCTGGCTGGCTGTCTCCCTCTTCCTCTAGGGCCCAGCTCACATCATTCGGCAAGTTATTAGAGGGTTCTAAACCAAGACTGGGTGAGCCCCTGTGAGGAATGTTGGAGAGGGGAACAAACTGAATTATTTGGCCTCCAAGGT